TCGTGCTCAGATGGAGCAGGAGGTGGAGTCTGTGGAGCGTGAGAAGAGCGTCCTCCAGAGGACACTGACGGAACTGAGGGACAGAGAGAGCGTCCTGCAGGGGGCGCTGTGCTCCCTGCAACAGGTGCACCACTACACACTGTATACACACGTTACACACACTTTATACACACTTTACACACACTTTATACACACTTTATACACACTTTATACACACTTTTACACACTTTACACACACTTTACACACACTTTACACACACTTTACACACACTTTACACACTTTACACACACTTTACACACACTTTACACACACTTTACACACACTTTACACACACTTTACACACACTTTACACTTTTATACATACTTTATAGGACCGATATTTGATCCAGTTCATGTTTCAGTTTGACATTTGATCCCAGAATCTGGCTCCTCAGTTTGGCTCTGACCTCGTCTGTGTGTGAGACTCACCTGTCGCCCCTGTCCCCCTGTCGCCCCTGTCCCCCTGTCCCCCTGTCCTCCTGTCGTGTGTCGTGTGTCAGGAGAACGTGTCTCTGGAGCAGGAGTCGGTCGTTTTGAGGCTCAGACTCTCAGAGTCTCAGACGTGTGTCCACAAACTGAACCAGGACCTGGACCGACTCAAGGACCAGGTCAGTCAGATGCCCTCCCACACCTGCCACTCACCTGCCACTCACCTGCCACTCACCTGCCACTCACCTGTCACTCACCTGCCACACTCACCTGTCCTGTCAGGTGCTGTTTGTGCAGTGCCGTGTTTGGTCCTGACCCAGTTTCCTTTAGACTGGTTTAGATCCGGTTTAGATCCGGTTTAGATCCTCGGGTCTCAGGTGTTGTGTTTCTCATCAAACTTTCATGTCCTCGTCCCTCCTCTTCCTCCCTCCTCTTCGTCTGTGTCTCTCAAACCTGCGTCCCTCTGTCCCCAGGAAGTATGCTCCTCTCCTCTCTCCTGTCTCCTCGTCTCCTCTCTCCTGTCTCCTCGTCTCCTGTCTCCTCGTCTCCTCGTCTCCTCTCTCCTGTCTCCTCGTCTCCTCTCTCCTGTCTCCTCGTCTCCTCTCTCCTGTCTCCTCGTCTCCTCTCTCCTGTCTCCTCGTCTCCTCTCTGTCTCCTCGTCTCTCTCCTCGTCTCCTCTCTCCTCGTCTCCTCGTCTCCTCGTCTCCTCGTCTCCTCGTCTCCTCGTCTCTTTGTCTTCTTGTCTCCTCGTCTCCTCGTCTCCTCGTCTCCTCTCCTCTGGTGCTCGTCTCTGATTGGCTGTTGGCTCTGTCTTCTCGTGGCTCTGGACCAATCAGAGTGTGTGTTGTTGTTGTTGTGTGCAGTTCCGTCTGGATCCTGGTGGCGGCGCCGTGAGTCCAGACGAGCGTTTCACCGAGATCATCAAAGAATACGAACTACAGTGCCGGGTCAGAACTCAACCAGGACTGGACCAGGACTGAACCAGGACTGAACCAGACTGAACCAGGACTCGACCAGAGACTCGACCAGGACTCGACCAGGACTCGACCAGGACTCGACCAGGACTAAACCAGGACTGTTGTTGTCATGTTAACTGTGTTTTCTCGTTGCTGCTGAACGGCTCAGAGAGTCCAGGTGAGGGGGCGGGGCCGTGTGTGTGAGGGGGCGGGGCTTTTTTCTGCATGAACATTAGTTTTAGAGGAGCGCCCCCTGCGGGTGGAGCGCCCCCTGCGGGTGGAGCGCCCCCTGCGGGTGGAGCGCCCCCTGCGGGTGGAGCGCGTGAGGAGGAGGTGTTTTGTTAAATGTACTTTGAATTGTCTGAGGGTTTAGACTCATTCATGCATGTCTGAGTAATCTAGTGATCTCTCCTGGGCCCTATTCAAACCCTCATTATGTTCAGCAGTACGAGTCTGTACGAGACTCCGCCCCCAAACCTGATGTTTGTGCAGGAGTTTCACTAGTGCAACGCTCTGAACGGGGAGGGACTCAGCACAGAGAGCAAATGGATACGGGGATCGTGTTCAGGAGCAGACAGCAGCTGACAGGGCAGACAGGTGAGCAGTGGAACAGGAGCTGACAGGGGCAGACAGGTGCTGACAGGAACAGACAGGAGCAGACAGGGGCAGACAGGAGGCAGGAGGACAGAGACAGGAGCAGACAGGAGCAGACAGGACAGCTGCAGACAGGAGCAGGACAGGGGCAGAGGACAGGACAGCAGACAGACAGCAGGCAGACAGGAGCAGACAGGAGCAGACAGACAGGAGCAGGAGCACTCACGTCGCTCTGGTTTCAGGAGCTCAGGGATCGCTGTGATGAGTTGAGTTCTGAGCTGGAGCTGGTGAAGATCCAGAGACCAGAGCGAAGACCCAGACCAGACCCGGACCAGAACCAGAACCAGGACCCGAGCTGGAAACCCCAAGACCAGGGACTGGACCGGGACCAGGACGAGGACCAGGAGAAGACTTCAGACTCTGGTAATCCCACTTTTCCTCTTTTCACTGTTTTATTTACACCAACGTCCCAACGCAGATTTAACACCTGAACACCTCAACATCTGAACATCTGAACATCTGAACACCTGAACATCTGAACATCTGAACACCTGAACACCTGAACACCTCATGAACATCTGAAACATCTGAACATCTGAACACCTGAACTAACACCTGAACACTGAACTGAACTGAACACCTGAACACTGAACACTGAACATCTGAACACCTCAACATCTGAACACAACACATCTGAACACCCTGAACATCTGAACACCTCACTGAACACTGAACATCTGAACAACACTGAACATCTGAACACCTGAACACCTCAACATCTGAACATCTGAACACCTCAACATCTGAACACCTCAACATCTGAACACCTCAACATCTGAACATCTGAACACCTCAACTGAACATCTGAACATCTGAACACCTCAACATCTGAACACCTCAACATCTGAACATCTGAACACCTGAACACCTGAACATCTGAACACCTGAACACCTCAACATCTGAACATCTGAACACCTCTGAACATCTGAAACCTGAAACTCAACATGAACACTCAACATCTGAACATCTGAACTGAACATCTGAACACCTGACTGAACATCTGAACACTGAACACCTGAACAACATCTGAACATCTGAACACACTGAACACCAACATCTGAACAAACATCTGAACACCTGAACATCTGAACATCTGAACACCTCACTCTGAACACCTCAACATCTGAACACCTGAACATCGAACACCTGAACATCTGAACACCTGAACACCTCAACATCTGAACACTGAACATCTGAACATCTGAAACACCTGAACACCTCAACATCTGAACATCTGAACATCAAGAACATCTGAACACCTGAACACCTGAACACCTGAACAAACATGAACTGAACTGAACACCTGAACATGAACACCTGAACACACCTGAACACCTGAACATCTGAACACCTGAACATCTGAACACATGAACACCTGAACACTGAACATCTGAACACTGACTGAACACTGAACATCTGAACACCTGAACACCTGAACATCTGAACACCTGAACATCTGAACACCTGAACACCTGAACATCTGAACACCTGAACACAACATCTGAACACCTGAACACTGAACATGAACTGAACACTGAACACTGAACACCTGAACACCTGAACATCTGAACACCTGAACACCTGAACACGAACTCTGAACACTGAACACCTGAACATGAACACACTGAACATGAACATCTGAACATCTGAACACTCTGAACACCTCCTGAACACGAACTGAACACCTGAACACCTGAACATCTGAACATCTGAACACTGAACATCTGAACTGAACATCTGAACATGAACACCTCAACATGAACATCTGAACACCTGAACACCTGAACACCTGAACACCTGAACATGAACATGAACATCTGAACACCTGAACATCTGAACATGAACACCTGAACACCTGAACATGAACACCTGAACACTGAACTGGAACTGAACACCTGAACATGAACTGAACACTGAACACAGAACTGGAACACCTGAACACCTGAACACCTCAACATCTGAACACCTGAACACCTGAACATCTGAACACCTGAACACTGAACATCTGAACACGACTCTGAACACAAGAACATGAACACTCCTCCCGCAGTGACTCACAGCATCTGAAACGTTTAGTCAGTGTTTGTTGAAGTGTCTCCACGGTAACTGCTGAACATTCCACCACAGACACACATGCAGAACACCCCAGGAGTCACGTCACTGCAAAGATTCAATAAGAATAATCATAATAAAAACAATAATAATCCTCATAATAACTGGGAGGCTGGTGTTCTGAGGGGGCGTGGCCTCTGCTCTGGTTCAGGCAGACGGACAGGTTCATCCGCTCAGGTGAGTCCAGGCCCCGCCCCCTGCTCTGGCACAAAGCACAGGCCCCGCCCCCTGCACAGGTACAACAGGTGTAGCCCCGCCCCCTGCACAGGTACAACAGGTGTAGCCCGCCCCCTGCACAGATACAACAGGTGTAGCCCCGCCCCCTGCACAGGTACAACAGGTGTAGCCCCGCCCCCTGCACAGATACAACAGGTGTAGTTCCCTGAATCACAGCAGCGGCTCAGAAATGGCTCACAGTAAGTGTCTAAAACAACTTATATAAAGAGTTTAGACCCGGTCCAGACCCGGTCCAGACCCGGTCCAGACCTGGTTTGGTCCTGATCCTCAGATGGACTTTTGTGTTTCAGACGTCAGTGAAGTGAGCAGCTCTCCTCGAGTCCGGAAGAAACTCACACCTCTGGACAAAAAAGGTCAGAGAAAAAACTGGGTTAGTCCTGGGTTAGTCTTTGGTTAGTCCTGGTCCAGTCCTGGTCCAGTCCCGGTCCAGTCCCGGTCCAGTCCCGGTTTAGTCCTGATTCAGTCCTGTTTCTTTTTGGTTTTTACAGCCCTGTGCTGCCTGGATCCTGGACTGGACCCTGGACTGGACCCTGGTCTAGACCGCGGTCTGGACCGTGGTTTGGACTCTGGACCCTCGGTCTCGATCCAGACTGAACTGGCTCTGGAGCAGCTCCGAGAGAAACACCAAGAGGAAGTTCACCAGCTCACGGCCAAGATGGAGACTCAGGTACCAGGACCAGAACTGGACCAGGACTGGACCAGGACTGGACCAGGACTAAACCCGGTCTCTGTGTTTCAGGTGAACTTTTATGAACGTTCTCTGGAGCAGATGAGGCAGAACATGGAGCTGGAGAGAAAAGACATCGCACAGGCTTTTAAGGTACAAGTACTACACAACAAATACTACTGTAGTACTGTAGTACTATTGTAGTACTTTTGTACACAGATGGAGATCTGTGAGCTGTACTTGTAGTACTTGTAGTACTTGTAATACTTGTAGTAGTAGTTGTAGTACTTGTAGTACTTTTATACACAGATGGAGATCTGTGAGCTGTAGATGTAGTACTGTAGTACTTGTAGTAGTTGTAGTACTTGTAGTACTTTTGTACACAGATGGAGTAGATGTAGTACTGTGTGTAGTACTGTAGTACTTTTGTACACAGATGGAGATCTGTGAGCTGTAGATGTAGTACTGTAGTACTTGTAGTAGTTGTAGTACTTGTAGTACTTTTGTACACAGATGGAGATCTGTGAGCTGTAGATGTAGTACTGTAGTACTTGTAGTAGTTGTAGTACTTGTAGTACTTTTGTACACAGATGGAGATCTGTGAGCTGTAGATGTAGTACTGTAGTACTTGTAGTAGTTGTAGTACTTGTAGTACTTTTGTACACAGATGGAGATCTGTGAGCTGTAGATGTAGTACTGTAGTACTTGTAGTAGTTGTAGTACTTGTAGTACTTTTGTACACAGATGGAGATCTGTGAGTTGGAGGAGCAGAAAGTTTCTCTGGAGAATCAACTGAAACAGATGAAAGAAAATCTGGAGAAAAACCAACAAAGACACGACCAGACGAGAGACAAGAGGTACTCCCCAACACGGGTACTCCCCACACACACGGGTACTCCCCACACACACGGGTACTCCCCCACACACACACGGGTACTCCCCACACACACGGGTACTCCCCACACACACACGGGTACTCCCACACACACGGGTACTCCCCCCACACACACAAGTACTCTCCACACACACACGGGTACCCCCCACACACACACGGGTACTCCCCACACACACGGGTACTCCCCACACACACGGGTACTCCCCACACACGGGTACTCCCCACACACACAAGTACTCCCACACACAGTACTCCCACACACACACGGGTACTCCCCACACACACAGGTACTCTCCACACACACACGGGTACTCCCCACACACACGGGTACTCCCCACACACCGGTACTCCCCACACACAAGTACTCTCCACACACACACGGGTACTCCACACACACGGGTACTCCCCACACACACGGGTACTCCCCACACACGGGTACTCCCCCCACACACACAAGTACTCTCCACACACACACGGGTACTCCCCACACACACGGGTACTCCCCACACACACGGGTACTCCCCACACACACGGTACTCCCACACACGGGTACTCTCCCCACAACACACGGGTACTCCCCACACACACAAGTACTCTCCACACACACAAGTACTCTCCACACACACAAGTACTCCCACACACACAGTACTCCCCACACACACAGTACTCTCCACACACACAAGTACTCTCCACACACACACGGGTACTCCCCACAACGGGTACTCACACACTCCCCACACACATACTCCCACACACACGGTACTCCCCACACACACGGGTACTCCCACACACACGGCTACTCCCACACACACACGTACTCCCCACACACACACGGGTACTCCCACACACACGGGTACTACACACACGGGTACTCCCCACACACACACGGGTACTCCCCACACACACACGGGTACTCCCCACACACACACGAGTACTCCCCACACACGGGTACTCCCCACACACGGGTACTCCCCACACACAGGTACTCCCCACACACACACGGGTACTCCCCACACACACACGAGTACTCCCCACACACGGGTACTCCCCACACACACACGAGTACTCCCCACACACGGGTACTCCTCACAGACAGGTACTTCCCACACACACGAGTACTCCCCCCACACACACGGGTACTCCCCACACACACACACACGAGTACTCCCCACACACGGGTACTCCACACACACGGGTACTCCACACACACGGGTACTCCACACACACACGGGTACTCCATACACACGGGTACTCCACACACACGGGTACTCCATACACACGGGTACTCCACACACACACGGTACTTCCCACAGACAGGTGCTCACCACTATCATTTGTGTAAACACAGATCTGACTCTTTCTTCTCTCTTTGGTCTTTGGTCTTTGGTCTTTGGTCTTTGGTCTTTAGTTTTTGGTCTTTGGTCTGACTTGTTCTTCTCGTTCTTCTCATTCTTCTTGGTCCTGTCGTTCTTCTTGTTCTTCTCGGTCTCAGGTTTGGTCTGGTCTTTGGTCTTTGGTCTTTGGTCTGGTCTTTGGTCTTTGGTCTTTGGTCTTTGGTGGTCTTTGGTCTTTGGTCTTTGGTCTTTGGTCTTTGGTCTGGTCTTTGGTCTTTGGTCTGGTCTTTGGTCTTTGGTCTTTGGTCTTTGGTCTTTGGTCTTTGGTCTTTGGTCTTTGGTCTTTGGTCTTTGGTCTTTGGTCTTCTTTGGTCTTTGGTCTTTGGTCTTTGGTCTTTGGTCTTTGGTCTTTGGTCTTTGGTCTTTGGTCTTTGGTCTGGTCTGGTCTTTGGTCTTTGGTCTTTGGTCTTTGGTCTTTGGTCTTTGGTCTTTGGTCTTTGGTCTTTGGTCTTTGGTCTTTGGTCTTTGGTCTTTGGTCTGGTCTTTGGTCTTTGGTCTTTGGTCTTTGGTCTTTGGTCTTTGGTCTTTGGTCTTTGGTCTTTGGTCTTTGGTCTTTGGTCTTTGGTCTTTGGTCTGGTCTTCTTTGGTCTTTGGTCTTTGGTCTGGTTTTGGTCTTTGGTCTTTGGTCTTTGGTCTTTGGTCTTTGGTCTTTGGTCTTTGGTCTTTGGTCTTTGGTCTTTGGTCTTTGGTCTGGTCTTTGGTCTTTGGTCTTTGGTCTTTGGTCTTTGGTCTTTGGTCTGGTCTTTGGTCTTTGGTCTTTGGTCTTTGGTCTGGTCTTTGGTCTTTGGTCTTTGGTCTTTGGTCTGGTCTTTGGTCTTTGGTCTGGTCTTTGGTCTTTGGTCTTTGGTCTTTGGTCTTTGGTCTGGTCTTTGGTCTTTGGTCTGGTCTTTGGTCTTTGGTCTTTGGTCTTTGGTCTTTGGTCTTTGGTCTTTGGTCTTTGGTCTGGTCTTTGGTCTTCTTTGGTCTGGTTGGTCTTTTTGGTCTTTGGTCTTTGGTCTTTGGTCTTTGGTCTGGTTGGTTGGTCTTTGGTCTTTTTGGTCTTTGGTCTTTGGTCTTTCTGGTCTTTGGTCTTTTTGGTCTTTTTGGTCTTTGGTCTTTGGTCTTTGGTCTGGTCTTTGGTCTGGTCTTTGGTCTTCTTTGGTCTTTGGTCTTTGGTCTTTGGTCTGGTTTTGGTCTTTGGTCTTTGGTCTTTTGGTCTTTGGTCTTTGGTCTTTGGTCTTTGGTCTTTGGTCTTTGGTCTTTGGTCTTTGGTCTTTGGTCTTTGGTCTTTGGTCTTTGGTCTTTGGTCTTTGGTCTTTGGTCTGGTCTTTGGTCTGGTCTTTGGTCTTTGGTCTTTGGTCTTTGGTCTTTGGTCTGGTCTTTGGTCTTTGGTCTTTGGTCTTTGGTCTTTGGTCTTTGGTCTTTGGTCTGGTCTTTGGTCTTTGGTCTTTGGTCTTTGGTCTTTTGGTCTTTTTGGTCTTTGGTCTTTGGTCTTTGGTCTTTGGTCTTTGGTCTTTGGTCTTTTTGGTCTTTGGTCTTTGGTCTTTTTGGTCTTTGGTCTTTGGTCTTTGGTCTTTGGTCTTTGGTCTTTGGTCTTTGGTCTTTGGTCTTTGGTCTTTGGTCTTTGGTCTTTGGTCTTTGGTCTTTGGTCTTTGGTCTTTGGTCTTTGGTCTTTGGTCTTTGGTCTTTGGTCTTTGGTCTTTGGTTTTGGTCTTTGGTCTTTGGTCTTTGGTCTTTGGTCTTTGGTCTTTGGTCTTTGGTCTTTGGTCTTTGGTCTTTGGTCTTTGGTCTTTGGTCTTTGGTCTTTGGTCTTTGGTCTTTGGTCTTTGGTCTTTGGTCTTTTGGTGGTCTTTGGTCTGGTCTTTGGTCTTTTGGTCTTTTGGTCTTTTGGTCTTTGGTCTGGTCTTTGGTCTTTTTGGTCTTTGGTCTTTGGTCTTTGGTCTGGTCTTTGGTCTTTGGTCTTTGGTCTTTGGTCTTTGGTCTTTGGTCTTTGGTCTTTGGTCTTTGGTCTTTGGTCTTTGGTCTTTGGTCTGACTCGTTCTTCTCGTTCTTGTTCTCAGGCTGCAGAGGGAACGAGCTGAGATGGAGCAGAACTTTGCCAGAGAAATCTCAAACCTGGTGCAGAAGCTGAGCGCCGAGAAGGACCAACTGGAGGCCGAGCTCAAGCTCAAGATGGACCAAGAGCTCCTGCTGCTCAGGTGAGTCCGGGACTAGACCGGGACTAGACCGGGACTAGACCGGGACTAGACCGGGACCAGGACTAACCCAGGTGTGAGTGAACTCGTGTGTGTCTCAGAGGTTTGTGAGACGAGATGAGACCAAAGGCGTTTTTTCAGTAAGTTTTGGTCTTAAATGGAGCAGCAGAAACAGACGCTGTGTTCAGATTCAGGTTCAGGTTCTGGTTCTGGTTCAGGAGTTTCAGCTTCAGAACAGTTTTAGTCTTGACCTGAATCTGTGTATTTGTGATATTTTACTAGATTTTTCTTGTTCCTTTCTGTTCTAACGTTGTTCCTCTTCACAAACCTGAGTCTGCAAAGGTTCTAGACTCATCCGTGTTTGAGTCATCTAGAGATCTCTCCTGGGCCCTGTTCAAACCTGATGTGTGTGCAAGAGTTTTGTGGGGATAGAGCTCTGAAGGGGGAGGGACTCAGCGCAGAGAGCAATGAAAATTAAACATAAAAAACGTGTGAATCTGTTGTTTTGGCCAAATAAAACATTTTCAAAACAGTAAAAGGAACATGGAGATTTAAATCGTGACATGTTCCAGAGATGTAACGATCTCCAGACCTCACGATATTCTCACGATATTCAACTCACGATATTCAACTCACGATATTCAACTCACGGTGCGATTATTTATTGCGATATTTTGAAAGAGGCTGATATAATTGTACACTTTTTTGCTTTTAAAATACCCTGACAAGATTTTGTTGTGAATTATTTCCGTACGAAAGCCGAGAGGTTCACAACAAAAACAAACGCCGCAACAAACATAAACGCCACAACAAATACAAATGCGACAACACAACAAAAAGCCACAACACACCAAAAAAAAGCCACAACGGAAATGACCGCGGGACTCTAATTTAATGCACACGCCGCAACAAATACAAACAACACAAACGCAAAAGCCACAACACATTAAAAAGCCACAACAGAAGTGACCGCGGGACTTTATTTTCCGACGGACCGATCAAGTGTCAAGTGAAGAAGAAGAACTACAACGTGAAAAGTAAAGGAACGGAAAAGTTGGAAACGTAAGTAAAAGTAATTTATTGTTTTATCGTTATTCGTTTCACATTGTAGTTCTTCTTCTTCACTTGCCGCTTGATCGGTCCGTCGGAAAATAAAGTCCCGTGGTCATTTCCGTTGTGGCTTTTTTTCGGTGTGTTGTGGCTTTTTTTGTTGTGTTGTCGCATCTGTATTTGTTGCGGCGTTTGTGTTTGTTGTGACCGTCTCGGCTTCCGTATTTCCGTCATAATCCCAAAAAATCAAGTAAAAAACATATTTCTTCATGTTTGTGCTGAAATGAATCATGGGAAATGTAGTTCCTGATGTTTATAAACTTTTGTTACTATTTAAAAAAAATAATTTAAGCAAAGGAAGTTGTGACTCAATTATTGTGACGGTCCACGGTTTTATTGAGACTTTTGACGATCCGATATCACCATATTTCAGTTTTTGTTACATCTCCAGTGAAAACCCCAGAGCAAAACGTAAAGTAAAGACGATAGTTTGAGTTTATGATGTTTAATCAGACGTGGGTTTGTCGACTTTGATCGTTTAAATCAGACATGTCCAAACTACGGCCTGTGAGCCAAATGTGGCCTTCAGACACATGTTTCTTGGCCCTCAGGCTTCCAGGTGAATTGAGCAAGTGACCTGCATCAATTAAAAATGAACTTTTTGCTGCAAGTTTTTTGAAAATCTACCTTGATAAAGCAAATAGTTAATATTTAGTGTTTGGTTTTGAGGATCTTAGCGTGAATAAAAGTCTGATGGTTCGTTCTAATGTGATAAACCTGCACAGATTTTAATTCTTCACTGTACTGAGCTCCAGTCCACGGCCCTCGATCGTCCCTCTGCTTCGTCTTTGTGGAGATATGTGGCCCTTGGTGAACAAAGTTTGGACTCTCCTGGTTTAAAGTCATTTGGAAAAACAAAATAAACCTGTTTTATCTTCAGAGGTTGAGCTCTTTCTGTGGGTCATGAAGTCAAAAGTTTCAGTGCAGGTTTGAACCTGAAATCTGAACAGAAAGTTGCTCTCACTGAAAAATGGAAAAGTGGGAAAAGTACAAACCCGAGACACCGACTTAAAACTGAACCATCGATTCGTTTTGATCGACCAAAAATCTCGATCTCAGATTTTAAAAGCCTCAAAGTTGTGGTTTTGCCGTGGTTTTGCAGAGCTCCTGAAGTTTGATTTCCTAAACCATTGTCCTGGTTACAGACAGTGTTGTGGAGTAACAGATTACATGTACCAGAGTAATCAGAGTACAAATGATGAGTAACTGTATTCAGTTACAGTTACTGTTTCAGTGAGTGGTAATTGGATTACAGTTACTTTGTTCAAATAAATGGATTAAACACAGAGGGATTTAACTGTTTTCACATTTTGGGCTAAATCCTCCCTCATTGCTGGAAACTAAACCAGGTCTAAACCAGGACTAAACCAGGACTAAAACCAGGTCTAAACTAGAACTAAACCAGGACTAAAACCAGATCTAAACTAGATCTAAACCAGGTCTAAAACCAGGACTAAACCAGGACTAAATCAGGATTTAACAGGACTAAATCCTGCTGTGTGGACGTGTTTCTTCGTTTTCTATGAATAATATTTTTAATTTGGTTCAGTAAAATCTGGACTTTTTTATTTTCTTTTATCAGACAAAACTTCTTATGTTACAATATCCTGGTCTTTACTTGATTTGCTGAAGAGAAGTAATCCAAAGTATTCAGATTACATTGCTCACTTTAAGTAATTTAATGGATTCCGTTACAAACTACATTCTGGGGTGTGTAATCTGTAATCTGTAGGGGATTACATTTTAAAAGTGACCTTCCCAACACTGCACATTTCACTGGCTGTGACGTCTGTAACCAGGACAGTTTGGTCGTGTTTGGTGTAAACTGGGACATTTCAGTGTCCAGAGGAACTTTTGGTCAGTTTACTTCAGTGACTCGTGTGAGAAATGCAGCTGAGATGAAGGTTCAGACTGATGCTCGCTGTGGCTGGAGCCGTCAATGTTTTAATCTAAACATACAGAAAAACCTGATATTTGTTCATTATCCCTGGGATAATGTTATGTCTGATGTTCCACTGGCTCCACTCTGTTTCTACTAAGATATCGGTGCAGTTTCTCATTCAGACGAGGTGTTTCTACACAATATCACACAGCAGCGTTCAGTTCCCCAATTCAATGTGACAAGACAAAACATTTTTACCCTAAATCTGAATGAACCCACTTGTTGGTCGCTGTTGTAGCTCCTTGTTGTGTCATTACTCTGTTTTTACTCTGATACAAACTTAAACATGCTCAGTCTTGATCTGGATCCATGTTTCTTCTGCTCGATAAATAAAGTCTGTGAAGTGATGAAGTGTTTTTGACAGTAAAGTCTCGTCTGTGAATTCGTCTTAGTGCTGATGAAAGTTTAATCATAAACTTTCATTTGGTGATTGTAATTCTTGACGTCGTAACTTTTCAATTCGTATTCTGTTGGATAAAATACACACAATATATTTTATGTACGACTGGACTCATTCAAGAGTTTACAAATATTTATTTTATGCACAACCACAGACAAATATGCACTGATTTCTGTTCTATGCGCACAAATATTTCTGAAAGCTTCTTACTCCATAAGAACATGAATGAGTTATCGTGGTGATCAGGTCCTCAGGTCGTGACGAGGAGCGTCTCTGGTCCAAACGCGCCGACCTCCCTCCACGAAATAAAAGACACTTATTATATTCAGTTTGTATATTTTCCACTTTTTAAATTTTTCAGAACGAGCAACTTTCTGTTCAGATTTCCAACATATTTTATATTTGACCTCATGGATTAAAGCTGCACTGATTTTATTTTCGACATGTTTTGTTAAATGGCATTTTTGTGTTTGTCAGTTTCACTTTTTCATGAGTCAGAACAAAAATTCTTCACAACAAACAAGTTTAGTGATTTTTTTTTATAAAGAAATACAATAAATCTTGTGCAGGGCTGAGCAGAGACGCCCGAGTGACGTGATAAAAGTCTGAACAGTTCCATGTGTCCAACTGTGATCTGGTTTGAATCCTGATCCGGTTCTTTTGGTCCTGGTCCGGTCCGAGCAGGTCCCAGACGGAGCAGCAGCTGAGCCAATCACGGCGCAGGGAGGCGGAGCAGAGAGCATCATGGGAAAACTGCCTCGCAAACCAGGAAGAGGAAATGCAGCGGCTGCGGGACGTTCTCCTCCAATCACAGAGCGCCGCCCGACAGGTGGCCGCGCAGCTCAGCCAATCGGAGAGAAGCCTGCAGGAAGTGACCGTGCAGCTCAGCCAATCACGGCGGGAGGTGGAGGCGGGACAGCGGCGCGTCGGCCAATTAGAGCAGAGCTTAGAGGAGGCGCGTCTGCGAGGAGCGAGTTTGGACGAACAGGTTCAAGATCTGCAGGAAATTCAAACCAAACTTCAAACTGACATTAGCCAATCAGAACAAAGCTTACAGGAAGTGAGCAGACAGTTCAGCCAATCACAAAAGGAGGTGTCCAGGCTCCAGCAGCTCCTCGTCCAATCAGAACAGAGCTTAGAGGAGGCTAAAAACCACGGCAGCCAATTAGAGGAGGAGGTGAAACGGCTCCGAGGCGTCATGAGCCAATCACAGGAGGAGGCGGGGAGGCTGCGGCAGCTCCTCGGCCAATCGGAGCAGAGCCTGGAGCGGGCGGCGGAGTACGGCGTGCGGCTGGAGGAGGAGGAGCGGGCGTGGCGCGGGCGCTGCGGCGAGCTGGAGGCGCGGCTGGAGGAGGCATGTGCGCAGCTCAACGAAAGCATCGGCTTTTTAGAATCGCACGAAATCCTGAACGCGCGACTCACGCAGGAGAGGGCGGAGCTGGAGGCGGAGCTGCGGGAGGTCAGGGGGGAACGGGGGAGGAGCGGCGAGGAACCGGGCGAGGAACCGGGCGAGGAACCGGGTGAACGAGGACAGACGGAGGAGCTGGAGGAGCTGCGGGCGGATCGAGACAGACTCATCCAAGATCTGAAGGAGCAGGCCATGAAGGTCGACAGACTCCAGGAAGAACTGGACCAAGAGAAGAACGAGAGGAAGAGGAGAGAGGAGGAGGAGGTGAGGAAGAGGGAGGAGGAGGTGAGGGAGCTGAAAACCATCGCAGAGAAACACAAAATGGAGGTGTGGGAAAGAAAAGACGCTGAATACAAACTCCAGCAGGCTCTCGTCCAATCACAGAGCAGCTTACAGGACGTCAGACAGCAGCTGGACCAATCACAGAGCAGCTTCCAGGAAGTTCAGAGGCTCAAAGTGAAACTGGAGCGCGAGATAAAAGAGCTGAAACGACACGAGGACCAATCAGAGACGAGGTTACGGGACGCGATCGTACGGCTCGGCCAATCAGAGGAGCAGGTCCAGAGGCTGCAGCTGCTCATCGGCCAATCAGAATCAAGCGTAGAGCGAAGCCAGACGTGCTGCAGCCAATCAGAGCGAAGTCACGCCAGCTTTAACCAATCAGACACCAGCGTACGGGAGATGACTCAACAGAGGAGCCAATCGGAGCGTGACGGGGCGGGGCTGTGTGAGGAAAGGGCGGAGATGTGCGAAGAGGGGATGGAGCTGCGTGAGGAGGGGGCGGAGCTTCGAGAGGAGCTGTGGCGCGCGTGCGAGGAGCGTGAGCGGTACATGCGCGTGTGCGACCAGCTCTGCGCTCAGGTGGTGGAGATGGAGGAGGAGGGCGGGGCTTTGCGGGCGTTCCTCGGCGACGTGAGCGCGCGGTTAAACCAAACGGCCGACCTGGTGCTGGAGCTGCGCCGCCAGAGGAACCTCCAGAACGAGGAGCTGCAGAGGCTGAGGCGCGACTCCGAGCTCAAACTGCGCCACATGGAGGCGCTGGTGAGGCGTCTGGAGCGGGAGGACGGCGCCGCCTACAGGTCTCAGACTAACCCCGCCCCCGGAGATCCGTGCATGACGCCATTCTGTGTCTAACTCTGAGTCCGCTGCATGATCGTGTAGAGCCACTCTGTGCACGCCGGCCGCCATTTTGTGTCTAACTGTGGCATGATTCCGCCGCTCTGTCTGAACTCACCGGCCGCCATTTTGTGTCTAACCTCCATCTGATCAAACTCACAAACTCATCACCTGACTTTCACTTTTGATCCTCCGCCAATCAAACCGAGCGACGGCAGCCATTTTGTGTCTGAGTTTCTTCACCACATGATTTCGTGTAAATGCGTCCGACTCTTGTGTGAAACGCTTAAAGAGGGACTTTTACTGCAGTGGTGGGTTCAGCGCTCTGAGGGGGGAGTGACTTAGTGCAGAGAGCAAAGGGAGGGGGGGCTCAGAGCGGCAAAAACAAAAGTGAAACTAATAAAACATGTTAAGAAGTTTTTTTGTGTGAATGTAACATTTATAAAAACAGTAAAAGAAACTCAGGAGTAAATACCCCCCCCCCCCCCCAACACCCACAGGAGTAAATACCCCCTCTTTAAGTTGCCACAGGTTTGTTTGGTGTCGGCCATTTGTGTCGTCGCTCGATCAGATTCACTGCATGATTTTACATGATTCCATTTTCCATGATTTCACATTTTATCTTTACATTTTAAATTCACATTTTACATTTACATTTTACTTTTATATTTTACATTTACATTTTCTATTTATGTTTTACATTTTGCTTTTACATTTTACATTCACATTTTACATTTATGTTTCACATTTACGTTTTACATTTACATTTTACATTTGTTTTACATTTATGTTTTACATTTTGCATTTATGTTTTACATTTTACATTTTACTTTTACGATTTACATTTTACATTTACGTTTTACATTTACATTTTACTTTTACGATTTACATTTTACATTTACGTTTTACATTTACATTTTACTTTTACGTTTTACATTTTACATTTTACATTTTACATTTACATTTTACATTTACGTTTTACATTTATGTTTTACATTTATGTTTTACGTTTACGTTTTACATTTTACATTTACATTTTACATTTATGTTTTACATTTACATTTATGTTTTATATGACTTCGTTTTCATTTTTTACACGTCTCATTTAAATCATAAACTTTGTGTCTAAACTAACCGAATGAAACTGCATCACCACAGCGGACGTTTTGTGTCTGACCTCCATTTTGTGACTTGTGTGTTTTGGAGTGAAGCATGATCCGCGATCACATGATCCGCGATCACATGATCCGCGATCACATGATCCGCGATCACATGATCCACGATCACATGATCCACGAACACTTTAATGTTCAATATGTCACATTTGTTTTATGTGAAGTTAATCTCTCTGCTCCTGTCTGCTCCTGTCTGCTCCCTGTCTGCTCCTGTCTGCTCCTGTCTGCTCCTGTCTGCTCCTGTCTGCTCCTGTCTGCTCCTGTCTGCTCCTGTCTGCTCCTGTCTCCTGCAGGACTCAGCTGGAGGACGTTCGCTCTGAAAACGGCGCTCTTCAGGGGCGGGTCGCTCTGCTCCAACAGGAAGTAACGGCGCTGGAGGAGGAAGTGGACCGGACACGGTGAGTCTTTCAGAGACTTTTCGAAGAACCCGACTTTTCAAACCCGTAAAATTTGAGCGTCAAAGCGGAACATGTTCTAGAGGAGAACGTGAGGCTGGAACATGTTCTAGAGGAGAACGTGAGGCTGGAACATGTTCTAGAGGAGAACGTGAGGCTGGAACATGTTCTAGAGGAGAACGTGAGGCTGGAACATGTTCTAGAGGAGAACGTGAGGCTTGGAACATGTTCTAGAGGAGAACGTGAGGCTGGAACATGTTCTAGAGGAGAACGTGAGGCTGGAACATGTTCTAGAGGAGAACGTGAGGCTGGAACATGTTCTAGAGGAGAACGTGAGGCTGGAACATGTTCTAGAGGAGAACGTGAGGCTGGAACATGTTCTAGAGGAGAACGTGAGGCTGGACTCTGTGGATCGTCTGCACATCTACAGAAGAATCTGTTTTGTTTTTCTGTTTTAGGAGGAAAATGGAGGAAACCGAACGAGATCGAGAACGACTGAAAGACGAGCAGGAACTTCTGCACAAAGAGGTCTGCAAAAGTCCGGATTTAGTCCTGGTTCAGTCCTGGTTCAGTCCTGGTTCAGTCCTGGTTTAGTCCTGGTTTAGTCCTGGTTTAGTCCTGGTTTAGTCCTGGTTTAGTCTTGGGTCTGGTCCTGGTCTTGGCTCAGTCTGGTTCTGGTTCTGGGCAGAATTCTGGACTTCGGGAGCAGATGTTGGAGCTGAGCAGCAGGAACCTGGAGCTGAGCAGCTCAAACGCAGATCTGAGCTGTAAGAACCGAGGAGAACACGAGGTCCTGGTCCAGACGCAGGAACGACTCCGGAACCTGGGACGGGAGCACGAGGAGCACAGCGCCACCGTGAGTATGACAGTGAAGCTCAACGGTCCCACCCTGGTTCAGTCCTGGTTCAGTCCTGGTTCAGTCCTGGTTCAGTCCTGGTCTGGTCTCAGTCCCAGTGTTTCCTCAGGTGCAGCGTCTGAAGGAGGAGCTGGTCAGATCAGAGAGAGACAAACAGCAGAGACTCAACGCCTGGACCCAAGAGAAGCAGCTCCTGCAGACGGAGCTCAGCACGGCCAAGAGCAAGGTTAGACCGGGGTTAGACCGGGGTTAGACCGGGGTTAGACCGGGGTTAGACCGGGGTTAGACCGGGGTTAGACCGGGGTTAGACCGGGGTTAGACCGGGGTTTAGACCGGGTTCAATCCCTAGGTCAGTGCTGATTTAGACTAGATTTAGACTGGGTTTAGTCCTGGTTTAGTTCTCGTTTTGGTCTCAGGTGGGTGTGGTCTTGCTTTCAGGTGGGTGTGGTCTCGGACTTGGAGGCGGAGCTACAGACTTTGGGGCTGAAGCTGAAATGGAGCGAAGACGATAACGAGAAACTGAAGCGAGACGCCGAGAAGAGACAGCAGCAGGTCAGACGATACCATACAGACGATACCATACAGACGATACCATACAGACGATACCATACAGACGATACCATACAGACGATACAGACGATACCATACAGACGATACCATACAGACGATACCATACAGACAAGACGATACCATACAGACGATACCATACAGACGATACGACGATACCATACAGACGATACCATACATACAGACGATACCATACAGACGATACCATACAGACGATACCAGACGATACCATACAGACGATACCATATACAGACGATACCATACAGACGATACCATACAGACGATACCATACAGACAAGACGATACCATACAGACGATACCATACAGACGATACCATACCGACGACGATACCATACAGACAGACGATACCATACAGATACATACAGACGATACGATACAGACGATACCATACAGACAAGACGATACCATACAGACGATACCATACAGACGATACCATACAGACGATACCATACAGACGATACCATACAGACGATACCATACAGACGATACCATACAGACGATAAGGATGATACGATGTAGACAATACTATACAGACTATACAATATGGACGATACGATATGATACAGACGATACTAAACACATGATATGATACCTACGATATGATACAGACGATAAAATACAGACTACGATACGATACAGGCCTCGATACAGCAGCTCACGATATCCAAACTGTATCGTCGTTAATGATACGATATATAGATGTTTTGATAATTTTGCACCCCCCTAGTTTAGACCTGGTTCAGTCCTGGTTCAGTCCTGGTTCAGTCCCGGTTCAGTCCCGGTTCAGTCCCGGTTCAGTCCTGGTTCAGTCCTGGTCTGTCCTGCAGGTGGAGCAGTTGAGCGCGTCTCTGAGCGCTCTGGAGATGGAGGCGGAGTCTCTTCGGGCTCAGCTACAGTCGACCAATCAGGAGGCTCTGAGCAACAAACAGGAAGTGACACAAGCGCAGAGGAAACTTCAGGACGCCCACAACAAGGTGAGTCCCAAAAGTCCTGGTTCAGTCCTGGTTCAGTCCCGGTTCAGTCCTGGTTTTGGTCTGGTTCAGGTGGAGGAGCTGGAGTCGAGTCTCAGGAAGTTCATCGCAGAGAAGGAGGAAGTGACATCATCGTTTGAGGCGGAGCTACAGCGTCTGCGAATCACAAATCAAGAACTGGAGTCAAAGGTCAGATCCTCCTCTAGACCCTGTCCCAGACCCTCCTCTAGACCCTGACCCAGATCCTCCTCTAGACCCTGTCCCAGATCCTCCTCTAGACCCTGTCCCAGATCCTCCTCTAGACCCTGACCCAGATCCTCCTCTAGACCCTGACCTAGATCCTCCTCTAGACCCTGACCTAGATCCTCCTCTAGACCCTGACCCAGATCCTCCTCTAGACCCTGACCCAGATCCTCCTCTAGACCCTGACCTAGATCCTCCTCTAGACCCTGACCCAGATCCTCCTCTAGACCCTGTCCCAGATCCTCCTCTAGACCCTGTCCCAGATCCTCCTCTAGACCCTGTCCCAGATCCTCCTCTAGACCCTGTCCCAGATCCTCCTCTAGACCTGTCCCCAGACCTCCTCCTCTAGACCCTGTCCAGATCCTCCTCTAGACCCTGACCTAGATCCTCCTCTAGACCCTCCAGGTCCTCTCTAGACCCTGACCCAGGTCCTCCTCTAGACCCGGGTCCCAGGTCCTCCTCTAGACCCGGCCAGGTCCTCTCTAGACCCGGGTCCAGATCCTCCTCTAGACCCGGGTCCAGGTCCTCCTCTAGACCCGACCTAGATCCTCCTCTAGACCCGGGTCCTCCTCCTCTAGACCCGTCCAGGTCCTCCTCTAGACCCGGGTCCAGGTCCTCCTCTAGACCCGTGGTCCGGGTCCAGGTCCTCCTCTAGATCCGGGCCCAGGTCCTCGTAAAACTGGTTTTGGTTTCAGGTTCTCGAGGTCCGGACGGAGAACCAACAGATCCAGAAACTGAACCAACAACAGCTGCAGCTCCGGACCCAACTGGACCAGTTAGAGACCGCCAAGACCCAGGCCCAAGACCAGGTCAGAACCGGGACTGAACCAGGACTGAACCAGGACTGAACCAGGACTGAACCAGGACTGAACCAGGACTGAACCGGGACTGAACCGGGACTGAACCGGGACTGAACCAGGTCTCTGTTCCAGGCGCTCAGAGCAGACACGGCCCTGAGTCTGGTCCAGGCTCAGCACCTTCGTCAGATCCACCAGATCCAGACCGAGTCCAAGTCCGAGTCCAAGTCCGAGTCCAGGACCAGAGAAGAACTGGACTCGGTTCTGGACCAACTGAGGGACGAACGACGGCGGAGAGAGAGAGCGGAGGAGGAGCTGAGAGAGAGAGACAGGGGCGAGCGACAGGTGAGAGACGGGGGCGAGCGACAGGTGACTCTTTGACTCTTTGACTCTTTGACTCTTTGACTCTTTGACTCTTTGACTCTGGTCTGACCTTCAGCTTCATCTCGTTCTTCATCCAGACGGTTTAATCTGACCTTTGTTTATGGGAGTTTTGGGAAATCTTCCAGAAGAACATTTGTGAGGTTCTCAGTCTCGGCTCTGATCCGTCCCAGAGGTTCTACAGGCTGAGGTCAGGTTCATCCACACCAAACTCTCTGCTCCAGGTCTTTGTGGAGCTGCTCTGTGCTCTGCTCACAGTCATGATGAAGAGGAAGGACCATCTCCAAACTGTTCCACAAAGTTGGGATCATGGAACTGTCCAAAATCTCTTGGTCTGCTGAAGCGTTTCTTTCATTGGAACTAAGCATCCAAGTCCAGCTCCTGAAGAACAAGCCCACACCATCATCCCCGTCCAACAAACTCCAAGAAACTCCACCAAACTCCACCAAACTCCAAGAAACTCCAAGAAACTTTACACTCGGCACAAAGCACCAGACAAGAACCGTTCTCCTGCAGCCGCCAAACCCACACTCGTCCATCAGAACCTCCAAACCCACACTCGTCCATCAGAACCTCCATCCCGCACTCGTCGTTCAGACTGTCAGATGGAGAAGTTCGGTTGGTCGCTCAGAAAGTTCTCTGCTCTAGAGTCCGGAGGCGTCCGACGTTTTGCTCTTGGTGATTGGTGGATTGATCTGGGTGAGTCTTGGATGCAGCTGCTCGGTCGTGGAAACACATTCCATGAAGTTCTGCCACTGTTCTGGAGGTCATCTGAAGGACACGTGAAGGTTGGAGTCTGTAGAGATCGACATGGACACTCTCTCTCTCAATTAAAAACCAATAAAAAAAATGATCCTGACTGTTTTACTTTGTCTCCATTTTTATTTGTATTATAACCTTCAGGAGTTTTCTGTTTCTGTTCTTATGTTTCTGTTTAAATTCATGCATCAAGAATCTCAGACTTTCGGTCATCGTGTAATTCAGACTGAGAAGGATTTTCTCAAAAAGTGATCATCAAACCTCCATGTTTGTTTTCCCAGTGGGATTTGTCTATTGACAAAGTCGATCTTTTCAAGTCTTCTGTTTCTTCCTGTGGATCAATCCTGCTCATCACCTTCACCTTTCACTAGTTTTCAATTCCCTTGGGAAGAGAAACAGTTTGAACAGAGGTTTGAGTCACACACATCTGATTCACTTTTGTATTTATGAAGTTTACAAACACGTTTCTTGAGCCGTTTTCCGCTGTTAGAACAAACAACCACAGAAATACGACGTCCGAATCCCAAAACTAAAATATGACAAAATCAGAACCAGAAACAAAAGTGAAATGGTTCAAAAGACTTGAAAAGATCAACTTTGTCAACAGACACGTCCCACTGGGAAAACAAACATGGAGGTTTGACGCTCACTTTTCCAGACGATCCTTCCCAGTGTGAACAACACGATGACTTGAAGTCTGACGACCTTGATGCGTGTTGATGTTGTTAAATATGTCGGGGCGTCGCTGTTGTTTTTAATTCTTGTGTTGTCGTTTTTCTGTTGCAGCTGAAACTCTTTGTGTTGAATTTCAAATGTTTGAAAAGTTCTGTACAAATAAAGTTTGATTGATTTGATCGATTGATTCACTTGAGACACGGAACAAACCGGAACATCTCGTTCACATGTGGACGAGACGAAGCTGCTGCTGTAAAATCTGTGACAATAAACGAGTTTGAGCTGACGTCATTGTTATTAAAAGTCCGCGTTGCTGCTGGGAAATATTCTGGTCGGAGGCAGAAACACGATAGCGTCAAACACAGTGTGTAACCTCGAGTATTTCTCCTGATATTGATAAACTCCTGCTGCATTATCAGACGCACAAATAGAAACACGGAAGAAGGAAAATGTCTTTTTCTTATTCTAAGTGAAAAGAACCACTAACGGTGAATTAAACGACTTTCAAACATCCGCAGAGCAAACGTAGAAGATCCTAACAAACCGTGGACTCAACAAGTTCAACAACACATCCAGACTCTTGGAGGTTTTCATCTTTTCTGCTGTGAATGGCCCAGGAGTTTCCACCAAGTCATTGTGGATGTCGCCCAAGTGAATATTTGTCCAGGGAGTTGGAGATTCTGACCAGAAGTTTGGTTTGGTCCAGACTCTGTCGGGGTTGAAAAGGGAGATTTGTCGTCCGTCGATGTTTATGACCAGTTTGTGGTCAGATGGTCTTGGGTCGTCTGCCGTTAGAGTGGATCAATAACCAGGATCAATGCCCTTTACGTGTTTTCTCGCTCCGTCCGTCATGTTGAATTAGTGTTTCTTGCCACCGACCAAAATAATTCCCAGGATGCAACACACGCTTTTGTCAACAATGAAACTCAACTATAAAATTCACTCTGACTTTGACTTTTGGAACCGACCGATGCGGCGCTCAGACAGGAAGTGTTCACGGTCGAGTTTGGGCTCCACAGACTCTGGCTCCAGTTCAGTTGGTGTGGAAAAGCGTCTCTCTGACCTCTGACCTTTGGCCTCCTCGTGACCCTGGGTTTGGTTTGGTCCTAAATCCGGACGTGAACCTGAAGATCTGCTCTGGTTTCAGGGGGACCACGACAGGACCGACAGGACCGACAGGACCGACAGGGCCGACAGGGCCGACAGGACCGTGTCTCTGCTGCAGGACCGAACCCAGGACCTGGAGACTCAACTGAAGGCCACACGCAGCCTCCTCCACGAGAAGAACCAACAGCTCCAGGACCAGGTCTGAACCAGGACTAAACCAGGACTAAACCAGGACTAAACCAGGACTAAACCAGGACTAAACCAGGACTGAACCAGGACTGAAACCAGGAACTGAAACCAGGACTGAACCAGGACTAAACCAGGACCAGAACCAGGAACTGAACCAGGACTAACCAGGACTGAACCACCAGGACTAAACCAACAGGACTGAACCAGGACTTAAACCAGGACTGAAACCAGGACTGAAACCAGGACTGAACCAGGAACTGAACCAGACTGAACCAGGACTAAACCAGGACTAAACCAGGACTAAACCAGGACTGAACCAGGACTGAACCAGGACTAAACCAGGAACTGAACCAGGAACTTGAACCAGGACTAAAACCAGGACTAGAACCAGACTGAGACCCAGGACTGAACCAGGTCTGAACCAGGAACTGAACCAGGACTAGACCAGGAACCATGAACCAGGACTGAAACCAGGACTAAACCAGGACTAAACCAGGAACCAGGACTGAACCAGGACTGAACCAGGACTGAACCAGGTCTGAACCAGAACTGAACCAGGACTAAACCAGGACTAAACCAGGAACCAGGACTGAACCAGGACTAAACCAGGACTAAACCAGGTAACCACCAGGAACCAGAACCAGAACTGAACCAGGACTAAACCAGAACTGAACCAGGACTAAACCAGGTCTGAACCAGGTCTGAACCAGGACTAAACTAGGACTAGGACTCTGACCGTGACCTGTTCTGACTCGGTGTGACCCGGTGTGACTCGGTGTGTTGCAGATGACTCGAGTTGCGAGCGGTGGGGCTCTGGTGCAGCAGTTGTACCTGGAGAACTCGGAGCTGCAGGTGGCGCTGCAGGAGACGGAGCAGCGGCACCGCCAGGTCCAGACCAAGAACCAGACCCTCCAGTCCAAAGTCCAGGCCCTGAACCGGCTCCTGCGCCAACTGGTCCCACACGCCCTCGCCTAGACCCGACTCGACCCGAATGGTCCCACACGCCCTCGCCTAGACCCGACTCGACCCGCACGCTCTCGCCTAGACCCGACTGGACCCGCACGCCCTCGCCTAGACCCGACTCGACCCGACTGGTCCCGCACGCCCTCGCCTAGACCCGACTCGACCCGACTGGTCCCACACGCCCTCGCCTAGACCCGACTCGACCCGCACGCTCTCGCCTAGACCCGACTGGTCCCGCACGCCCTCGACCCGACTCGACCCGACTGGTCCCACACGCCCTCGACCTAGACCCGACTGGACCCGCACGCCCTCTCGCCTAGACCCGACTCGACCCGACTGGACCCGCACGCCCTCGCCTAGACCCGACTGGTCCCGCACGCCCTCGCCTAGACCCGACTCGACCCGACTGGTCCCGCACGCCCTCGCCTAGACCCGACTTGACCCGACTGGACCCGCACGCCCTCGCCTAGACCCGACTCGACCTGACTCGACCCGACTGGCCCGGACCTGCAGGACTCGACTGTTGTAAATGAAGTCTGTAAAATGAAGTGAATAAAAGTCGTTTTTATCAGATTTTTTGTTTGTTTTTTTACATTTTGACTCGAAGTTTCAGATTCACACGAAGCACAAATGTGGAAACAAAAAAGAAAAAAGACAAATATGAAAATCATTTTTATATTTTATCTCCAACTTTTACTTCGAGTCGGTTTTTAGGAACTCGCCTTGGTTCATATTTTATAAAAACTCAAACTTTTCCACAAACTCAGGTCGTCGTTTCACTTCGAGTTTTGTGGAGTTTTGTTCAAGTCGCCGTCGTCAACTGAACAGAAACGAACAAAATATCATTTACACAAAAATAATCATGAATCATTTTAGAAATAAACTCACACAAATGAAAACACAACACACAAAACAACACAAACAAAACACAAACTATTGTGTCATTTTCTGCTGTTTTGAGGCTGGTTGTGCGTTCGATTAATTTTCTTAAAGCAGACGCACAAAGACGCTCAGACCAAAAACCGACACGTTTGTGTTTCATTTTTCACTTGAGTCAAATGAGACTTGACTGTGTGTGTGTGTGTGTGTGTGTGTATGTGTGTGTGTGTGTGTATGTGTGTATGTGTGTGTGTGTGTATGTGTGTGTGTATGTATGTGTGTGTGTGTGTAATGTATGTGTATATGTGTGTGTGTATATGTGTGTGTGTGTGTGTGTATGTGTGTGTGTGTGTGTGATATGTGTGTGTGTGTATAGAGTTGTGTGAGTCAGGTCAGACACCAGGTCATGTCCAGGTCGTTTCCTTCGTCTTTTTGATTCTTGTTGATTTTGTTTTTACTTTAACAAAGTGAAAGAAAAAAAGTTTTCTCATCTCGACGTGTTTCAAATCACTTTTATTTAAATACGTTTTTAAGTTTTTATTTTTTATGACACACACTCTCTTCTTCTTTTCACACTCTGGTCGGTCCTGGACACACTGATGTGTTCGGGGTAAAAGGTGAAGCCGCTGCAGAACACGACCTGTCACTGCCAGCAGAGGGCGCACGGCTCCACTGGAACACGCACCAGGTCACACACACCGGGTCACACACACACACAGTCACATACACCGGGTCACACACTCTGTGCCGGGTCACTCCCCCTTCAGAGCGTCACACTAATGAAACTCCTGCACAAACATCAGGTTTGTTCAGTCCAGGTGTTCAGTTTTGTCGTGTTTGTGTTTTTATGGAGAATTGTCATGTGGGAGCCTGGGGGGCGGAGCCTCGTACAGTGGGAGCATGCGGGCGGAGCCTCGTACTATGTGGACTTTTACCTGAGGAAGTTTTTTTTTGTGTCACAAACTCGTTCTGTTCGTGTGTGAATTCTCCTGTCACATTTTAAATCTCAAAACTGAAAACACCAGAGCCACGACCGGGACTAGACCTGAGGTGTTTCACGTGGAGACCTGAGGTGTTTCACGTGGAGACCTGAGGTGTTTCACGTGGAGACCTGAGGTGTTTCACGTGGAGACCTGAGGTGTTTCAGAGTGTTCCTCTCAGTTTTGAAGAGGAACTGGTTGCTTTGCTGGTTTGTTTTCAGACGTTGGTTTGTGTGACTTTTTCTCCTGAAGAAACCAAATCGACCTAAAGAACCGTGAGAAAGATCTGAGGAGAAAACTCTGAAGAACCTGGAGCTCTGTTGGGGGAGGAGGGTCTGATCTTACCTCGTGTTTGAGATCGGGTCCAGACCTGAGGCAGGTTCCGGTCAGGACCCGGTGCCTCGGCTCCAAATCAAGACTCACACGTTTTTTTTAAATGTTTATTACAAAAGGTTTGAACACGATACAACACAACGCTACCAACAAGACCAGCCCTGCTCCAGACCAGGGCTAGAACCAGGTCTAGACCTGGTCCCGGTCTAGACCCGGTCTTGGTCCGGACCCGGGAGCAGGCGGTGGCTCTGTACAAACTGTGATGGAGTCTCCTGCGGTGAAGTCTTGGGTTTTTCTCACATTAAATAGAATTATATTCATATGTTACAACATCGTCCAATCTCATAAATACAAGGAGGCGGGAACAGGAAACGCACGACTATTTAAAAGAACCAGAACACCAATCAGAACGCAGCCAACGGCCAATCAAATCGCTCGCTCTTCGGCTGGGGGCGGAGTCGGCTCGGCTTCGGCGCTTTCACCAAATTCACCGAAAAAACAGCCAAAAGAATCGCTCACTTGACTTTTAACGTCGATGTTTTTGCTTCGATCAAATTCATTTCAGATTTTTTTCGTGAACGTTCTGAGGGTTTGGACTTTTTACTTTTAGAAGAATTCTTAAATTTAAACTTTAAAAATGCACTGAGTCTTTAGAGTTTAGAGTTTTTTGGAGAATGGGTGAAAGTCGGAGCCGGAGCCGCTCGGAGGAAAACCGGGTCAAAAATAAAAAGAAAAGTGCTGCAAAAACAGAAGTGACCTGAAGAGGGCGCCGCCTCCACAAAAACCAGAGGGACGGGGGCGGGGCTAATACTGGGCGTTTCCCAGAATTCCTCACGGAGCATGTGAGGGAGGGGCCTGAGGCCTTATAAGGTCTGTGAGGTCATGTGATGGCCGAGGGGGCGGGGCTTCGGGGGCGGGGCCACGTTAGCCTCGGCAAAGGAGGCGGAGCTAGGGCTGTATTTGGGCGTGGGGGCGGGGCTCAGTTTGTCTTGACTCATGGGGCGGGGCTTCCTGTGGGCGGGGCTCCGAGGGGGCGGGGCTCAGTCGGACTCGGACTCGATGGGCGCGGTCTCCTGCAGCCGCTCCTGCTGCTCGCGGTGCGCCCTCTTGTGGCGGGAGAAGGAGGACGAGTGGAGGAAGGACTTGCCGCAGACGCCGCAGGTGTAGGTTTTGCCCGAGCGGCGGTGGGCGGGGCTCAGGCGGCTCTTCATGTGCGTCTGCAGGTGCCGCGTGAGGCCGGAGGCGTGGCCGAAGCGTTTGCCGCACTGAGAGCAGCGGTGGCGGCGGCCGCGCGCCGGAGGCTCCTCCTCCTCCGACCCCGAGGACGCGGAGGAGGGGTCGGAGGGCAGCAGGCCCCGCCTCCTCTTCTCGCACAGAGTGTAAACGTTGGGTTTGTCCCGAGAGCAAAGCTTCAGACGAATCTTCAGGTCCGACTGAGAATCAGACATGTTCTCCTTGTCTTTGGGCGGGAAACCTCCCAGGAGCGCCTTCACGTGGGTCACCTGCCACGACAGAACGACAGGTGAGACAGGTGAGAGACAGGTGAGGGACAGGTGAGGGACAGGAGAGAGACAGGCGAGGGACAGGAGAGGGACAGGTGAGGGACAGGTGAGGGACAGGAGAGGGACAGGACACGACAGGTGAGACAGGTGAGAGACAGGCGGAGACAGGCAAGGGACAGGTGAGGGACAGGTGAGGGACAGGTGAGGGACAGGTGAGGGACAGGTGAGGGACAGGTGAGGGACAGGCGAGGGACAGGCGAGGACAGGTGAGGGACAGGTGAGGGACAGGTGAGGGACAGGTGAAAGACAGGCGAGGGACAGGCGAGGGACAGTGAGGGACAGGTGAGAGACAGGTGAGGGACAGGAGGGACAGGTGAGGGACAGGAGGGACAGGTGAGGGACAGGTGAAAGACAGGTGAGAGACAGGCGAGGGACAGGTGAGGGACAGGTGAGAGACAGGTGAGGACAGGTGAGGGACAGGTGAGGGACAGGCAGGGACAGGCGAGGGACAGGTGAGGGACAGGTGAAAGACAGGTGAGGGACAGGCGAGGGACAGGTGAGAGACAGGTGAGAGACAGGCGAGGGACAGGTGAGAGACAGGTGAGGGTAGTCCCCTTTTAGCCCCCCTCCTCATCCCCTGTAGACCCACCCTGTAGTCCTGGTTCAGTCTTGGTCGGGTACGGTCCCAGTCAGAGTCGGTCCCAGTCGGGTTCAATTCGGTCCAGGTTCAGTCCCGGTTTGGTCCAGGTCGGGTTCAGTCTGGTCCAGGTTCAGTCCCGGGTCGGTCCGAGTCGGGTTCAGTCTGGTCCGGGTCGGTCCAGGTCGGGTTCAGTCTGGTCCGGGTCGCTCCAGGTCGGGTTCAGACCTGGTGCTTGTTGAGTTGGGTGGAGCTCTTGAAGCTCATGTCGCACTGGGGGCAGGCGTAGAGTTTGGAGGGGTGGAGGGGGGCGGCGGCGGCATTGGGACGTTTGCCCCGCCTCCCCTTGAGCGGGTGCAGGGCGGGCGCGGCGGCGTGGGCGGCGTGGGCGGGCGCGTGCGGGTGGGCGGCCGTCTTGGGGTGGTCCTTCTTTCCTTTCTTGTGGATGAGACGATGTCGCGACAAACTGGAGCTGTGGTTAAACTCCTTCCCACAAATATTACACGGATGAATCCGACGCTTCCCGTGGAGACGCAGGTGACTCCCCAACATCCTGAAATACACAAATATATACATGTACTACAGTACTGCAGTACTACAGTACTACAGTACACACGCAGGTGACTCCCCAACATCCTGAAATACACAAATATATACATGTACTACAGTACTACAGTACTACAGTACACACGCAGGTGACTCCCCAACATCCTGAAATACACAAATATATACATGTACTACAGTACTGCAGTACTACAGTACTACAGTACACACGCAGGTGACTCCCCAACATCCTGAAATACACAAATATATACATGTACTACAGTACTACAGTACTACAGTACACACGCAGGTGACTCCCCAACATCCTGAAATACACAAATATATACATGTACTACAGTACTGCAGTACTACAGTACTACAGTACACACGCAGGTGACTCCCCAACATCCTGAAATACACAAATATATACATGTACTACAGTACTACAGTACTACAGTACACACGCAGGTGACTCCCCAACATCCTGAAATACACAAATATATACATGTACTACAGTACTGCAGTACTACAGTACTACAGTACACACGCAGGTGACTCCCCAACATCCTGAAATACACAAATATATACATGTACTACAGTACTGCAGTACTACAGTACTACAGTACACACGCAGGTGACTCCCCAACATCCTGAAATACACAAATATATACATGTACTACAGTACTGCAGTACTACAGTACTACAGTACTACAGTACACACGCAGTGACTCCCCAACATCCTGAAATACACAAATATATACATGTACTACAGTACTGCAGTACTACAGTACTACAGTACACACGCAGGTGACTCCCCAACATCCTGAAATACACAAATATATACATGTACTACAGTACTGCAGTACTACAGTACTACAGTACACACGCAGGTGACTCCCCAACATCCTGAAATACACAAATATATACATGTACTACAGTACTGCAGTACTACAGTACTACAGTACACACGCAGGTGACTCCCCAACATCCTGAAATACACAAATATATACATGTACTACAGTACTGCAGTACTACAGTACTACAGTACACACGCAGGTGACTCCCCAACATCCTGAAATACACAAATATATACATGTACTACAGTACTGCAGTACTACAGTACTACAGTACACACGCAGGTGACTCCCCAACATCCTGAAATACACAAATATATACATGTACTACAGTACTGCAGTACTACAGTACTACAGTACACACGCAGGTGACTCCCCAACATCCTGAAATACACAAATATATACATGTACTACAGTACTACAGTACTACAGTACACACGCAGGTGACTCCCCAACATCCTGAAATACACAAATATATACATGTACTACAGTACTGCAGTACTACAGTACTACAGTACACACGCAGGTGACTCCCCAACATCCTGAAATACACAAATATATACATGTACTACAGTACTACAGTACTACAGTACTACAGTACACACGCAGGTGACTCCCCAACATCCTGAAATACACAAATATATACATGTACTACAGTACTGCAGTACTACAGTACTACAGTACTACAGTACACACGCAGGTGACTCCCCAACATCCTGAAATACACAAATATATACATGTACTACAGTACTGCAGTACTACAGTACTACAGTACTACAGTAAACACGCAGGTGACTCCCCAACATCCTGAAATACACAAATATATACATGTACTACAGTACTGCAGTACTACAGTACTACAGTACACACGCAGGTGACTCCCCAACATCCTGAAATACACAAATATATACATGTACTACAGTACTGCAGTACTACAGTACTACAGTACACACGCAGGTGACTCCCCAACATCCTGAAATACACAAATATATACATGTACTACAGTACTGCAGTACTACAGTACTACAGTACACACGCAGGTGACTCCCCAACATCCTGAAATACACAAATATATACATGTACTACAGTACTGCAGTACTACAGTACTACAGTACTACAGTACACACGCAGGTGACTCCCCAACATCCTGAAATACACAAATATATACATGTACTACAGTACTGCAGTACTACAGTACTACAGTACACACAGTACAGCAGGTGACTCCCCAACATCCTGAAATACACAAATATATACATGTACTACAGTACTGCAGTACTACAGTACTACAGTACACACGCAGGTGACTCCCCAACATCCTGAAAATACACAAATATATACATGTACTACAGTACTGCAGTACTACTACAGTACTACAGTACACACGCAGGTGACTCCCCAACATCCTGAAATACACAAATATATACATGTACTACAGTACTGCAGTACTACAGTACTACAGTACACACACAGGTGACTCCCCAACATCCTGAAATACACAAATATATACATGTACTACAGTACTGCAGTACTACAGTACTACAGTACTACAGTACACACGCAGGTGACTCCCCAACATCCTGAAATACACAAATATATACATGTACTACAGTACTACAGTACTACAGTACACACGCAGGTGACTCCCCAACATCCTGAATACACAAAATATATACATGTACTACAGTAACTGCACTACAGTACTACAGTACTACAGTACACACGCAGGTGACTCCCCAACATCCTGAAATACACAAATATATACATGTACTACAGTACTGCAGTACTACAGTACACACGCAGGTGACTCCCCAACATCCTGAAATACACAAATATATACATGTACTACAGTACTGCAGTACTACAGTACTACAGTACTGCAGTACTACAGTACACACGCAGGTGACTCCCCAACATCCTGAAATACACAAATATATACATGTACTACAGTACTACAGTACTGCAGTACTACAGTACTACAGTACACACGCAGGTGACTCCCCAACATCCTGAAATACACAAATATATACATGTACTACAGTACTACAGTACTACAGTACTACAGTACTACAGTACTACAGTACACACGCAGTGACTCCCCAACATCCTGAAATAACACAAATATACATACATGTACTACAGTACTACAGTACTACAGTACACACGCAGGTGACTCCCCAACATCCTGAAATACACAAAATATATAACATGTACTACAGTACTGCAGTACTACAGTACTACAGTACACACGCAGGTGACTCCCCAACATCCTGAAATACACAAATATATACATGTACTACAGTACTACAGTACTACAGTACACACGCAGGTGACTCCCCAACATCCTGAAATATACACAAATATATACACATGTACTACAGTACTGCAGTACTACAGTACTACAGTACACACGCAGGTGACTCCCCAACATCCTGAAATACACAAATATATACATGTACTACAGTACTGCAGTACTACAGTAATACAGTACACACGCAGGTGACTCCCCAACATCCTGAAAATACACAAATATATACATGTACTACAGTACTGCAGTACTGCAGTACTACAGTACACACGCAGGTGACTCCCCAACATCCTGAAATACACAAATATATACATGTACTACAGTACTGCAGTACTACAGTACTACAGTACACACGCAGGTGACTCCCCAACATCCTGAAATACACAAATATATACATGTACTACAGTACTACAGTACTACAGTACACACGCAGGTGACTCCCCAACATCCTGAAAATACACACAAATATACATGTACTACAGTACTGCAGTACTACAGTACTACAATACACACGCAGGTGACTCCCCAAAATCCTGAAATACACAAATATATACATGTACTACAGTACTGCAGTACTACAGTACACACGCAGGTGACTCCCCAACATCCTGAAATACACAAATATATACATGTACTACAGTACTACAGTACTACAGTACACATGCAGGTGACTCCCCAACATCCTGAAAATACACAAATATATACATGTACTACAGTACTGCAGTACTGCAGTACTACAGTACACATGCAGGTGACTCCCCAACATCCTGAAAATACACAAATATATACATGTACTACAGTACTGCAGTACTGCAGTACTACAGTACACATGCAGGTGACTCCCCAACATCCTGAAATACACAAATATACACATGTACTACAGTACTGCAGTACTACAGTACTACAGTACACACGCAGGTGACTCCCCATCCTGAAAATACACAATATATACATGTACTACAGTACTACAGTACTACAGTACTACAGTACTACAGTACACACGCAGGTGACTCCCAACATCCTGAAAATACACAAATATATACATGTACTACAGTACTGCAGTACTACAGTACTACACAGTACACACGCAGTGACTCCCAAAATCCTGAAATACACAAAATATATACATGTACTACAGTACTGCAGTACTACAGTACTACAGTACACACGCAGGTGACTCCCCAACATCCTGAAAATACACAAATATATACATGTACTACAGTACTGCAGTACTACAGTAATACAGTACACACGCAGGTGACTCCCCAACATCCTGAAAATACACAAATACATGTACTACAGTACTGCAGTACTGCAGTACTACAGTACACACGCAGGTGACTCCCCAACATCCTGAAAATACACAAATACATGTACTACAGTACTACAGTACTACAGTACTACAGTACACACACAGGTGACTCCCCAACATCCTGAAAATATACACAAATACATGTACTACAGTACTACAGTACTACAGTACTACAGTACACACACAGGTGACTCCCCAACATCCTGAAATACACAAATATATACATGTACTACAGTACTACAGTACTACAGTACACATGCAGGTGACTCCCCAACATCCTGAAATACACAAATATTATACATGTACTACAGTACTACACAGTACTACAGTACACACGCAGGTGACTCCCCCAACATCCTGAAATACACATATAACATGTACTACAGTACTGCAGTACTACAGTACTACAGTCACACGCAGGTGACTCCCCAACATCCTGAAATACACAAATATATACATGTACTACTACAGTACTACAGTACTACAGTACACACGCAGGTGACTCCCAACATCCTGAAAATACACAAAATATATTACATGTACTACAGTACTACAGTACTGCAGTACTACAGTACACACGCAGGTGACTCCCCAACATCCTGAAATACACAAATATATACATGTACTACAGTACTGCAGTACTACAGTACTACAGTATACTACAGTACAACACGCAGATGACTCCCCAACATCCTGAAATACACAAATATATACATGTACTACAGTACTGCAGTACTACAGTACTACAGTACACACACGCAGATGACTCCCCAACATCCTGAAATACACAAATATATACATGTACTACAGTACTACAGTACTACAGTACACACACAGATGACTCCCCAACATCCTGAAATACACAAATATATACATGTACTACAGTACTGCAGTACTACAGTACTACAGTACACACGCAGATGACTCCCCAACATCCTGAAATACACAAATATATACATGTACTACAGTACTACAGTACTACAGTACTACAGTACACACACAGATGACTCCCCAACATCCTGAAATACACAAATATATACATGTACTACAGTACTGCAGTACTACAGTACTACAGTACACACGCAGGTGACTCCCCAACATCCTGAAATACACAAATATATACATGTACTACAGTACTGCAGTACTGCAGTACTACAGTACTACAGTACTACAGTACACACGCAGGTGACTCCCCAACATCCTGAAAATATACACAAATATATACATGTACTACGGTACTACAGTACTACAGTACACACGCAGGTGACTCCCCAACATCCTGAAATACACAAATATATACATGTACTACAGTACTGCAGTACTACAGTACTACAGTACTACAGTACACACGCAGGTGACTCCCCAACATCCTGAAATACACACAAGTACTGCAGTACTACATACAGTGACTCCCAACATCCTGAAATACACACAAGTACACATGTACTACAGTACTGCAGTACTACAGTACACACGCAGGTGACTCCCCAAAATCCTGAAATACACAAATATATACATGTACACAGTACATACTAGTACACAGTACTACAGTACTACAGTACTACAGTACACACGCAGGTGACTGCCCAACATCCTGAAATACACAAATATACAAATGTACTGTAAAGTACTACTACTGCGCTACACTACTGCACTACGTCAGACACAAACATCAGGTATTGTCCAAAATCTGAAGTTTTGTCTTTAATAAAGTGAAAATCTGAGTTTATTTTCTGAGGCTCCTCATGACACAAACTGACGACATATTTCTGATCACACAGAACGTGTGACTCCTGTAAACAGATTTACTCCAGATGCCCCGCAGCAGGAGGCGGTTTCCATGGAGACGCAGGTGCCCGAGGAACGCCACGCGAACATGAGATTTAAATATGACGTTTAAGATTAGAATAAAGATGGAGACATCGGCTCTGACTCCGCCTCTTTTAGGAGTCTGTGCTGCTCTGTGATTGGTCAGAACTCTCTCGTTTTGGACCCCGCCCCCCGCCCGGTCCCGCCCCCGTCAGGGTCTCACCTGCTGCCCTTGAAGCTGAGGCCGCAGTGCGGGCAGGTGTGGGGTCTGGACTCGTGCGGCGTTCTCTTGGCGCTGGTTTTGCCCGTGTGGCTCTGCTGGTGGCGGTACAGGCTGGAGGCGTGGCTGTAGGCTTTCCCGCAGTACGAGCAGCGGTACTGACGCTCCTCCGAGTCCGACTGCTCCGGGTCCTGGTCCGGGTCCTGGTCCGAGTCCGGCTGAGAGCTCTCCAGGACCACCTCGCCCAGATGCCCCACCTCGGTGAGCTGGGCCGAGCTCAGGTCCAGCTCCAGCTCCTGGTCCGACCCGGAGTCCCAGTCGGTCCGGACCTCCACGCTGTGTGTGACCTCGCACGGGTCGCACGGGTCGCACGGCTCACAGTACACCTCCTCGTACGGCGCCAAGAACGAGTCCGCCACGTCCATCTGCAACTGCACACAACAGAACCAGAACCGTCATAACAGAACCAGAACAGACACACAACAGAACCAGAACCGTCACAACAGAACCAGAACAGACACACAACAGAACAGAACAGACACACAACAGAACCAGAACCGTCACAACAGAACCAGAACCGTCACAACAGAACCAGAACCGACACACAACAGAACCAGAACCAGAACAGACACACAACAGAACCAGAACCGTCACACAACAGAACCTCGCGGTGTTGCTCACCTCTGATTGGTCGACCCGTAGCTCCTCGGTGAGCTCTGATTCGCTGTCGTCCCTCTTGAGCGCGTCGGCGAGCTCCACCTGCTCGGCTTTCAGGCAGGAGATGGTGAACTTGGACCCGACCTCGGCCCATTTCACGACGTACTCGATCGGCTGCGTGTCCAGCTCCACCGTGATGAAATCAGCGCCAAGCTCCGCCTCCGACACCGAGAGCTCCGCCTCCGAATCCATCGCAGCTGCGCCTGGACACAGGTCACCACGGTAACGGCGTCAGCATCAGTGTCAGAGTCAGTGTCAGCAGCCCTGATCTGGGCTCACAAATGTCCCAGAATCCTCCTCTGCTCTAATGTCATTTATACTGAACAGTCCCGTCCTGCGGGCGGGAGCGGAGGGCGACGCTCCCGCTTTATAAACCAGTTAGTTCATGTGTCTTACATAAATAAAACTCAGGATATAACTGTATAATGACAGTGTAAAGCCCGAGCGCTCGTCTTGTGCTCGTGGCGTCTGCAGGACTCGGCCCGTGGAGCTTCAGGAGAAATGCTGCTGTGCTGTGCACAACTGTCACTTATCCCAGAAAATTCCTCACAGGAAAATATTTCAGGACTTTATCTGAAATATTTCAATGAAATACAGAGTTAAGACTTTCCTAAAAGTGACTCTGAATGATTTTTGAACAGATTTTGCAGTTTTCCAAGTTTCTCGTGTTGAGCTGTTTACAAATGATGTTTATGGTACAAAAGAAATAATGAACATTTCTCCCCAGACGTACAGAGGGCACGAGGAACAAGACAAAACCAGTTCAAATAAGATTTCAGAGTAAAGTTGTGTGAGGAAACAAGGATTCTACTGATATTACACACTGATAAATGTGCACCTCCACATTTGCTCTGGGACATTCACATTTCACTTTATTATCAGATTTATAACTCAACACATCACAGTGACACGAGGACGCCCCCTCCCCTGTGCCCCTGTGCCCCCTCCCCGGGCACAGCAGCAGGTGCCCCGTGTGCTGCCAGGGGGTGCCCGGGGGAGGAAGGGGACGTCCCGCACAGAGACGCTCGAGTCGAGATTCTAAAAAACCCAATGTAGAACCTGAGAGAGCAGACGTGCGGGCGCAGACGCGCGGGCGCAGACGCGCGGGCGCAGACGCGCGGGCGCAGACGTGCCAGCGCCGCTGTGACGCCCGAGTCACTGATGACTCTGTGTCTCTGCTTCATGTTTCTGCTGCAGCAACAAAAACTCAACTTCACACAAACTACACAGACCATGATCCTTTGCTGCAGCAGAAACATCAGGAAGTCACTGTTTTGTTTTTTTAAAGCTAAATTATAATGACACAAACAAATTGTCGATGTTAAATGTTCAGGTGCTTCAGCGCGACAAACGAGGTCAGACATGAACGAAGGAAATAAAATAAATAAATAAATGAAACGAGGAGCTGAGACACAAAAGAAAGGTGCAGCTCTTTCATAAACGTTAAAGAGGTTTTTACTTTTCAAACATTGATTTTAGAGGATGAAGAATGTTCCCAGTAAAATAATTAAATAATTAAATAATAATAATCGTGTTTAAAGTTCATGTGCGTGTTGGTGACGTTGTTGTTCTGAAGTTGGTTTAAATCTCTGGTATCTGGATTATTCGTTCACATTCAGTTTTATCGGCCTCCACAAAACATCTCGATAAATATAGTCCCGTGAAAATAACTCCAAACGCTCTGTTCCACCTTGTGATGTCATCGAGTGAACAGCTCCTTTTCCCTTTAGTTCAGTCGAGATCTGTGACTCCAGGACTGAAATGATCCAGATGATTCTACTGAAGGTGTGTGGAGTTTAAAAACACAGTGGAGCACTTCCTGTATCACCACATGATGACATCACGAGGTGGAACAGAGTTTGTGAGTTAAACACGTGAATGAAACAAAACACAAGTCCAGGAAACAGAATAGAGCAGAGGATTATGGGACATGGAGTCTCACGATAAACTACAGTAGAACTTTAGAACATTAGAACTTTAGAACAGAGTCACGAGGAACACGACCGAGTCACGTTCAACCACAACCAGGACTAAACCAGGACTAAACCAGGACTAAACCAGGACTAAACCAGGACTAAACCAGGACTACACCAGGACTACACCAGGACTACACCAGGACTACACCAGGACTACACCAGGACTAAACCAGGAACTAAACCAGGAACTAAACTGGGAATAAAACAGAACTCAACCAGGACCAGACCAGGACAGGACAGAACTAAGACTGAACCTGGACCAGACCAGGACCTTTGACGTCACAAGGACAGAGGGAAGGAACATAAGGGAGGAGGCATTAAATATGGATGCGCCTAGACCAACCCAGAACTGGACCAGGACTACACCGGGACCAACCCAGAACTGGACCAGGACTACACCGGGACCAACCCAGAACTGGACCAGGACTACACCGGGACCAACCCAGAACTGGACCAGGACTACACCGGGACCAACTCAGAACTGGACCAGGACTACATCGAGACTGAACCGGGACTGAACCAGGAATGAACCGGGACTGAACCGGGACTAACAGAGGTGTATCGGTGCTCTTGGTCTCCTCCCGCCCGGAGCAGCGGCGGCCCGCGGCTCAGTGTCCCGGTGTGTCCCGGTGTGTCCCGGTGTGTCCCGGTGTGTCCCGGTTTGTCCCGGTTTGTCCCGGTTTGTCCTGGTTTGGCCCGGTGTGGCGCGGGTTATGCTCGGATCTCGCGGGGTTCGGGTTCGGTTGTTCCGGGCCGGGTCGTGTGGCGGGTTTGACGCGGTAAAGTGCAGCTGGGCCTCTGTTCGGCTCCGGTTTTTCTCGGTAAAGTCTCGGGTCTGAGGCGCGGCGAAGACGCGGTGGAGACGCGGCGGAGACGCGGCGGAGGCGCGTCCCGGGGCCGGTCCCGGTTCGGCTCCGGGGCGCGGGGCGGTGAGGCCCGGTTCGGCTCCGGGCAGGCTCCGGGAGGCTCCGGTTCGGCTCTTACCTTAACGGTAACCGGCGGAGACAATAAACAGGAAGCAACGGCAGCGCGCGGAGCATCACGGGAAACGTTAAATGGAGCCGAGGCGGAAGTGGCTCTTTCACAATAAAAGCTCGGAAAAAGAGTTTCAGAGTAAAAGCTCAGAGCGGAAGTGCCGTGTGGCTCTTCTTACATTTAATTTTAATTAATTTACCTATTTTTTTTATGATACATACAATCTTAACACATAAAACAGACATTCACGATCATTTATAACATATTGGGGAAAAAATTGCAAACATAAAATAAATGACGTAGATGAAAAAGGCGCCAAGTGTCGTGAGGCACGTGTGTTACGTTCCCGCTGTGACCCCTGACCTCTCCTATTTATGTTAAAATATATAATAAACTAAATATATTAAAATATAGAATAAACATTATATGTTTAAATATATATAAAAAAAAAAAAAAAACTCAGAGCCGCGACCCCCCTCCGCAGCAGCTGCCGTAAAGCAGCGCACACTGTCGCAACCACATATTCGCGTAAAAACGTTGATTTTAAATTATTTATTTTATATTTTCATTATTTCTCTTTATATGATTTGACACTGGATTTACTTGTGGTCATTAGTGTGGGTGCAGTGTGTGCGCCGTCCTGCAGGGGGAGATCTCTGCTCTGGTCCCTAGTCTGGTCCCTGGTCTGGTCCCTGGTCTGGTCCCTGGTCCGGTCCCTGGTCTGGTCCCTGGTCCAGATTTTCTTTTGGTTCAGACTCATTTAAAACTCTTGGTTTGGTTTAAAGGACTTTTATTCAGATTCTTAACTTTTGTTCAACCTTTTTTACATAAAATATTCAAAACACAAAAAGTCCAAACGAACGACTTTAGAACAAGAACAGTCCTGGTTTAGTCCTGGTATAGTTGTAGGGGCTGTAGTCCCGGTTTAGTCCCGGTTTAGTCGTAGGGGCTGTAGTCCTGGTGTAGTCCTGGTTTAGTCCTGGTTTAGTCCTGGTTTAGTTCTGGTTTAGTCCTGGTTTAGTCCTGGTTTAGTCCTGGTTTAGTCCTGGTCTAGTCCTGGTCTAGTCCTGGTCTAGTCCTGGTCTAGTCCCAGTTTAGTCGTAGGGGCTGTAGTCCTGGTTTAGTCCTGGTTTAGTCCCGGTTCAGTCGTAGGGGCTGTAGTCTTGGTTTAGTCCTGGTTTAGTCCCGGTTCAGTCGTAGGGGCTGTAGTCTTGGTTTAGTCCTGGTTTAGTCCCGGTTCAGTTGTAGTGGCTGTAGTCCTGGTCGTAATCAGAGTAATATTCTTCGTCCAGGTCGTCTTCGTCGTAGTCGTAGTCAGGGACGTACTCCTCGTCTTCGTCGTAATCGTCGTATTCGTCGTAGTCTTCCTCCGGGTCCCGGTTCTGATCCGGGTCCTGATCCTGGTCTGAGTCCGAGTCCGACTTCGACCTGCAACGAGAGACAGGTGAATCCTCTGACCCCTCTGAACCCACTGACCCCTGACCTCCTGACCCCGACCCCTCTGACCTCTCTGACCCCCCCGACCTCTGACCCCCGTAGGTCAGGGTTCGGCTCTTACTCTTTGTTGGCTTCGCTCTGATTGGTCGCTTCAGATGCGTCGGGGCCTTCTGATTGGCTCTTGGAATCACAGCCCAATCTAAAATCCTATTGGACGACAGAGATCACATGATCAGGACAGGTTTAGAGCGAAAACAACCCCCCTGTAGACCGGTTACGATCCTCAGACCCCTTCAAACCCCTGTAGACCGGTTAGGATCCTCAGACCCCCTCAGACTCCTGTAGACCGGTTAGGATCCTCAGACCCCCTCAGACTCCTGTAGACCGGTTAGGATCCTCAGAACCCTGTAGACCCCCCTGTAGACCGGTTAAGATTCTCAGACCTCCTCAGACCCCTGTAGACCGGTTAGGATCCTCAGATCCCCCTAAGACCCCTGTAGACCGGTTAGGATCCTCAGATCCCCCTAAGACCCCTGTAGACCGGTTACGATCCTCAGAACCCCTCAGACCCCTGTAGACCGGTTACGATCCTCAGAACCCCTCAGACCCCTGTAGACCGGTTAGGATCCTCAGATCCCCCTCAGACCCCTGTAGACCGGTTAGGATCCTCAGAACCCCTCAGACCCCTGTAGACCGGTTACGATCCTCAGACCTGAGTGGAGTGGTGCAGGATGGCCCTCAGTCGCTCCTGGACTCTCTGGACCAGATTGAGTCCGGAGCAGATCTGGTTTTGTTTGAGCAGACGAAGACTCGAGACCAAGTCCAGACTCTGCAACAGCGCCTCCTCTGGACAAAACACACAAACACACAGAGTTTAGACCGGGACTGGACCGGGACTGGACCGGGACTGGACCGGGACTGGACCGGGACTGGACCGGGACTGGTCTTACCGAGCAGCACTTGGAGGGCCGTGGTGTGCGTCTCCAGAGCTTCTGTCTGCTGCTCCAGGAGGTCGATCTGCTCCTGGCTCGAGTCCTGGCTCTGGCTCTGGCTCTGGGTCTGGGTCTGAGTCTGGGTCTGGGTCTTGGTTCTGGTCTGGACCGGGCTCTGGCTCTGGGTCTGGACCGGGCTCTGGCTCTGGGTGTAGTAGCTGTAGACGCAGCTGTAGGCCAGAACCTTCCGAGCCTGGACCAGGACCCGGCAGGAATCCAGGACGAAGGACAGAGACGAGACCGGGACCGAGTCCGAGAGACACGAGACTCGGAGGAGCAGAGACTGAGCGAAGTCCTGGAGGAAGAGGAAGAGGAAGAAGAGGAGGAAGAGGAAGAAGAAGAGGAAGAGGAGGAAGAGGAAGAAGAAGAGGAAGAGGAGGAAGAGGAAGAAGAGGAGGAAGAGGAAGAAGAGGAGGAAGAGGAGGAGAGAGGATTATTCTTCATCATAAACACTTGTGTGAGTCCAGTGGGATCAGGACAGCATCAGGTGGGGGCGGAGTCAGATGCTGGGGGTTAGGGGGAGGGGTTAGTGGTCGGGGGAGGTTTTTTAGGGGTAGGGGGGGCGGGGTTAGTGGTCAGGGGGGCGGGGTTGGTGGTCAGGGGGGAGGGGTTAGTGGTCAGGGGGAGGGGTCAGGTGCTGGGGGCGGGGTCAGGTGCACAGCTTTACCTTGGCCTGGTGCTGGAAGGTGCATTTCTCGTTAAAGTCCTGGAACTTCTTCCCCTGACGAGCCGCTTTACTGACCTGCCCGGCAACACAACGCATCACAGTGAGGAGCGCTCTGATTGGACCGTTCACACGTGTACACACCCCCCTCTAGAACCTCCTCTAGAACCTCCTCTAGATCCTCCTCCAAACCAGATTGTCCTCTAGACTCTCCTCCAGACCCCTGATTCTCCTCTAGATCCTCCTCTAGAACCTCTTCCAGACCACAGACCACCCTCCAGATCCTCCTCTAAACCAGATTCTCCTCTAGAACCTCCTCTAGATCCTGCTTAAACCATTTGTGATCCTCCTAAACCAGTTGAAACCCGTGTAGATCTGGTTGTGATCCGGGTACAGACCGAGGCGGAGCAGTTGTAATAATCTTTGTGAGTTGGTTTCCAGGGTTTGAGGCACCTCCAGCAGAATCCATGACTGCATTTGGCACAGGTCATACTGAAACAGAGGAGACCTGGGTTAGACCTGGTCCAGTCCTGGTCTAGTCCTGGTCCAGTCCTGGTCTGGGTCCTGGTCTGATCATGGTCCGGGTTCTTACTGCAGACAGCCCTCGTTCTTCTCGATGGCGGTGGAACAGTGGGATCAGCGTTTGGTCCTGTTATAGTCCTGGTCTCGGTCTGGGTCTTGGTCTGGGTGTTGGTCCTGGTCCTGGTCTCGGTCTGGGTCTCGGTCCTGGTCTCAGTCCTGGTCCTGATCTCGGTCCTGGTTCTTACTGTAGACAGCCCTCGTTCTTCTCGATGGCGGTGGAACAGTGGGGGCAGCGTTTGGAGATGAGTTTGGCGAGATGTTTACTCTGAGCCTCCAGACTCATGCCCTCGTAAAATCCCCCGTCATCCACCCAGCGGGCGATGTGCGAGCACGACGCCGGGAAGTGTGCCTACGAGCAACGCACACCAGAGTCACACAACAACACAACAACAAAACACTATAACAAATATAATCCTGTGTCAGGTGCGCGTCAGGGGCGCGTCAGGTGCGGTCCTGTACCTCAGTGAAGGAGCAGGTGAAGCAGCTGGTCCAGCCGCACTCTCCACATCGACCTGAGGCGCCCAGACTCTGCCTCATCAGGACTCGGTCGCAGCCGCCGCCGTTTGTGCACCAGGTCAAGTTAGAACACGAGTCCACGTAGGAGCGCAGGAGAGCGCCCTCGTACTGTCGGGAGGAGAACGACAACAACACACTGTTACACACAACAGACTGTTACACACAACAGAGAGCGCCCTCGTACTGTCGGGAGGGGGACGACAACAACACACTGTTACACACAACACACTGTTACACACAACAGAGAGCGCCCTCGTACTGTCGGGAGGGGACGACAACAACACACTGTTACACACAACACACTGTTACACACAACACACTGTTACACACAACAGACTGTTACACACAACAGAGAGCGCCCTCGTACTGTCGGGAGGGGGATGACAACAACAACAACACACACTATTACACACACAGAACAGAGCTCACCTGTCTGTGGGCTCACCTGTCTGTGGGCTCACCTGTCTGTGGGCTCACCTGTCTGTGGGCTCACCTGTCTGTGGGCTCACCTGTCGGAGCGTGTCGGCGTCCTGCAGCACCTGTCGGTAGAAGGCGGGGGGGGGCTGGGCAGTGCAGTCGGTGATGGGACAGTTACACGAGAGACCCAGGTTCTGCTCGATCCTCGACGTCAGGTACTCCTCCCAACAAGACTGGACCAGGACCAGACCAGGACCAGACCAGACCAGACCAGGACCAGACCAGGACCAGGACCAGACCAGGACCAGGCAAAGAGCAGAGGGGCAGAGTTTATGAAGTGTCTGGGTTTGGCTCGTTTACATTACGGTTGCTAGGTAACAGTGGTGGAGGGGGCGGGGCTTACCTGGCAGCAGAAGTGTCCGCAGCTCAGAGTGGGCGTGTCCTCTGACCCTGGGTTCAGACAAACGGGACACGACGACAAACTGCAAGACGCCAAAAGAAACTCGAGTCAAACTGAGCAGAGTCACTACGAGTCTAAAGCAGCGCTCAGACGGCGGCGGCGGCGGGACGGCATCAGGGTGGCAGTGGCGGGGTGGCGTCAGGGCGGCGGCAGCGGGGCGGAGTCAGGTCTGTGTGTCTAGTCCGTGTGTGTGTGTCCTTGGGCGTCAGTGCGTTTGAGCTTCTGATGTTAGAAGTGAAAAGGTGAACTTTGTCATCAGACACGTTGACCAATCAGAGAGCACGCTCCAGTGATGTCATTATCCAGAAGGAGAAGAGAAAGCCCCGCCCCCTAACGAGGACCCGGACACGCCGCCACCGGTTTATGTGATAGAACCACTAAAGCCTCTCTGCCCCGCCATCCTCACAAATTTAAAACAAAACTGCCAAAGGCCCTCGCCAACCGCCACCGCCGCCTCGCCGACCGCCGCCTCGCCGACCGCCACCGCCGCCTCAACAGGTCTAAACCAGGTCTAAAATCCTGTTCTTTCAAATCAAAATCCATTTTGGTGTTTAAGTCTTGTGTCACTCCCCTGCTCTCCTGCACCTGTCACTCCCCTGCCACTCTCCTCTCTTTCCTGCACCTGTCACTCCCCCACTCTCCTGCACCTGTCACTCCCCTGCCACTCCCCCACTCTCCTGCACGTGTCCCTCACCTGTCACTCCCCTGCCACTCTCTCGCTCTCCTGCACCTGTCACTCACCTGCCACTCTCTCGCTCCAGTGCACCTGTCACTCCCCTGTCACTCACCTGCCACTTTCTTGCTCTCCTGCACCTGTCACTCACCTGCACCTGTCAGTCCCCTGCCCTCCTGCCCCTGTCACTCACCTGTCGTTGAGGCCGGGGGCGGGGTCGTTGGAGGGGGCGGGGTCAGGTGTCTGTAGCCCCGCCTCCAGCAGCAGGGTCTCGGGGTCGTCTGTGAAACGCTGAGTCACTCGATCCACGTCCCACATGTTCAGAACCAACAGATGCTCCGCCCACTCCGGCGCCATCGACAGCGCCGCCGCCACCTGCAACGGACAAAAACCGGGTCTGAACCAGAACCTTGTCTGAACCAGGCCTGAACCGGGTCTGGACCGGGCCTGAACCGGGCCTGAACCGGATCTGAACCAAGACTCATACCTGCTGGACGGTCTTCTGCATTAGTTCTCGGACTTCGTCTTGGGTCATGGTCCGACCAGAGTCCAGACTCAGGTCCTCCAGACTGAAACGACAGGGTCAGAGTCTAAACCAAGACTAAACCAGGACTGAGCCAGGTCTAAACCAGGTCTAAACCAAGACTAAACCAGGACTGAGCCAGGTCTAAACCAGGACTAAACCAGGACTGAGCCAGGTCTAAACCAGGTCTAAACCAGGACCGAGCCAGGACTAAACCAGGACCAAACCAGGACCAAACCAGGACTGAGCCAGGACTAAACCAGGACTAAACCAGGACCGAGCCAGGACCGAGCCAGGACTAAACCAGGACCAAACCAGGACCGAGCCAGGACTAAACCAGGACTAAACCAGGAGTAAACCAAGACTAAACCAGGACTAAACAAAGAGTAAACCAGGAGTAAACCAAGACTAAACCAGGACCGAGCCAGGACTAAACCAGGACTAAACCAGGAGTAAACCAAGACTAAACCAGGACTAAACCAGGACTAAACCAGGACTAAACAAAGAGTAAACCAGGAGTAAACCAAGACTAAACCAGGACTAAACCAGGAGTTAACCAAGACTAAACCAGGACTAAACCAGGTCTAAACCAGGACTAAACCAGGACTAAACCAGGTCTAAATGGCCCAGACCTGGTCTCGCTGTGGCTGTAGTCCAGGGCCTGGCCTCTCGGGGGCGTCTGGACTTCGGGGAGGTACTCGAGGATCTGGGGCCGGTCCGGTTTCCTCTGGACCAGGTTTTTACTGAAGAGATGCATGAGACACGACAGCACGTCCGCAGAGGAGCAGGAGAACCGGACCGGACCAGGCTCTGGACCAGGACTAAGCCCGGGGTCTGAGGACGGAGCAGCAGGACTCTTCTGACACAAATCCAACACCTGGAAAAGAAAAGGCACAAGTTCAACTTCACCGTCTCCTCAGGTCTCACACTCGCACGTTTACATGAGGATCTGAATTCAAATCTTCTCTTGTTGTTTCTGTGTAAATAAAAATGTTGAATTGTTGTTTTGTGTTAAACTATTTAAATGTTTTTTATTTCCTGTGTGTGAGCGTCTGGGGGGGGGGGGGGTTTCTGATTGGACAGAGACACCAACAGATTTACGTCTTTATAAAGAAAACACAAACTTCAGCTGCTCCCGACTTTTCTGTCGTCTGGGTTTGTCGTTCCTCCACCGACACAAACACCATCCAAACTTTTCCCCCAGTGGTTCTAATGATAATTGTGAAGCAGCGGCTGGAGAATTGTCTCATCACACTTTGCGTCTGTGAGCTGAGGAGGAGAAGGGAAGAGTGTTGGAGAAGGAGGAAGGAGACAAAAGCTCAGCCCACTCCCGCATCCCGCTCACAAATCCAAAGAGACGTGGATCAAAGTCCCGAGACAGGACTGGTGGAGCCGGATCGAAGGACGATACAACGAACATGCGCCGAAGCACCAACATTATTTTAACAAGAACAAACGACAAACATGATCCAGGAACCAAATTCATTCAGCTTTAAATGGCCCATCTCATGCTAAATCAATTTTTCAGACCTTTCTACCTTCTCAGAGTGATGTGTGGGCCTTGGATTTGTCGCTGAAGTGGTTTTTAGATTGATTCTGTGTTTTTTAAACAAATGGCAGTGTATTTCTGCCACCCTCCCACGTGACAACGAACTAAAGCTGCTACAACGACGACGCGGCAGATTCACCTATGACACACCTGCCCCAGAAGATACAACATGAAAAGAGTTATTTTACATCAGATGGGCATTTAAAATCAGAATAAACCAAACACTTTCTTCACTATTAAGTTTAAAGAATTAAGTGTTTACATGGAGTTTTTAAAGAGGAATTATTTTTGATTCAGAATTAAATCTCTCATGTAAACGTGGCGTGTGTGGAGGTCAGAGGGTCAGAGGTCAGGGTCGTGACCTTGTAGACGAGGTGGTCGATGTGAAGTTCTCGTTCCTGCTTTAGAACCCGGACGATGGCGCACAACAGGAAGTTCCTCTTGCGCTCCAGGATGGCGGCGGCGTCCTCGTGCGCGCTCCTGTAGTTCTCGTCCGGGGCGAGCCTCACGTGCGCGGAGCCGTGCTCAGAGCGCAGCGCCACCTGCGGGTCCACGCACACCACTGCAACACCAGACACACACACCACATTATACAGCTCTGTGGAGAGGCGAGCCGCTCACACACAGAACCAACAGTTTAAAGACACACTGTGGAACATTCTGAGCAACGACCAGCAGGGGGCGCACTCTTAAAGACACTCTGGAACTTTTCTGTCAAACTGAACACGGCACAAAAATCTGTCAACTCTGTTTGTGACGTTAGAATGAAGCGAGTCTGGACCGAGGTCGGACCTGGACCGGTCTGGTTCTGACCTTGGTTCTGGTCTGGTTCTGACCTTGGTTCTGGTCCTGGTTCTGGCCCGGTCCGTACATGAGCGGTCCGTCTGCTCGGGTCAGAGGCTGGAGCGCGTGCAGCAGCAGAGGTTCTGACAGTCCGGTCCGGGTCAGAAGAACGTTCACACTCAGCTCCTGTGGAAACACCAGCTCCAGTCAGACACAGGAGCCCACGTGCCGGGCCCCCGGGCCGAGCACCCGGGCCAGCGTGCGCGGTTTCCTGGTAAAATTTTCTGGTAGTTTTTTTGGTAGAGTTTGTGGTTGAGTTTGTGGTAGAGTTGGTGGTAGAGTTGTGGTGAGTTGTGGTAGAGTTGTGGTAGAGTTGGTGGTAGAGTTGGTGGTAGTTGGTGGTTGAGTTGTGTGAGTTGTTTGAGTTTGAGTTTGGTTGAGTTGTTGAGTGGTGGTTTGTGGTAGTTGGTGGTTGGTGGTTTGAGTTTGGTAGAGTTGGTGGTTGAGTTGTGGTAGAGTTTGGTGGTAGAGTTTGTGGTTGAGTTGGTGGTTGAGTTGGTGGTTGAGTTTGTGGTTGAGTTTGTGGTAGAGTTTGTGGTTAGAGTTTGTGGTTGAGTTTGTGGTTGAGTTTGTGGTTGAGTTTGTGGTTGAGTTTGTGGTAGAGTTGGTGGTTGAGTTTGTGGTTGAGTTTGTGGTAGAGTTGGTGGTAGAGTTGGTGGTAGAGTTTGGTAGAGTTGGTGGTAGAGTTGGTGGTTGAGTTCGTGGTTGTGTTTCCTGGTACCTGGTGGCGGTTGAACTGCAGCAGGATCAGCATCTGCACCGTGGACACGCTCAGAGTCCAGGACCCAAACCGGACCTCGGCCCGACCCAAAGACGTCCACTGCAGCCGACGAGGACTCGACCCGGTCTGAGAGAAACTCGACTGATCTGAGGAGGAAAAGAAAACGTGTTCAAAACCACCTCAACGCCTCACCTGCCTCAACCACACCACACACACACCCACCACCCACCTCACCCACACCACACACACCTGCACCCGCACCACCCACACACCCACCACCCACCTCACCCGCACCACACACACACCCACCACCCACCTCAACCACACCCCCAGGAGCAACACACCAGACAGGAGCAGACAGGAGCAGACAGGAGCAGACAGGAGCAGACAGGAGCAGACAGGAGCAGGCAGAGCAGACAGGAGCAGACAGGAGCAGACAGGAGCAGACAGGAGCACTCACAGTGGTGGTAGAAGTCCTCATACAGGTGCAGAGTCTTCAGGAAGGGTTTGGGCAGAAGGTCGAGTCGAGTCTGATCCAAGAAAAACTGAGACGAGACGCTCCAACAGCGAGGAGACAAGACCTGGACCACGACCTCCGGAGTCTGAGCAGAACCAGAACCAGAACCACGAATGAACCAGGACTGAACCAGGACCTAACCAGGTCTACACAGAGGTAAAGGTCTCACCTGGTCCGAGTCGGTCTTGAACTGATCCAAATCGAGTTCCACGTCTCGCTCCTGGTCTAAGTCCAGGTCCAGGTCTTGGGTCAGGTCCTGGTCTTGGTCTAAGTCCTGGTCTTGGTCGAGTTCTCGGTCGAGTCTGTGGAGCTGGTGCAGACTGAACTCTCGGTGCATCTCCTCGGACTCCCTCAGGTTCAGGATCATCTGCTGAGGCAACCGCGCCGGGAAACACGCCCCGATCTGACCAATCACAGCGCTCTCCAGCCACACGCCGCCAATCAGGAGCAGCCGGTCGCCCAGGAACCGCCTACCACACACACACGGCCAATCAGAGAGAGGATCACACACACGGCTAATCAGAGAGGCTCACACACACACACGGCCAATCAGAGAGAGGCTCACACACACGGCCAATCAAAGAGAGGCTCACACACACACAGCCAATCAGAAAGAAGCTCACACACACACGGCCAATCAGAAGAAGCTCACACACACACGGCCAATCAGAAAGAAGCTCACACACACACGGCCAATCAGAGAGAGGCTCACACACACACGGCCAATCAGAGAGGCTCACACACACACACGGCCAATCAGAGAGAGGCTCACACACACAGCCAATCAAAGAGAGGCTCACACACACACGGCCAATCAGAGAGAAGCTCACACACACACGGCCAATCACAGAGAGGCTCACAGTCGCCACGTTCACATGAGAGATTTAATTCCAAATAAAAATAATGACGATGATAGTGATGTCATTTCCCGCAGTGACGTCATTTTCCGCGGTGACGTCATTACCTGTAGAAGTGCTCGAAGCTGGTCGCGAGTTCGAGTCCGCTCAGGAAAAGCATCGGCTCGAGGAACTTCTGCAGCTTCTGCTCTGACTCCTCCCCCTTGGCTCCAGGTGCGCTCACCTGAGAGATCATGTGACCGATGTGACGGGCGAAGCACTCGCTCACCTGAAAGAACAAAAAAAAAAACAGGGGGTCACTTCAGCTCCTCACGCTTCTCTGTGATTGGTTCAGTCCAGCAGTCACTCACTGAACCTGACAGAGACTAACCAACAGGAAGGAAGGGGGCGGGGACAGGTGAGAGTGACCAACAGGAGGCGGGGGCGGGGACAGGTGAGAGAGACCAACAGGAGGAACGGGCGGGGACAGGTGAGAGTGACCAATAAAAGAAGGGGGCGGGGACAGGTAAGAGTGACCAGTAATTGAAGGGGGAGGGGACAGGTGAGAGTGACCAACAGGAGGAGGGGGCGGGGACAGGTGAGAGTAACCAATAAGAGAAGAGGGCGGGGACAGGTGAGAGTGACCAACAGGAGGAGGGGGCGGGGTCAGGTGAGAGTGAGTCTCAGGGCTCTCACTCTTTTTCGCTGCCATAATTTTAAAACTTTTCCAGGACTTTTTCATGACTAAAGTGAATTTTCCAGGACTTTACAGCACCTACATGTGTAGAACTGATCAGACCTTTAGGTGTAAATCTGAACTGTGAACTCTTTCCACTCACTTTATGGTTTGGGATTATAGTTTTGAACATTCTAAATCCTGTCAGTGCATTTACTGTCGTCTCTTTTAAACAAAAGGTTCAGACTCATGAGAACTGAACAGAACACTGGAGCTGTGGGAAAGAAAGACTAAAAATCCATGAGTTTTCCAGGTCTGGAAAATTACATTTTCAATTTCCAGGACTTTTCCAGGATTCCCATGACCGTGGGAACCTGGAGTCTACATCAGTGTGACCAGACGTCCTGAAAAATCTGGGACAGTCCCAAAATCAAAGCTGCTGTCTTGAATCCTGAATCTCGTCCTAAATGTCCCGAAAACGAGACTCGAACACAAACCTGAGGAGTTATTTTTTGATAAAAATTAAAAACTTTTCTTTCTTCCTTTTTATGCGTAAAACAAAATAATGTGTTAAAACTAAATGTTTTTTATTAATTAACATGATTTTTGTGCAAAGAACCTGGTCCTGATCCACAGAGACACAGCTCCAAGTCCAACACACCCACACAGGAAACCAGGACTGAGAGACAGGTGCAGACAGGTGGTACTCACGGCGACTCCCTGGCTGACTGACAGGTGCAGCAGGGCGGAGGAGAAGCCCTGTCTCAGAGCCACGGTGAAGGCCTGGTGTTTGTGGAACAGTTCTGTGGTGGATCTGAGGAGGCTCTGGTACAGCTCACTGTAACGCTCCGACAGGTGCGGCTCCCCCAGGCAGGCGCTCAGGAACCCCCGCACCTGACCACACAGAAACAGGGAGGGCATCTGAGAAAACTGACACACGGGGGAGGGCATGTGAGGAGAGTGGGGGGGCATGTGAGGACTTTTGAGATGCTTCAGGTTTTTTTTCACTGTCTGTAGAAGCAAATGTGTCAGAAAAACCTTCCAGAAGAAACACTTTTAATTAAACATTTGATCACCGACTAGGGACGGGCATTCGATGAAATTTTCTTAATCGATCGTCAGAAGAATTAACGATCCATTATCGATTAATCATTAACGTTTTAATATTAAAATGATCATTATTATTATTACTATCTGCACTAATCTGCAAAAATAAATTCAACTTAACGACATATAAACCCTAACGATCAGCCCGTTTGACATTATAATGTGTTTAATTCAGTTTTGTTCAAATCTCACAAACAAAACTTAAAACCACATCACTAATTTACATAAACTAAGTGAAGATAAAACTCCAGCTCTTGTGTCGCTGATGTGGTTCAACTTGTGTTGGATTAAAAGACATGACTCAGGTGAATACAGGTCAGTGTGACCAGATTTGTGTTTGTCAAAACCAGGACAGCGTACGGGGGGAGGGGGGGCGGGGCCTCGTCATCCACATTGAGCGACTCTCACCTGGAAAAACTTTTTCCCACTGGACACAGAAACATATGTGCTGCTTTATCCACTGTGCACATGGACTCACACTTGTCCCAACGCAACGGAAAGTGTGGAATTTCTTCTACAAATCCTGGTTAAATCCACATTTGTGCTTCGGTTCGTTACAGACTGACCCACTGTTTGTGTCTCGCTCCTTCTGATGCAGAGACACATGTACACACCTGTTTGGGCACGACACACACAAACATACATCATTGTTTTGATGATTAAAATGTTTGTGTTTCATTTGAACTTTGCACAAGAAGTGATTTAACAAAGACTTTTAGTCACACACATGATTTAGACTTTATTTTTACTTAAGTATATCGAATCAATTTGAAATATATCTTATCAAATAGGAGGTGCACCGTATGGAGATCTGTGGACGGGGCCTCAGATGAGAGTGGTTTTGGTTGTTCAGTGTAAACGTGACCTGAGGCATGTGGCGCACGGGGGGGTAACGTGTGGGAGGGCATCTGGGGCATCTGTACCTGCTGCTGGACGACGCTCTGCCAACACTGGGCCATGTCACTGATGCTGCTGCGCTCACAAGGCTTCGACTCTGAAACAAGAGCACAGAGTGAGGGGCGGGGCTACCAGGGGGCTACCCGGGGGCGGGGCTACCGGGGATGAGGCTGAGAGGAAGGGGGCGGGGCTGAGAGAGTGAGGGGGCGGGGCTGTACCTGCGGAGGGACGGGGCTCAGGCTCGGGGGCGGGGCCGGTGTCCACGTGCACGAGCAGGTGCACGAGGCGCCGCACACGAGAATTAAAGATGGCCGCCCGAGATTTCCAACGCCGCGACGACTCGGAATTTTGTAAATACTGAGAGAGCAGCCAGGCGAGCGCCGGAGACTCTGAAATACACAAATACTACTGTCAGTACTGCAAATACTACAAATACTACTGTAAATACTGAGAGAGCAGCCAGGCGAGCGCCGGAGACTCTGAAATACACAAATACTACTAGAGGTACTATAAATACCACTGTAAATACTACTACATCTACTATAAATACTACTACAAATAGTACTACTACTCCTTGTACTGGTACTGGGCAGTCAGGTGTGGGAGACTTCCTGTCTCACCTGATGATGTCACGGCATGCACCAACGGGCACACCAAGGCGTCCCACACGGTCTGCCCCAGGGCAGACGAGGCTTCGGGGTCGGGCAGGAAACGGTCGGCGAAAGCCTGCTCCAACTTCAACACGGAGTTCAACCTCAAGAGTACAAGTACAAGTACAACAGGATAAGTACAAGTACAAGTAAAATTATAAGTACAAGTATAAGAGTACAAGTATAAGTACAAGTGCAAGTACAAAAGGATAAGTACTAATGTACAAGTACAAGAGTATAAGTACAAGTACAAGAGTATAAGTAGAAGTAGAGGGGAGTACCTGTGGTAGATGGAGAGCAGTTGACTCCGGTCGGCTCGCACCTGTTGGCTCCAGCTCTGAGCTTTACTCGAGTAAAACAGGTGAGTCCTGAGACACATCTGCCCCCGAAACACAGGCCACAGGGTGGGCTTCGGCCCGAGCACCTCCAGCCCCCGCACCCGCGTGTCTATGCCACCCTGAAACACAACACCAGTCTGTGCCGGTCTGTGCCGGTCTGTGTCCGTCTGTGTCCGTCTGTCTCCGTCTGTGTCCGTCTGTCTCCGTCTGTGACCGTCTGTCTCCGTCTGTGTCCGTCTGTCTGTCTCCGTCTGTCTCCGTCTGTGTCCGTCTGTCCGTCTGTCTCCGTCTGTCTCCGTCTGTGTCCATCTGTCTCCGTCTGTGCCGGTCTGTCTCCGTCTGTCTCCGTCTGTCTCGTCTGTCCGTCTGTGTCCGTCTGTGTCCGTCTGTCTCGTCTGTCTCCGTCTGTCTCCGTCTGTGACCGTCTGTCTCCGTCTGTTTCCGTCTGTCTCCGTCTGTGTCCGTCTGTCTCACCTGTTGGCACCTCTTGATCCGGATCTGAACCACAGGCCAAAACCGAGTCTGATTCTGCAGCAGTACCACACGAGACGCAGAGGGAGCCACGTTCACCTGAGGGTCAGAAGAAGAGGGTCAGAAGAGAGGGTCAGAGGAGGAGCAGAGGGTCAGGCGGGGTCAGATGGGGGTCAGAGGGGGTCAGAGGAAGGTCAGAGGAGGGTCAGAGGGGGGGGTCAGAGAGTCAGGAGGGGTCAAAGGGGGGTCAGAGGGGGGTCGGGGGTCAGAGGGTCAGAGGAGGTCAGTACCGTGCTGAGCTCCGTGGACAGGGCAGACGAGGTGCTGTCGTCTCCTCCGTAAACCATGATCTTGGCCGGCATGTAACTCGAGTCATCTGAGGACAGCAGCACCGCCAGCTCCCTGAGGTCACAGGTCACAGGTCAGACAGGGACAGACAGGAACAGACAGGGACAGACAGGAACAGACAGGAACAGACAGGAACAGACAGGGACAGACAGGAACAGACAGGGACAGACAGGTGCTCTCTGGTCTTTTAGCGGTTTAGTCGGTTCTTGTTCTTTCTCTGATCTGGTTTTGGGAGCAGATTTGGGATTTTTGGAGTTTCTGCGTAAAACCTCGGATTAAACTGGACTGAGCTGAACTGTGAGGATCGAACACGACAACACACACACAAAAATACACAAAAAAAAAAAAAAAAAAAACACCACCACACATACAAAAAAACAAAAACATGACAACACAACTGGCCGACAGGTGCTCTGGACAGGTGCTCTGGACAGGTGGGTGGGCGAGGTTACCTGATGGCCACGCCCCTCCTCATCACCACGGTGATGGTGTGCGACCCGGAGCACCCATTGGACTCCCAGTAGGTTTTGGGGTTCTGGTCGGTCAGGTTCTTCGCTCGATGTTGATTGGACGAAACCTCCACCTTCTCCCAGCACTGGTCCTCACGAAGCTCCGCCCCCGAGCCTGAAGGGGGGGAGGGAGCAAACAAGAGCAACTATAGGCACACTGAAGAGGACCTCAAAGGAACTCACAAGACCTCAGAGGACCTCAAAGTCAGTATTTATACTAGTACTGACTTTATCACAGGTGTGTCAGGTGCGGTGCAGGTGTGTCAGGTGCAGTACAGATGTGTCAGGTGCAGTACAGATGTGTCAGGTGCAGTACAGGAGTGACAGGTGCAGTGCAGGTGTGACAGGTGTGTCAGGTGCAGTACCTTTGCACAGGTGTCGGAGGAACACGTCAAACAGGGGGATGTTGATCGGACGATGAGAACGACGATGCTCCTCGATCTGACCCAGGACCAGCTGAAACACAACGCAACCATCAGAACCATCAGAACCAACACCAGGACCAGAGCCAGGACCAGGACTACAGACAAGTGCATGTTGTGTACCTGTGGAGTGTGTGTTGTGCGATTGTGTGTTGTTGTGTTGTGTTGTACTTGTGGAGTGTGTGTTTTGTGTTGTGTTGTGTGTGTTGTGTGTGTGTTGTTGTGTACCTGCAGACAGCCCGACAGCACACTGGAGCCCAGACTCTTGTAGAGAGCAGAGATTGGGCTCAGGTCTTGGATCAGGTCCTTCAGGTCAGAGGTCATCTTCAGAGACTCGTGTTTCTCCAGAACCCGGTCCAGAAGTGGACCGGCTCCAAACCGGACCATCAGAACCCCGAAGTCTTTATCCAGAGACGCCAACCGGAACAAGAGCGCCACCGCCGCCTGGCACACCTGCACCAGAACCAGAACAGGGTTAGGCCCAGACGCAGACCGGACCACAGGAGAGCAAGGACTAAACCAGGACTAAACCAGGACTAAAGCAGGACTAGATCAGGTCTATTCCGGGTCTATTCCGGGTCTATTCCTGGTCTATCCCGGGTCTGACCTTGAGGTCGGGCAGGTGCAGGCCCAGGGCGTTCACACTCGGCTCGACGGCGCGATGCCACGGAAACTCCTCGTCAAAACCGTCCAAGAGTTTCCCCAGAATCCTGCAAGGAAACAACCAATCAGAGAAGAGAACGGAGACATGGGCCAATAAGAGCGCTCGGGGGGCGGACTCACCTCAGCAGGGACAGCGTCGCTGTTTTGTCTGTTTTCTGCGTCTCCATCAAACTCACGACGTCCAATAAAACGTCAGCGTCTTGAGTCACCTGACCATAGGGAGCGGAGTCACAGGAGGGGGCGGAGTCACATAAGGGGGCAGAGTCGCGGGGAGGGGCAGAGTCACAGGAGGTGGCAGAGTCACAGGAGGGGGCAGAGTCACAGGAGGGGGCGGAGTCACAGGAAGGGGAGGAGTCACATGAGGGGAGAGTCACAGAGGGGAGGAGTCACAAGAGGGGAGGAGTCACAAGAGGGGAGGAGTCACAAGAGGGGGAGGAGTCACAAGAGGAGGGAGAGTTACAGGAGGGGGAGGAGTTACAGGAGGGGGAAGAGTTACAGGAGGGGGAGGAGTCACAGGAGGGGGAGGAGTTACAGGAGGGGGAGGAGTTACAGGAGGGGGAGGAGCAGACACTGACCTGTCGGAGCAGCAGGGCGCCCTCTTGTGGTTGGGCGTCACACAGAACCTTCTCCAGAGTCTGGATCACCTCCTTTGACGCTCCGGGCTCCTTCAGACCCGACAGCAGAGTCCGGACCTGGGACTCAGGCAGGTCCAAGTCCTGGTCTGAGAGAGGGATTGGGGTCAGACCTGAACCGGACCGGGATCCCGACCGGTCTAGAGGACTCACCTGAGGAGAGCGTTCTGAGCACGCTCAGTGCGAGCGCCGGGTGCACGCAGTCGGACACGCACTGCTTCAGCACCGGGCTCAGGTCGCTCGCCTCCAGCGCCACCTTCAGCTCTGAGTGAGACAGGAGCCACGACAGGACCAGGAGCCCCGCCCGGATCTGCTCCAGGCCGGACCCGTCCTCCGACGAGGTCCCCTCCCGGGCCTCTTCTGCGAGCTCCTCCGGGCCCCGGACCTCCCTCGACGTCGACCTAACTGGCTGCGGGCCGCTCCTCGTCTCCTCCGGCGCCGAGCGCGTCCCGTTCAGCTCGCGCACCAGGTTCAGGCCGCAGCGCCCCGACTCCAGGTTCCACCGCGCCTCGTCCAGACGGGACGACACGGGCTCCAGGGCCCGCCCCTCCCGCTCCTCGCTTGAATCACGGGTCCGATCCGGGTCCTCGGTCCGGACCTCCTCGGGTCCATCCCCGCGTCTCTGCCGCCGCAGCAGGAGGCGGAGCGCGGCAGGCACCGCCCCCAGGAGCCCGCTGGAGCCGGGGGGCGTGGCCGAGCTGATGCTGGCGAACACCTCCCGCACCACCTGCCCCTCGGCCACAGGGGGCGCCCCGCCCGCACCTGTCACCAGCTGCAGCACCTGCACACGGCAGGAGAACGAGAGAACGACAGGGTGAGAGAGTGTCGTGTGTCGTGTGTTGTGTGTTGTGTGTCGTGTGTCGTGTGTTGTGTGTCGTGTGTCTGTGGGCGTCTGACCTCCAGCGCCCCCTGCTGGACTCTGGCGCTCTCGTGGGCGTGGCTCATGGCGGCGAGGAGGGCACAGACTCCGCCCCCGGTGCAGAACGCCACCCTCCAATCGAACTTGACAAAGAGACGGCGAAGAAACCGAAGACAAGACCAGACCAAGACCTCGGACTCAGACCCCAGCAGGTCCACCACCAGCTTCAGGACCCGAGACCTGGTGGTGGACTCTGTGAAGGTCTTGTCTCGCTCTGGAGAGTCCTTCTCCAGAGTCCGGATCATGAGGACCACGGCCGCGAGCTGGAGACCCAGAGTAGAATAAGAAGAACCAGAACCTCCTCCAGAACTTCCTCCAGAAGCCTGGGTCTCCTGCTCCGCCTGAAGAACCGTCACCATCTCAGACAAACGCTCCAGGACGGACCTCTTCTCCTGCACACGCTCGGAGAACACTGCGGACAGGACAGGGGAACATCAGGGTAAGTTCCTCTGGGTTCCTCTGGTCTGTTGGACTCACCAGAGATGGTTTGTTCCAGGTCTGGGGGTAAGTCCTCAGAAGATGGCTCGGTCTGGACCTGGACCTCGGTATGGGCCTCGGTCTGGACCTCGGTCTGGGTCTTTGAGGGCATCTCGGTCTTGGGTTTTTTTGAGGCTGACTCCACAGACGCATCAGGAGAACAAAGATCTGAGCAGGAACCTGAAACACCACGAACAGGAACAGAGGTCAGACCAGAACCCGAAGAACCACAAGAACATCAGGGGACTAAACCAGGACTAAACCAGGACTAAACCAGGACTAAACCAGGACTAAACCAGGACTGAACCAGGACTGAACCAGAACTAAACCAGGACTAAACCAGGACTGAACCAGAACTATACCAGGACTGAACCAGAACTATACCAGGACTGAACCAGGACTAATCTTGGACTAATCTTGAACACAAACACACACACATATACAAATACACACACACTCACAGACACAGATACACACAGACACACACACACACACAAATACACAAAAACACATATATAAACACATGAACACACTTACACACACATACAAATATACACACACATATACATATAAACACACACACACATACATACATATATACACATATATAAACACACACACACACACATACATATATACACATATATAGACACACACAAACACACACGTATATAAGTAAACGTTGTGTTACCTGTGCGCGTGCGTTCTGACTCCGCCCCTCGCAGTTTCACGGCGCAGTTTGCTCGCTCAAGTTCTTTCAGACTCGACGGCGACAGATTCTGTTCCAGGAAGTGCAGGACCTGCGTCGCCACGGAGACGGGCACGCTCAGACCGATCAGAGCGCCGTCGTCCAGCTCCGCCTCCTGAGGACGGGAGAGAGCGGCGGTGGGTCGAGGGGGCGGGTCTTAGAGGTCAGAGGTCGCCTGCGTACTCACCTGTAGCGCCCTCTGCAGGACGCTCCGCACCTGCTCCTGATGCCCCGCCTCCAGACGCCTCACGAAGAACAGCAGCTCCCACCACTCACCTGTGCTAAGCTCCGCCCCCTTCTGCTCGCCCGCGCTCAGGTACGGGCAGGTGTAGAGCGAGGGGCGGAGCAACAGGGGCTCTGACGGCGCCGACAAAAACACGACAACAAGAACGTCACGACAACACACACTTCAGAGAGACAGAGAGTGTGTGTGCGTGTCTGTGTGTGCGTGTGTATATGTGTGCGTCTCACCTGTGCGCACGTGTGTGTATATGTGTGCGTCTCACCTGTGTGTGCGTGTGTGTGTCTATATGTGTGCGTCTCACCTGTGTGTGCGTGTGTGTGTGTGTGCGTGTCTGTTGTGTCTGTGTGTGTGTCTCTGTGTGTGTGTTTGTGCACTGTGTATGTGTATGTGTGCGCGTCTCACCTGTGTGTCTGTGTGTGTGTGCCTCACCTGTGTGTGTGTGTGTGTGTGTGCCTCACCTGTGTGTGTGTGTGTGTGTGTGCGTACTCGTGTCTGTGTGTGTGTGTGTGTCACCTGTGTGTGTGCGTACATGGGTGTCTGTGTGTGTGTGTTTGTGTGTGTCACCTGTGGGCAGCCCCTGGTCCAGTCGGGTCTCTCTGGGCTCTGGTCTGGACTCGGTGGTTCCGGTCGGGTTCTTGGTCTGGTCTGGGGTTTTTGTGGAGGAGCCAACGAGGTCCAACATGTGCCAATGTACCCAGTACGTCCGACCCAACGAGTCCCAGTGAACCTGACGCACAAAACACACACACAACACACACACAGTGAACCTGACGCACAAAACACACACAACACACACACAACACAGTGAACCTGACGCACAAAACACACACACACAACACAGTGAACCTGACGCACAAAACACACACACAACACACACAACACACACACACACACACAGTGAACCTGACGCACAAAACACACACAACACAGTGAACCTGACGCACAAAACACACACACAACACACACAACACACACAACACAGTGAACCTGACGCACAAAACACACACAAATACACACAACACACACAACACAGTGAACCTGACGCACAAAAACACACACAACACACACACACAGTGAACCTGACGCACAAAACACACACACAACACAGTGAACCTGACGCACAAAACACACACACACAACACACACAACACAGTGAACCTGACGCACAAAACACACACACAACACACACACACAGTGAACCTGACGCACAAAACACACACACAACACACACAACACAGTGAACCTGACGCACAAAACACACACACAACACACACAACGCAGTGAACCTGACGCACAAAACACACACACAACACACACAACACAGTGAACCTGACGCACAAAACACACACACAACACACACACACACACAGTGAACCTGACGCACAAAAACACACACAACACACACACAGTGAACCTGACGCACAAAACACACACAACACACACACAGTGAACCTGACGCACAAAAACACACACAACGCAGTGAACCTGACGCAAAAAAACACACACAACACACAACACAGTGAACCTGACGCACAAAACACACACACAAACACACACAACACAGTGAACCTGACGCACAAAACACACACAAACACACACACAGTGAACCTGACGCACAACACACACACAACACACACAACACAGTGAACCTGACGCACAAAACACACACACAAATACACACAACGCACAGTGAACCTGATGCACAAAAACACACAACACACACACACAGTGAACCTGACGCACAAAACACACACAACACACACAACACAGTGAACCTGACGCACAAAACACACACAACACACAGTGAACCTGACGCACAAAACACACACACAAATACACACAACGCAGTGAACCTGACGCACAAAACACACACAACACACACACACACACACAGTGAACCTGACGCACAAAACACACACAACACACACACACAGTGAACCTGACGCACAAAACACACACACAACACACACAACGCAGTGAACCTGACGCACAAACACACACAACACACACACAGTGAACCTGATGCACAAAACACACACAACGCACAGTGAACCTGATGCACACAAAACACACACAACACACACACACAGTGAACCTGACGCAAAAACACACACACAACACACACAACACACAGTGAACCTGACGCACAAAACACACACACAACACACACACAACGCAGTGAACCTGACGCACAAAACACACACACAACATACACAGTGAACCTGATGCACAAAACACACACACACAACGCAGTGAACCTGACGCACAAAAACACACACACAACACACACAACACAGTGAACCTGACGCACAAAACACACACAAACACACACACACAGTGAACCTGATGCACAAAACACACACACAACACACACAAACGCAGTGAACCTGACGCACAAAACACACACACACACACACACAGTGAACCTGACACAAAACACACACACACACGCAGTGAACCTGACGCACAAAACACACACACAACACACACACAGTGAACCTGACGCACAAAACACACACAACACACACACAACGCAGTGAACCTGACGCACAAAACACACACACAACACACACACAGTGAACCTGATGCACAAAACACACACAACACACACAGTGAACCTGACGCACAAAACACACACAACACACACACACACAGTGAACCTGACGCACAAAACACACACACAACACACACAACACACAGTTAACCTGACGCACAAAACACACACACAAATACACACAACGCAGTGAACCTGACGCACAAAACACACACAACACAGTGAACCTGACACAAAACCACACACACAGTGAACCTGACACAAAAACACACACACACACACACAACGCAGTGAACCTGACACACAAAACACACACACACAACACACACAACGCAGTGAACCTGACGCACAAAAACACACACACAACGCAGTGAACCTGACACACAAAACACACACAACACACACAACGCAGTGAACCTGACGCACAAAACACACACACACACACACATGAACCTGACGCACAAACACACACAACACACACACAGTGAACCTGACGCACAAAAACACACACACACACACACAGTGAACCTGACGCACAAAACACACACAACACGCACAACACAGTGAACCTGATGCACAAAACACACACACACAGTGAACCTGACGCACAAAACACACACACACAACACACACAACACAGTTAACCTGACGCACAAAAACACACACACAAATACACACAACGCAGTGAACCTGACGCACAAAACACACACACAGTGAACCTGACGCACAAAAACACAACACACAGTGAACCTGATGCACAAAACACACACACACACAGTGAACCTGACGCACAAAACACACACAACACACACACAGTGAACCTGACGCACAACACACACACACAACACAGTGAACCTGACGCACAAAACACACACACACACACACACAGTGAACCTGACGCACAAAACACACACACAACACACACAATGCACAAAAACAAAGAGACACGCATCACCTGTGTGGGGGTGGGCTCACCTGGTTGGGGGGGGGGGGGGCAGGGGCGGGCTCACCTGTACGGGGGGGAGCCGTTGTTGCTGGTCCTGAACTCGCCCTGGTCTCCGGTGTGGACCTCCTCGTAGTCCTGGTTCATCCGGACTCTGGTCCCAGGTTGGAGCGTCTGCTGCAGGTACGACTCGTACTCAGACCGAGACCCGAAGTCCTGAGCCGACCTGAGCCACAGAGACCGAGTCAGGACTACAGCGGGATCTCAACCAGTTTAACAAGGACCAAGGACTACAGCGGGATCTCAACCAGTTTAACAGGACCAAGGACTACAGCGGGATCTCAACCAGTTTAACAAGGACCAAGGACTACAGCGGGATCTCAACCAGTTTAACAAGGACCAAGGACTACACCGGGATCTCAACCAGTTTAACAAGGACCAAGGACTACAGTGGGATCTCAACCAGCACAGTGGATTTAAACCGGTTTTGGTCTACAGGAGGATCTAACCTGGTTCTGGGGTGGATCTAAACCGGCTCTGGGGTCTCACCTGAACTCCTTCTGGGGCGGGGCAGTGCTGCGCTGTGATTGGCCGATGCTTTGGCTTCGTTCTGATTGGCTGTTGGGTTTGAAGATGGACTTCCTGGTTTTCTGAGGTTCTGTCTGGACCAAAGTCCGGTCCCAGCCCAAGACCCGGACCAGCTCTGAGACCAGCGCCGCCGTCGCCATGGCAACCTCAAACTCCCGCCGCAGCCAGGAGGCGGGGTCGGCGTCCGTCGGGGGGGCGGAGTCGACTAGCGACGTCACACGAAGATAACGCTTCACCAACGAGAACAAGGCTTTACCTGGAATCTGCACGAGGAACAGAACGAGAACGATTTCAGCAGAATCTAGAACATTCTTAACCTTTTGGACACTGAGGCCTGATTTTTCCACCGCACAGTGGCCCCGGGGCCCAATAAAAAAAATAAAATAAAATCAAAATAAATTAAATATTAACAGCGCACAGGATTTGAAGAGTTCCAGTTAAAGAAAACCTCAGACAGAGGTGCGGTCTGGTGTGTTGGTGTTGGCGTTGGCGTGCTCACCTGTGGCAGCGGGGTGTGTGTTGGCGTGTTGGCGTTGGCGCACTCACCTGTGGCAGTGCCGTGTGTGTGTTGGTGTGTGTGTTGGCGTGTGTTGGTGTGTGTTGGCGTTGTCGTGTTGGCGTGGGCGTTGGCGTGTGTGTGTTGGCATGTGGGCGTGTGTTGCGTGTGTGTGTTGGCGTGGGCGTTGGCGTGTTGGCGTGTGTGTGTTGTGTGTGTTGGCGTGGGCGTTGCCGTTGTCGTGTTGGCGTGGGCGTGTGTGTGTTGGTGTGTGTTGGCGTTGTCGTGTTGGTGTGGGCGTGGGCGTTGGTGTGTTGGCGCGTTGGCGTGGGCGTGTGTGGCGTTGGCGTGTGTGTTGGCGTTGGCGTGTGTGTTGGCGTTGGCGGTGTGTTTGGCGTTGGCGTGTGTGTTGGCGTTGGCGTGTGTGTGTTGGTGTGTGTGGCGTTGGCGTGTTGGCGTGGCGTGTGTGTGTTGGCGTGTGTGTGTGTGTGTGTGTTGGCGTGTGGTGTGTGTTGGCGTGGGTGTTGGCGTGGGCGTGTGTGTTGGCGTGTGTGGCGTGTGTGTGTTGGGCGTGTTGGCTGGCGTGTGTTGTGTTGTGTTGGCGTTGGCGTGTGTGTGTTGGCGTTGTCGTGTTGGTGTGTGTTGGCGTTGGCGTGTGGGCGTGTGTGTGTGTTGGCGTGTGTGTGTTGGTGTGTGTGTGGCGTTGTCGTGTTGGCGTGGGCGTGGCGTGTTGGCGTGGGCGTTGTGCGTGGGCGTGTCGTGTGTGCGTGGCGTTGTCGTGTTGGCGTGGGCGTTGGTGTGTTGGCGCGTTGGCGTTGGCGCACTCACCTGTGGCAGCGGCGTGTGGTCGCAGCTGTCCTGTTCTTCAGACGAGGTGGTTTCGGCAAAAAGCTCCAGAAGCGTCAGACGATTTTCAAAGTCCAACTCCAGATCTCTGTGAGTCAGAGCCAACAGAACCGAGGCCCGGCTCCCTGAAACACAAACAGAACCAGAACCACCGTCAGAACCAGAACCAGAACCACCATCAGAACCAGAGACACAAACAGAACCAGGACCAGAACCACCGTCAGAACCAGGACCAGTGTCAGAACCAGAGACACAAACAGAACCAGGACCAGAACCACCGTCAGAACCAGAACCAGTGTCAGAACCAGAGACACAAACAGAACCAGGACCAGAACCACCGTCAGAACCAGGACCAGAACCACCGTCAGAACCAGGACCAGTGTCAGAACCAGAGACAGAAGTGAACCTGAAGCGAGCGCAGGTCAGAAGTGACTCTTCTGAAATGAATCTTTTTTCCCTCACGTGCCAAAGCCCCAGAGGAGGAATAATGTGAGAAAAATAACACAATTAAACATTTGAAGTAGAAAAAGGGTCAGAAGTATGAACTTTAAATTAAATTAAATAAGCTTCATTTAAAGAAATAAATGTAACTCATTTATCTCATTTTTCCCGACGTCATCGTGAACATCGACAACTGACAAGTAACAAAACATCTCCCAAACCTGGACTAAAGCAGGACCACAGAGACAGGTGAGACAGGTGAGACAGGTGAGACAGGTGAGACGGGTGTGAGACAGCTGTGACAGGTGAGACGGGTGAGACAGGTGAGACAGGTGAGACGGGTGAGACGGGTGAGACGGGTGAGACGGGTGAGACAGGGGTGACAGGTGAGACGGGTGAGACGGGTGCGACAAGGGTGACAGGTGAGACAGGTCAGACAGGTGAGACGGGTGAGACAGGGTGACAGGTGCGACAGGTGAGACAGGTGAGACGGGTGAGACAGGGGTGACAGGTGTGACGGGTGAGACAGGTGAGACAAGGGTGACAGGTGAGACAGGTGAGACAGGTGAGACAGGTGAGACAGGTGAGACAGGTGACAGGTGCGACAGGTGAGACAGGTGAGACAGGTGAGACGGGTGAGACAGGGTGACAGGTGTGACGGGTGAGACGGGTGAGACAAGGGTGACAGGTGAGACAGGTCAGACAGGTGAGACGGGTGAGACAGCTGTGACAGGTGCGACAGGTGAGACGGGTGAGACAGGGGTGACAGGTGTGACGGGTGAGACAAGGGTGACAGGTGCGACGGGTGAGACGGGTGCGACGGGTGAGACAGGTGCGACAAGGGTGACAGGTGAGACAAGGGTGACAGGTGAGACAGGTGAGACAAGTGTGACAGGTGAGACGGGTGAGACAGGTGAGACAAGGGTGACAGGTGAGACAGGTGAGACGGGTGCGACAAGGGTGACAGGTGAGACAAGGGTGACAGGTGAGACAGGTGAGACAAGGGTGACAGGTGAGACAGGTGAGACAGGTGAGACAAGGGTGACAGGTGAGACAGGTGAGACGGGTGAGACAAGGGTGACAGGTGTGACAAGTGAGACAGGTGTGACAGGTGTGACGGGTGCAACAGGTGCGACAGGCGTTTCACCTGCGTCGTGGGAGGCCATCGCTCTGAGGATCTGCCCGGCGCTGCGTCTCGTGCCCCTGTCGCCATCACAGAGCAGCTCCAGGATCAGGTCCAGGGCACCTGTCTCTCTGAAGACAGGTGCGAGCGCGGCAATGGCGGCGTACGAGCTCAGCACCGACACCGTGTGGCCGAGCGTGGCGCTGCGGGGAGGACGCATCTGTCTGTGAGCGCGACAAACCAGAGAACGAACATCTGCCTGAAGCTCCAACAACTCCCGCTGGTCCTGCGCCTGACAGGGACAGACAGGGACAGACAGGGACAGACAGGGACAGGGACAGGGACAGGGACAGGGGCAGGGACAGGGGCAGGGACAGGGGCAGAGACAGGGGCAGACAGGGACAGGGGCAGAGACAGGGGCAGACAGGGACAGGGACAGAGACAGGGGGGAGGTTAGAGAGACAAGTAGAAGCTCAATATAAACTTTCTTCACATCGTCTGAAGTGTCACTGGAGGTTTGAGGAAAATCTGGGTAATGTGTTGAGAACACAACACACACTTATACACACACTTATACGCACACTTATACGCACACTTACTTATACGCACACTTATACGCACACTTATTACGCACACTTATACGCACACTTACACACACTTATACACACACTTACACACACTTATACACACACTTATACACACACACACACTTTACACACACTTTTACACACACTTTTACACACACTTTTACACACACTTACACATACACACATTTACACACTTACACACGCGCACACACTTGTACACACACACACACACACACCCGTACACACACACACACGCTGAAGCGGACGTTCCAGCTCCTGCGAAACTTCAGACGGTGGAAAAGTTCGGGTGCGTTTCTATCTCGTCTGTGATTGGCTCACCTCTGCGTTGCCCCGCCCCTCCTCCTCTGTGATTGGTCGGGGGCCGAGGTCGGGGCAGGTGTATCGTGCGTCTTCTTCGCTCATCCACATCAGGACGCTGTTCTCCGAGGCCCCGCCCTCCGAGTCGCCGTCGTCCGTGGAGATGAGACGCCAGCGAATCAGGAGCTCGGACTGCCCCCCCACCGTGCGCCGACAGCGAATCAGCTCCGACGGACACGCCCTCCGACCGGCGAACTGCACGACCAGAGCGCCCGACATCTGCGGAGAACACCAGAACTTTAATAGAACATCTGGGGAGAACATGAGAACTTTAATAGAACATCTGCGGAGAACACGAGAACTTTAATAGAACATCTGCGGAGAACACCAGAACTTTAATAGAACATCTGCGGAGAACACCAGAACTTTAATAGAACATCTGGGAGAACATGAGAACTTTAATAGAACATCTGCGGAGAACACCAGAACTTTAATAGAACATCTGGGAGAACATGAGAACTTTAATAGAACATCTGCGGAGAACACGAGAACTTTAATAGAACATCTGCGGAGAACACCAGAACTTTAATAGAACATCTGGGGAGAACATGAGAACTTTAATACAACATCTACGAAGAACAACAGAACTTTAATAGAACATCTGGGGAGAACACGAGAACTTTAATAGAACATCTGCGGAGAACACGAGAACTTTAATAGAACATCTGCGGAGAACATCGAGAACTTTAATACAACATCTACGAAGAACAACAGAACTTTAATAGAACATCTGGGGAGAACACGAGAACTTTAATAGAACATCTACGAAAAACACCAGAACTTTAATAGAACATCTGGGGAGAACACGAGAACTTTAATAGAACATCTGCGGAGAACACGAGAACTTTAATAGAACATCTGCGGAGAACACGAGAACTTTTATAGAACATCTGGGGAGAACATGAGAACTTTAATAGAACATCTGCGGAGAACACGAGAACTTTAATACAACATTTACGGAGAACATCGAGAACTTTAATACAACATCTACGAAGAACAACAGAACTTTAATAGAATATCTACGGAAAACATCAAGAAGTTTAACAGAACATCTACGAAGAACATCGAGAAGTTTAACAGAACATCTACGGAGAACATCGAGAAGTTTAATATAACATTTACGAAGAACATCGAGAACTTTAATACTAAATCTGCAGAGAACACGAGAAGTTTACTGGAACATGTGCAGTGAACACGAGAACTTTAATAGAACGTCTGCAGGGAACACGGAGAACTTTTTGTATGGACTGTGCTGTACAAATATACAACCCGAAACAATCCGAGACAAGACAACACGAGACAACATGAGATAACCCGGGACAAACCGAGACACGTGACACAACCACGTGACACACGCGCTTTCACTTTTGTTTCAGCTTTGACACGTCCTCACAAAAACTCAAGCGGAACCGGGACTAAACCCGGACTAAACCCGGACTAAACCCGGACTAAACCCGGACTAAACCCGGACTAAACCAGGACTGGACCAGGACTGGACCAGGACTGGACCAGGACTGGACCAGGACTGGACTGAAGCACTTGAATGACTTTGTGTTCGGATTGTGTTGTACAAATAAACTTGTTTTGCCAAAACACAAACAGAACCAAAACAAGGACGGACCTGGACTAAGTGACACTAAACCGGACCGGACCATAGAGAATAAACTGAACCGGGACTGGACCAGGACCGTCTCAGCTCGGTTCATTTCGGGGCAGACCCGGAGCAGACCCGGGGCAGACCTGGAGCAGACCCGGAGCAGACCCGGGGCTCGGTGGGTCAGCGGGGCTCGGTGCGGGGCTGTCCCGGGGGTGAGCCCCTGTGGGCGGTGTGAGAGCGCGGCTCACCTCGGCGTTCGGCCTCAGTCCCGGCTCGGTCCCGGTTCTGTTCCGGTTCGGCCCGGTTCTGTCCCGGTTCGGCCCGGTGCTGGTGCCGTGGGGAGTCTGTGCTGTGGGCCTCGTGGTGGTCGTGTAGTTTTTTGTAGTTTTCAGAAGGTTTTTGTAGTTTTTAATAGTTTTCCTTTCGGCGCAGTTTCCTGGTGTCTCGCGCTGTAGGCTGTGTAGCGGAAGTGATGTCAGCGCACTTCCTGTCTGTGTTTAGTGCCGCGGCGCCCCCTGCCGCCGGACACGTGACACCGCGCGAGGAGGGGATTCCATGGAATCAGAAAGTTAAAGCCTCACTACAGAACATTCTGTAGAAAGACTTAGACGTTTAATGCCACACTGTGGGATATTATAGGCAAAGGAACAGTATCTCCATGGAAACAATTAGGAGGCCAAATAAGAGTCAGGTTTGTGGAGAGGCGAGCTCACAGTCACGTGTTTGAGTGAAATAAACGTCACATGTTTTTATTCAGTTTGTTTTTGGATAAAACGTTCCACACTGTGACTTTAACCTGAACCTGTCTGATCCAGATCTGGACTTTAAACACGACTCTGAGCGTGACTCAGGGTTTTTACTCCGAAATCGATCGAACTCTGAGCCGAGTCACAACAAGTAACTCCTAACTCCTCTCTCCTCTCTCCTAACTCCTCTCTCCTCTCTAACTCCTGTCTCCTACCTCCTGTCTCCTAACTCCTGTCTCCTACCTCCTGTCTCCTAACTCCTATCTCCTACCTCCTGTCTCCTAACTTCTGTCTCCTACCTCCTAACTCCTGTCTCCTACCTCCTGTCTCCTAGCTCCTGCCTCCTACCTCCTGTCTCCTAACTCCTGTCTCCTACCTCCTGTCTCCTAACTCCTGTCTCCTACCTCCTGTCTCCTAACTCCTCTCTCCTAACACCTGTCTCCTACCTCCTAACTCCTGTCTCCTAACTCCTGTTTCCTACCTCCTGTCTCCTACCTCCTGCCTCCTACCTCCTGTCTCCTAACTCCTGTCTCTCACCTCCTAACTCCTGTCTCGTACCTCCTGTCTCCTAACTTCTGTCTCCTAACTTCTAACTCCTCTGTCCTACCTCCTAACTCCTGTCTCCTAACTCCTAACTCCTGTGTCCTATCTTCTAACTCCTATCTCCTCCCTCCTCTTCACTTAGCCCCTCCCTCCTCCTCACTTAGCCCCTCCCTCGTCTTTAAAAGGTCCGGTTCTGGATCTGGTCTCAGTTCTTCTGTTGATTAAAGTTTGAAGATGAAAACTCAGATCGTCCTGATTCTACTTCTGCTGCCGCTGTGCTCAGGTCAGAACTAAACCAGGACTAAACCAGGACTGGACTAAGAACCAGGACTAAACCAGGACTAAACCAGGACTAAACCAGGACTTAACCAGGTCTAAACCAGGACTAACCAGGACTGAAACCAGGACTAAACCAGGTCTAACCAGGACTGAACCAGGACTGAAACCAGGACTAAACCAGGACTGGACCAGGACTGAACCAGGACTAAACCAGGACTAACCAGGAAACCAGGACTAAACCAGGACTGAACCAGGACTAAACCAGGACTAAACCAGGACTAAACCAGGTCTAAACCAGGTCTAAACCAGGACTAAACCAGGACTAAACCAGGACTGAACCAGGTCTATTTGTACAGGGCAGAACTACATTGAGTGCTATGGTCAAGATTTTTTGTCGGTCAACAACCTGCTCCTGCAGTGCTCCGGCCCCAAACCCCAGGCCTGTTACACACGAGGTACTACTGTCCGGTTCTGTCTGGTTCTGTTCTGACGTTCTGTGTGGTTCTGTTTGGTTCTATGTGCTTCTGTGTGGTTCTGTTTGGTTCTGGTTGGTTCTGTGTGGTTCTGTTTGGTTCTATGTGCTTCTGTGTGGTTCTGTTTGGTTCTGGTTGGTTCTGTGTGGTTCTGTTTGGTTCTGGTTGGTTCTGTGTGGTTCTGGTTGGTTCTGTGTGGTTCTGTTTGGTTCTGGTTCTGTTGGTTCTGATGTTCTTGTGGTTCTGTGTGGTTCTGGTTGGTTCTGATGTTCTTGTGGTTCTGGTTCTGATGTTCTTGTGGGTTCTGTTCCTCAGACTCGGGGGAGAAGGGCTGCACGGAGCTGAAGAACTGCCTCAGGCCCGGATGGACCTGCTGCAAAACCAACCGCTGCAACCAATGAGAGAAGAGGAGGGGTTTAAACTGACCAATGAGAGGAGAGGAGGGGTTTAAACTGACCAATGAGAGAGAAATAGAGTTTCAGCCACTCAGAAGAGTTTTGTGTAATCATTAAATAAAAGTGTCAAACCTGTGTGTGTTGTGTCTTCATGTGTGTGTTGTGTGTTTTCATGTGTGTGTTGTGTGTTTTCATGTGTGTGTTGTGTGTTTTCATGTGTGTGTTGTGTTTTCATCTGTGTGTTGTGTGTTTTCATCTGTGTGTTGTGTGTTTTCATGTGTGTGTTGTGTGTTTTCATGTGTGTGTTGTGTTTTCATCTGTGTGTTGTGTGTTTTCATCTGTGTGTTGTGTGTTTTCATGTGTGTGTTGTGTGTTAAATGGTGAATTTTGTATTTGAGGCTCCTACATTCCCATGGCTCCTGCGACACCTAACTCCACCCACAGACACACATCTAACACCTGACCCCGCCCACAGACACACCTCAAACACCTGACTCCGCCCACAAACACACATCAAACACCTGACTCCGCCCACAGACACACCTCAAACACCTGACTCCGCCCACAGAGACACTTCAAACACCTGACTCCGCCCACAGAGACACTTCAAACAGAGACGCTAAACTGGGCGGGGCCAGAGAAAGGGGTGGGGTCACATGAGTCACTGAAATAAACTCATCTGTTTGGATGGGTTTGTTTAGGCTTAACTCAAGGGGGCGGAGCCAGAACTACGCACACAGTGATGTCACAAAGTGAATTCTGTGTTTAGTTCCACTTGAATCATGAGAAAGACTCAGCCCTGGATCCGGTTCTGGACTTAGTCTGGATTCTGTCTGGACGTAGTCTGGACTTAGTCTGGACTTAGTCTGGTCTCAGTCTGGACTTAGTCTGGACCCAGTCTGGACTCAGTTTGGACTCAGTCTGATCTCAGTCTGGACTCAGTCTGACCTCAGTCTGGTCTCAGTCTGCACTCAGTCTGGACTTAGTCTGGACTCAGTCTGGACTTAGTCTGGACTCAGTAAAGGTTTGACGGCTTTGTCAGTTAATGATGTGGATCTATAATTGTTCCCTGGTCACAGATCAGGTCAGACCACAGACTCTGTGTTTATATGTGTATGTATATATTTGTATGTTTATATGTGTATGCATATATGTGTATGTATATATGTGTATATGTGCATGTTTATATGTGTATGTGTATGTATATATGTGCATGTTTATATGTGTATGTGTATGTTTATATGTGTATGTTTGTATGTGTGTATATACAGATATATACAGAGAGTCTGTGTTCTGATACACGTCTAGAGAGAGAGACTCAGACAAATTTTATTTATTTATTTTTATTCATTCAACATGTTCAAATACATAGTCAACAAGACAAACAGAGACGTCACAAACACACAAATAAAACAAAATTATACACATGATACACAGGGCACCGTACAACAACAACTACACAAGAGAAAAAAACAAAACAAGCAAACCTCACAAACCCTTAACCATAGACTGTATAAAAGAATATAATCGGTTTATACTCTTAAACAAATAAAATAAAGAGTAATAAAATAAAGAGTGATAAAATAAAGAGCGATAAAGTGAAGAGTGATAAAATAAAGAGCAATAAAATAAAGAGTAATAAAATAAAGAGTAATAAAGATAAAATAAAGAGTAATAAAATAAAGAGTAATAAAATAAAGAGTAATAAAATAAAGAGTAAACAAGCGTCACAGAGCCACAGTGAGCCTGCGCAGTACCGCTCCTGACCGCGGGGGGCGCTGTGAGGCTGCGGGACGTAACAGCGGAGCCGGAAGTGCAGCGCCATTTTCCGCGCTGCCGCTCGGCCCCAGCGCGTTCACACAGCGCGTCCACACACGCACTGTCCACTCTGTCCACTCTGTCCAATCTGTCCCCGCGCTGTCCCCGCTCAAGCGCCTCTCTCTCCCCGGAGCCCTGCGCCCCTAACCCCGCGGAGCTCATGTACCGCGGCCGAGGACAGAGGGGCTTCCCGGGGCCCAGAGACCCGCACGGGCCCCGGCCTCCGTACGCGCCCGGGTATCCTCCCGCAGAGCCCCGCGGACACCACAGCGACTCCCGCGGACACCACAGCGACCCCCGCGGACACTACAGCGACTCCCGCGGGCCCTGGAGCTCCACGGCCCCCAGAGAGGTGAGTGTGAGGCAGCGGGAGTCTGACCCACAACCGCGGGACAGACACTGAGCAACACACTGCACTCACACTGACCCACAGCCGCTGAGCAACACACTCACACTGACCCACAGCCGCTGAGCAACACACTCACACTGACCCACAGCCGCTGAGCAACACACTCCACTCACACTGACCCACAACCCCTGAGCAACACACTCCACTGACCCACAACCCCTGAGCAACACACTCACACTGACCCACAGCCGCTGAGCAACACACTCACACTGACCCACAGCCGCTGAGCAACACACTCACACTGACCCACAGCCGCTGAGCAACAACCACTGTATGTAGTAGTAGTATTTGTAGTATTTGTAGTAGTAGTAGTAGTATTTGTATTAGCAGTAGTAGTAGTAGTATTTGTTGTAGTAGTAGTAGTAGTAACAGTAGTAGTAGTAGTAGTATTTGTAGTGGTAGCAGTAGTATTTGTAGTAGTAGTAGTAGTAGTAGTAGTAGTAAAGTGTCCAGTCGTCCCAGTTTCTCCGGGACAGTCTCGTCCTCTGTCTGTGTCTTTGTCTCTGCAGATTTTTACAAAATCACTGATTTGTTTCAGTTTATACAAGAAAAGTCCCAGTGTCTCTGTGTTCGACACAAACTCACATTTGTTTTGGTAAAATACAGAAAATCTGTTTAAAAACGACAAAACACAAAGAAAATGTGACAACACTGACAGGAGCGCAGACACAGTGACAGGAGCAGACAGGAGCTGACAGGAGCACACACACAGTGACAGGAGCTGACAGGAGCAGACAGGAGCACAGACACAGTGACAGGAGCACAGACACAGTGACAGGACAGGACAGGAGCCGACAGGAGCTCAGACACAGTGACAGGACTGAAACCTTACTTTGATCGTGTTGTTTTTGTTTCGCAGCGTTCTCCATCAGGTCCTCTCGATCACAACCTCGTCATCACCGTGGGCAACGAACGAGCCAATCACAGCGCACCGTCAGACAGGTAACAGCCAATCAGAGTCCTGTCTGCGCGAGCACCTGAGACAGGGACACGACAGGTGACCCAGATCAAACTGAAGCAAACCCACAGCTCTGTTTGAGGAGCCGGGAATCGAATCACCAAGACGATACTGATACTGATAAAAAACATTTAACCAGTTTAACACGTAAACAGCAATTCAACATTATTATTTACACGGAAACAACAAGAGAAGATTTGAATTCAGAATTTAAAAACCTGATGTAAACGTGGACTGTGAATGTTGTGAAAGTGAAAGTGGTTGGTCCATGCGGCGTTTTGTCGTCGTGATGTTTACGTTCACGTCGGCTCCGTTGGACTCCACAGTTTTCTAACGCCAAAGTCGTCGTTCTTGTTTCTTTATGAAGTGTTTTTAAATCAATATTGAGATTTAAAATGTCAGAGTTGGAGCAGAATGATCCTCGGCTCAGAGCTGTAGACGCTGTAGACTGGTTTTTCTTTTTGTAGGATTCTTCTGTGTTTTTACAATATGAACTTTAAAAACATTTCCAAAGAGTTTTCTGGTTTAACTCGGCCCGTCGCGCCTCTGCTCAGGGACTACGACCGAACCAAGAGCCGAGGACGCAGCAAATCCAGAGGCCGGAGTCGCTCCAGAACCCCGGACCGGACCAGGGGGCGGAGCAAGTCTAGGGGGCGGAGCAAGAGCAGAGTCCAGTCCAGATCTCGGTCCAGGTCCAGGTCTAGGTCCAGGTCCAGGTGAGTCTCAGGTCTGATTCGGACCTGTGCAGAGTGATGTGTGTTCTGTGTGTTCTGTGTGTGTGTTCTGTGTGTGTGTTGTGTGTGTGTGTTGTGTGTTTGTGTTTAATTTGTGTGTGTGTTGTGTGTTTCTGTTTAATTTGTGTGCGTCAGAAGGAGACACTGTTTAAAATCCAAATCTAGACTCAGTCCTGTCTCTGAGATCTCTCCTGTCTCAGATCCAGGTCTCGTGGGCGGAGCCGAGGCCGCAGCAGAGGGCGGAGCTACAGTAAAGGGGGCGGAGCTCGCAGTAAGAGTCGGCGCCGCAGTCGCTCGAGCTCCGGAGACTTCAGCGAACCAGAGTCTGCCCCGAAACGAAACGAGAACGTGATGCCACAACCGACAAAATCCATCCTGAAGAGACGCCCCGAAGAGGACTCCCCGTCTGTGCGGGTACGAGGCCGGGGGCCCTGAGACCGGGGGCCCTGAGACCGGGGGCCCTGAGACCGGGGGCCCTGAGACCGGGGGCCCTGAGACCGGAGACTCTAAGACCGGAGACTGAAGTCCAGTTCTTGACAGGTGTGTGGTGTGTTTCAGAGTCTGGACTCTCCTCGCCTTGGCGCCGGTCCCTCAGACTCGGTGACGCGGATGGCGGATCAGCTGGTCGCCGCGGTGAGGGGGCTGCAGCCGGCGGCGGTGGCGGCCATGTTGGCTCAGCTGAAGGCGGACCCTCAGATGGGGGAGGCGGAATTTCGTCAGATTGTGGCGCTGTTGGAGTCTCGCACAGCGGCGTCTCGCCCGGATGACGCCAAAGCAGGCGTCAAACGTCCCGAAGACATCGATGACGAGGAGCTCTTCCTGTATGGAGACTCCGAGGCTCCGCCCACAGGCCAGCCCCCGGAGCAGCCAATCAGGAGCCAGGATCTATATGGAGACGTGACCGAAGACGACCTGTACGGCGACCTGCAGCCGCCCGCCGCCGCCGCCGCCCATGACACCAGGTAAGACCCGAGGTGTTCCCAGTGTGCCCATCGTGCCCATCTCCCAGACGCAAGAACCATCTGCCCCAGTCTGATGTCCTCAAACAAAACACGTCCGACTGTAGAAGAACAAACTGAAGAACCTGGACGGTAGAATCACCGTCTGTGACTTGAGTGACAGGACCTGGGGAGTTAGACGTTACAGACGTATAAATGAGCACCTCTCTCTCCTCCACACAGGTTCTCCCAGATGCCCCCGGGCACCGAGCCCCTGGAGCCCGGCGAGCGCCAGGCTCTGGAGGAGTACGAGAAGGTGCAGAACCTTCTGCAGACCATCGGCCTGGACCTCAACGTGTCTGACATCTCCAAGATGGCCGCCAGGACCAAGGAGCGTCTCCAGGGCAACCGGCCGACCAAGTCCCCTCCGTGCCGCCGCCGCTACTCCTCCTCCGGCAGCTCCAGGTGCGATGCGTCTGTGACTCCTCTGCTCTTTCTTTTCTTTAAGTTCTTTTAAAATCACAGTCGGCTCTTTTCACGTTCACCGGGAACATTTGGAAACATGTGTCTTCACGACCTGCCAGAAGTTTACATCGAGGACGTCCATGTCCCTCACAGACGCTGGACCAGTCTGTGGATCTGTGGACTGGAGCGCTACAGTCACAGCTTTTATTATTTTCATTAAGTTAGACAAATTATAAGAATAACAGAAAGAACACAGTGAACTCCAGATGAAGAAAACCGCACCGTTTTATCAGTTTTCCCAGATTTAGTCTGAGTTCCTACGGAGACCTGAACAGAACCCAAAGGTTCTGTTCAGGTCTCCGTCTGCAGGTTTCCAAACATCTGTGGCGTTTGTGAAGAGAGCCGACAGTGATCTAAAACAACTTTTCACTAATGAAGAAACAGGGAATGAGCAGAAAAGACGTAAACGTGGTTGGTCTGTGTGACCCTCAGGTCCGGGAGCAGCAGCCGCAGCCGCAGCTACAGCCCCAAACGCAGCCGAGACCGATCCAGAGACCGATCCAGGGACCAGTCCAGGGACCAATCCAGGGACCAGTCCAGAGACCGGACGAGAGACCAGTCTCTGCCCGCTCCTGACGCTGCCCCCCCTGTGGTGCCTCCTCCACACCCCCCCATGAACCTGGCCTACCCCCCCACCCAGGTGACGCCCGCTCTACTACACTACAACTCAGACTAGTACTGCTACTACTACTACTACAGCTGCTACTGCTACTACTGCTACTACTACTACTACTACAGCTGCTACTGCTACTACTACTACTACTACTACTACTACTACTACTACTGCTAATGCTATTACTACTACTACTTCTACTTGTACTTCTACTTGTGTCTTTACTGCGGTGTATTTGTGGGTGAGTGTGGTACAGTTGGTTCACCCTCTGGCCTCTCTCCGTCAGGTGCACGGGATGATGCCCCCGTACCCCCCGCCCGGGTACCCTCCACAGTACGGGAACTACATGGGCTACCCCCCTCCCCCACAGTGGCCCCCCATGTACCCCCCGCCCACCATGGCCTACAGCGCCTACCCAGGTGAGTGCCCCTGCCGGTGCCCGTGCCCCCGCCGGTGCCCGTGCCCCCGCCGGTGCCCGTGCCCCCGCCGGTGCCCGTGCGGTGTCCATCTCTTTCTGTGTACTGTATTTTTTTGAGTTAAAGTCGCACCAGCCAAAAAATGCAAAATGAAGAAGAAAAAAACATTTACAAGTGACACTTTTTTGCGGAAATTATTTTATAAAATGACAGACCAGGAGCCGACATTTGTGTAAAGTGAAGTTGTAGTAAAAACCATAGAAGAGAGAAGAACAGACTGTTAATGTCACATATGAACAGTTCTTCAGATAAACAAAAACATAAACAACAGAACAAGTTTAACAAACTCTCCATCTCACTCCAAATCACTAAATCCATTCAATTCTTCATCCTCAGTGTCACTTCTGAACAACTCAGACAACTCGAGTTAAATCTAACTTTTAGCTGCGATGAACTTTTTTTATTTTCTTCATTGCAGTTTGAGTTTCCTCTGCTTTTCTTCAGTCCCTCACAAGTTTCTTAATCTGTGTATCATTTGTTCATTCGTTTTTCATTATAAAACCAAAAATAAGAAAATGAAAAAACAACAGTTTTCTTCATTATTTGTCTCCAAAACCAAAATGAAAAAACAGATAAGGTTCAGTTTTTTCAGTTTTCGATTTTGTGTTTAAATGAAAAATGGAAAAAAAACGGATCACAGACGTTTCCCGTTTATGTGACTTCTGTGACTGCGATGCCGGACTGAACCAGGACTGATCCAGGTCTGCTCTGGTCCTGGTCCGGTCCCGGTCTGGTCCCGGACCTGGATTAGTCTGTATGCGGTGCAGAAGTTCAGCATCACAGTCACGGAAGTCACTTAAACGTGAAACGGCTGTGATCCGTTTTTCCCATTTTTCATTTAAACACAAAATCAAAAACTGAAAAAAAGAATCATTATCCGTTTTTTAATTTTGGTTTTGGAGACAAATAATGAAGAAAACTGCTGTTTTTTCATTTTCTTCTTTTTGGTTTTATTTTGAAAAACGTCATCTTCAGTGTGATGTGAAATTATAGATTTTTATATTTAAGTCTCACCTGAGGTTAAGTCACAGGAAACTCCTAAACTATAAAGAAAAGTGACACTTATTATCAGAAAAATACAGTAATTGAAAGGTTTGAAATGACAGGAAGTGGCTCATTGTGTTTCCTGTTTCAGACGGAGAGAAAGATCGAGCATTTAACGAGGAACAAAACAACGAGAGTCAGAAGCAGAAGGTGACCTCACACTCACGATGAAGATGATGATGATGATGATGAAACCTCTCCTGACTCCTGTTTGTGTGTTTGTTTGTGCGTGTGTGTTTGTGTGTGTGTGTGTGTATTTGTGTGTGTGTTTGTGCGTGTGTGTTTGTGTGTGTTTGTGTTTGTGCGTGTGTGTTTGTGTGTGTGCGTGTGTGTTTGTGTGTGTGTTTGTGCGTGTGTGTTTGTGTGTTTGTGCGTGTGTATTTGTGTGTGTGTTTGTGTGTGTGTGTTTGTGTGTGTGTGCGTGTATTTGTGTGTGTGTTTGTGTGTGTGTGCGTGTGTTTGTGTGTGTGTTTGTGTGTGTGTGTGCGTGTTTGTGCGTGTGTTTGTGTGTGTGTGTTTTGTGCGTGTGTATTTGTGCGTGTGTTTGTGCGTGTATTTGTGTGTGTGTTTGTGCATGTGTTTGTGCGTGTGTGCGTGTATTTTGTGTGTGTGTTTGTGTGTTTGTGCGTGTGTTTGTGCATGTGTTTGTGCGTGTGTTTGTGTGTGTGTGTTTGTGCGTGTGTGTTTGTGATTGTGTGTGTGTGTGTTTGTGTGTGTGTTTGTGTGTGTGTGTTTGTGTGTGTGTTTGTGTGTGTGTGTGTGTGTGTGTGTGTGTGCGTGTGTGTTTGTGATTGTGTGTTTGTGTGTGTGTGCGTGTGTATTTGTGTGTGTGTTTGTGCGTGTGTGTGTGTGTGTGTTTGTGCGTGTGTTTGTGTGTGTGTGTGTGTGTGTGTGTGCGTGTGTTTGTGTGTGTGTGTGTGTGTTGTGTGTGTGTGTGTGTGTGTGTTTGTGCGTGTGTGTGTGTGTGTGTGTGTGTTGTGTGTGTGTGTGTGTGTGTGTGTTGTGTGTGCGTGTGTGTGTTGTGTGCGTGTGTGTTTGTGCGTGTGTGTGTTTGTGTGCGTGTGTGTTTGTGCGTGTGTGTTTGTGCGTGTGTGTGTGTGTGTGTGTGTGTGTGTGTGTGTGCGTGTGTGTGTGTGTGTGTGTGTGCGTGTGTGTTTGTGTGTGCGTGTGTGTGTGTGCGCGTGTGTGTGTGTGTGTGTGTGTGTGTGTGTGGTTTGTGGATGCTGCAGGTGCTGGAGGAGCGAGAGAAGCTCAAACAGGACAGAGACATCAGGATGAAGAAGAAAGAGTACCTCATGAAGGAACTGGAGCGCCTCCGAAAACAGCAAGGTACTCCTGACCTCTGACCCCAACTCACCCCTGACCTCTGACCCCAACTCTCCCCCGAACCCTGACCCCAACTCACCTCTGACCTCTGACCCCAACCCACCCCTGACCTCTGACCCCAACCCCTCCCCGAACCCTGACCCTGTGTTTGAGTGCAGTTCTGGTGTTTGTCCTGTAGGGGAGCTGCTGAGGAAGAAGCGCCGGGAGAAGGACGGACACAAAGACCCTCTGCTCCAGGAAATCAGCCGCCTGCAGGAGGAAGTGATGTCACAGATCTCTGCGCTGCGGCGGGAACACGAGGCCGCCGAGAAGAAGCGCACGGAGATCGAGAAGGTGGCGGCCATTTTGGGTCTGGCTCCCGGAGATCGGAGCCGAAAATCCTCCGAGCGAGAACCGCCGATGAAAAAGAAACGAGAGCGGAGCCCGGAGCGGCGCCGGAGCAGCGTCAAGGTACCTCCTCTGCCGCCAGCTCGTTTACGGTCACGGGTGTTTTAACGTTTTCTTTTCAGCCTGGCCCTGTCGTCTGCCCCTGTCGCTCCTCGTGTTCTGTCGCTCTGACGCGCACGGCAGGTTTTAATGTTGAATCAGGAGAACGTGCAAGCGCTCGGGCTGCGGCGGGTCGAGGCGCTCGGGCTGCGGCGGGTCGAGGCGCTCGGGCTGCGGCGGGTCGAGGCGCTCGGGCTGCGGCGGGTCGAGGCGCTCGGGCTGCGGCGGGTCGAGGCGCTCGGGCTGCGGCGGGTCGAGGCGCTCGGCTGCGGCGGGTTGGCGTTTCTATTCCCTCGTTAGTCATTTTTGCGGATTATAAGAGTGCGATTATGTTGGTGTTTAAACGTGCTGGAACCGGTTTTAGCTCGTTGGCGGCGGTTTTAGCTCGTTGGCGGCGGTTTCAGCTCATTGACACCGGTTTTTGAGAGTTTCTTTGAATCGTGGCGTTTCATTTTCTTTGGATTGCTCAAAGGTAAGGTCCTTTTACATTTTAAACACATTTCTGTGGCGTTTGCGTGTGACTCGTGACGTCATTTACAAAGATTTAACCTTTAACCTTTGATTTGTTTTTTTAGTCGCCCGAGAAATCATCCACGCCTTCTCGGAAGGCCACGCCTCCTCGGAAAACCTCCACGCCCCCTCGGAAGACTACTCCTCCCAGAAAGGCGGCCACGCCTCCCAGGAAAGAGGCCACGCCCCCTCGGCCTGTGGCCCCGTCCCCTAAGGCGGCGTCCCCACCCCCCGCGCCGGAAGAGCCGTTTGAATATTACGACGCAGGAAACCACTGGTGCAAAAGCTGCAACGTCACGTCAGGATCCATGTTCGACTTTTACACTCACCTGCACAGCAAGACGCACCGCAAGGTCCGTTTACCTGACCACAACTCTTCTTCTACACAAGTATTCACACGCACCGCTGCCGCAGCCGCGCAGGACAGCGCCCCCTCTGACTAAACCTCATTATACTTTACTACACTTTAAAATGAAACCGTTTTAATGTAAACCGCTTCTCTCACTCAGACTCTGGACCCGTACGATCGGCCCTGGGCCCCGGCTCCCACCAAAATCTCCAAGAGCGACACGGCGGCGGAGAAGCTGACCAAACCTGCCAAAGGTGAGTGTGAAACCGTGTGAAGAGTGAATAAACGTGCCCATGTGTTGACCTCAGTGCCGCCGGTGCTCAGCCTGTCCCTTTTCCAGGTCTAAGCTGGATCTGCGTCTCTTAAACTGCAGTGAAAACGGAGCATTGTACGTAAACTACGACTCCCAAGATGCATTTCAGCAAGACACAACTGTGTTCTGTTCCAGATTAACTGTTTTAGTGCCGTAGCCAAACCCGAGGCAGAGTCTGGACTTATTCCCAATGCTAACGTAGCGCTAACTTAGCGCTAACGTGGTGCTAACGTAACGCTAACGTCGCGCTAACGCTCTGCCTCAGGTTTGGTCTTCATCAGAACAAATCTTTATAACCACTTTATTCCAGGATCCACTGTAAACTGCGACTCCCAGAATGCCGCTGTGCTTGAGGCGTCCAGTCACAGCGCTGCTCATTGTTCTCATTGTAACTGCAGACATTTCTGTTTCATTTTCTGTGAATAGTGTTTCTGTCACCCGTTTTCCTTCAGGTTCTCAGACGCGGCGGTGCAGGTAAACACGTTGCTCTGTTGTGTTTTTCTGACCTTTAACCCTCGGCCTGCGTCTGTTTCTCAGGGTCAGAGTTCATGCTGCCCGTGCGAGGATTCTACTGTCTCCTGTGCAAAGAGTTTTACGGAGACGCCATCTGCGCAGAAGAACATGTGACCAAGCACGCGCATAACGAGAAGTACAAGGTAAAAACCAGAACTAAACAACACAACGAGAAGTACAAGGTAAAAACGCACAACCAGAAATAAATCAACATGAGGAGAAGTTCCAGGTAAAGCAGGTGTGTGTTTTCAGAGCGCAGAAACATGTTTCACGCTGGAGACTTGTGTGTTTCAGAAACTGATGCAGGAGAACCCCATGTACGAGCAGCGCCGGAACCTGGACCGCCAGGCCAGCATGAAGCGCAAACCCGAAGAACCCAAGATCCTCAAGATGGAGCCCGAACCCAAACCGGAGCCCAAACTCAAGAAGAAGAAACACCTGGAGCCGGAGGAGTTCAGCCCGCCGCGCCCGCCGGAGCCCCGCCCCCTCGAGCAGCCCCGCCCCCTCGAGACACGCCCACAGGAAGTGCCCAAACTGGAGGTGAAGGTGGACATGCGGCCGCTCCCCGAGGAGCCGCCCAAACTGCCCAAACTGGAGATCAAAGTGGAGAACAAACCGAAGCCTCTGGAGCGTCCGGTGTTTAAAAAAGATGAAGAAGAGAAGCCCAAAAAGAAAGACGACAAACACCGCTACAGCCGCGAGGAAGAGGACCGCAAGGAACGCTACCGCCGCTACGAGGAGTACAGGCACAAGACGCACCGTTACGACGACCGATACGACGATCGCTACGACGATCGCTACGACGACCGCTACGGCGACGACCGCTACGAAAAGTCCAAATACCACCGGGACGAGGAGCGTTCCAAAGGGAAGTACGACTCCAAGTCCAAGTACGAGTCCAAGAAACCAGAACCGAAGAAAGAGCCCGAGGCTCCGTCCCGTCCCTACGACCCGCCAAAGGTAATGTGCGGCCCCAGCCCCGCCATGAGGGCCAAACTCAAGAAGCAGAGCCAAGAGGCCGCCAAATCAGGCTCCTCCCCCTCGGCTGCTGCCGCCGCTGCTGCCACATTCAACAAGTTCACGTGGAAGAAGAAGGAGAGCGTCGTGATGAAGGAGAGCGTCCTGATGAAGGAGGCCCAGAAGGTGGCGGCGGCGTTCATCAAAGACGACGAAGCCGCGGCGCAGAAGAGCGGCTCTGACGAGGACGCCTTTCAGAAGTCGATGGCAGCGGCGAAAGAGATCGCAGAGAAACTGTCCCAGAGCGCGCCTCCGTCATGGGGCAAGATCCGGCCCGGCCTCGCTAACCGCCGCGGCGCTTTGGCCGGGAAAACGGGACAGAACTCAGTGAGGCCGACCACCCCGACCCAGGACCCCACGCCAGCCGCGGCGGCGCCTCAAACCACGCCACCTCAGGCCACGCCCCAAACCCTCCTCCCCTCGGATGCGCCGCAAGTCCCCGTGATCCCGAACCCCACCTTCCCTCTGCCCTCCTTCCCCCCGCCCGCCTTCCCTCCTCCCTCGTACCCGCCCTACCCGCCGCCCTCCGGCATCATGCCGCCCATTAACCCCAGCGTCCCCCCTCCGCCGCTGGTGCTGCCGCCCGCGGTCCCTCAGGCCTTCGCGCCGCCGCCGGTCCCGGAGCCGGAGCCTCCGAAGCGCGTCTACGTGAAGCCCGCCCCCTTCATGAGCAGCGCCGGACCCAAGACGGAGAAGTTCAGCACCAGCATGGCGGCCGCCAAAGCCCAGGACCTGTTCGGGATCCTGTTCAGCCCCGGCAGCATCGGCCCCGCGGCCAAGACCACCAAACCCGCCGCTACAGCCGCCGCCAAGAAGGAAACCAAACCAGAGGCTAAACCCAACAAGCAGCAGAGCGCCGCCACCGCGCCCGCCACCACCGCGCCCGCCACCACTGCCTCTGCCGCCGCCGCACCCACCGCTGCCGCCGCTGCCACCGCCGCACCCAAGACCAGTGCCGCTTCAGTCCCTCCAGCAGGGGGCGCTGCAGACGATCCAGGGCTGCAGATCACCTCCGTGTGGTCCATGAACGCCGCCAAGACCAAAACAGGTAAACGTCCAATCACGTCCAGCCTCTACAGTCTGACGCTTCACACACACAAACTCTGTTCCATCTCGTGATGTCATCATGTGGTGATACAGGAAGTGCTCAACTATGTTTTTAAACTCCACACACCTTCACGAGAACTTGATGACATCACAAGGTGGAACAGAGTGTTTGGAGTTTTGTAGATGTAACAGACTCAGAATAAAGAAACAAACAAACACGACTCCAGCTCTGAGTGAGACTAACGTTCTACAGTAGAACATTAGGACAGTAGGACAGTAGAACATTAGGACAGTAGGACAGTAGAACATTAGGACATTAGGCAGTAGAACATTAGAACAGTAGAACAGTAGGACAGTAGAACAGTAGAACATTAGGACAGTAGAACATTAGGACAGTAGAACAGCAGAACATTAGGACAGCAGAACAGTAGGACAGTAGAACAGTAGGACAGTAGAACATTACGACAGAACATTAGGACAGTAGAACATTAGGACAGTAGGACAGTAGAACATTAGACAGACAGAACAGTAGGACAGTAGAACATTAGGACAGTAGAACATTAGACAGTAGAACATTAGGACATTAGGAGTAGATTAGGACAGTAGATAGAACAGTAGAACAGTAGAACATTAGGACAGTAGACAGTAGAACATTAGAACAGTAGAACAGTAGGACAGTAGAACAGTAGAACATTAGGACAGTAGAACATTAGGACAGTAGAACATTAGAACAGCAGAACATTAGGACAGCAGAACAGTAGGACAGTAGAACAGTAGGACAGTAGAACATTACGACAGAACATTAGGACAGTAGAACATTAGGACAGTAGGACAGTAGAACATTACGACAGAACATTAGAACAGTAGGACAGTAGAACATTAGGACAGTAGGACAGTAGAACAGTAGACATTAGGACAGCAGAACAGTAGGACAGTAGAACATTAGAACAGTAGAACATTAGAACAGTAGGACAGTAGAACATTAGGACAGTAGAACAGTAGAACATTAGGACAGTAGAACATTAGGACAGTAGGACAGTAGAACATTAGGACAGTAGGACAGTAGAACATTAGGACAGTAGAACATTAGGACAGTAGAACATTAGGACAGTAGAACATTAGAACAGTAGAACATTAGGACAGTAGAACAGTAGAACAGTAGGACAATAGAACAGTAGGACAGTAGGAACAGTAGGAACAGTAGGACAGTAGAAGAGTAGGACAGTAGAACAGTAGGACAGTAGAACAGTAGGACAGTAGAACATTACGACAGAACATTAGGACAGTAGAACATTAGGACAGTAGAACATTAGAACAGTAGAACATTAGGACATTAGAACAGTAGGACAGTAGAACATTAGGACAGTAGAACAGTAGGACAGTAGAACATTAGGACAGTAGAACAGTAGGACAGTAGGACAGTAGAACATTAGGACAGTAGGACAGAACATTAGGACAGTAGAACATTAGAACAGTAGAACATTAGGACAGTAGGACAGTAGAACATTAGAACAGTAGAACATTAGGACAGTAGAACATTAGGACAGTAGAACATTAGGACAGTAGAACAGTAGGACAGTAGAACATTAGAACAGTAGAACATTAGAACAGTAGGACAGTAGAACAGTAGGACAGTAGAACATTAGGACAGTAGAACATTAGGACAGTAGAACATTAGAACAGTAGGACAGTAGAACATTAGGACAGTAGAACATTAGGACAGTAGAACAGTAGGACAGTAGAACATTAGACAGTAGAACAGTAGGACAGTAGAACAGTAGAACATTAGGACAGTAGAACATTAGAACATTAGAACATTAGGACAGTAGAACATTAGAACAGTAGAACAGTAGAACTTGACTTGAAGTTCAGAGTTCGTGTGATTGTGGAGTTCTCTTGAGTTCTTTTAGGTGGACACATCGGGGCGGTTCCTCTGGACTCTGCACTTTAGAGTTTGGGTTTCCCTGATGTCTGAAGAAGCAGTTTCATCTCTTGTGTTCTTGCGCAGAACCAGACGAATCCGCCTCAGAAACGGTGGCTCAGGTGGTTCCAGAGGGAGAGGGGAAAACCGAGCAGCTCCCAGCCCAGAACGAGGCTCTGAAACTGGGCATGACGGAGCAGAGTGTCCCCGAGGAGGCTCCACACGCTCAGCCGGACGAGCAGGTCAGAACCAGACGCATTTACACAGATCGTAATTAAATATCACGATTAAATATAGTGTTTAAATATCACGATTAAATGGTACAATTAAATATAGTGCTTAAATATTACAATTAAATGTCACGATTAAATGTCACGATTAAATATCACGATTAAATATTACAAGTAAATATTGTGATTTAAAATGCCTAAATTATAACATAATGATTGGCAGGGGTCAGAAGTTCTGTGAGGTCCAAACGTTGGTTGAAAATGTTCTAAATTTATGTTCTGGTTCTGGTGGTTTTTATCAGGGAGAAGTGAAGCTGCCTGAACCAGAGACCGAGGACCAGACCTTAGACCGGACCCGAGACCAGGCCCGAGACCAGGCCCAAAATGTCCCACAGGATGAGTCTGAGGAGACACAGTCTGGACCGGTCCAGATCGAGTCAGAACCCAACACCGTGGTCCTGGCCAAGACTCTGCCCACGCTCCAGGTACCGCTGGTCCGAATCGTTCCCGAGATTTCAGACCAGGCCGAGGTCCAGGCCGAAGTCCTGGCCGAGGTCCACACAGAGCCAGAGGAGAGTCCCACGAAACCTGAGTCCCAGTCCACAGAACCGAGCCAGGACACAGACACAGAACTGTCTCCAGAACCCAAACCCCGTACCAGAGGCAGGAAGAAGGCCTCACCCGCGGCAAAACCAACCCGAGCCCGGCAGACTCGGTACCAGACGCGCCGACAGCAACAGCAAGAACCAGAACCTGAACCAGAACCTGAACCTGAGGCCGAGCCAGAGCTGCAGTCTGAGGCCCAGACCGACCCGGATGCTCAGGGGGAGCAGGAGACAGAGCTCGCTCAGGTAAATCCACTCACGACTCTGTTTGTATGTGTGTGGATTGAACTGAGCAGTCTCCTGAGTGACGAAGAGGAGGAGGAACCTCCCGAGGGGCGAGGAGGAGGAGGAACCTCCCGAGGGGCGAGGAGGAGGAGGAACCTCCCGAGGGGCGAGGAGGAGGAGGAACCTCCTGTGGTTTGAGCTGCAGAGGGAGGATAAAATGTGCTCTTTAAATCACTTTGGGTTTTTTCCGAATTTTCTGTCGATCTTAAAACTTTTTTTGTCAGTGTTTGTTAGTGTGTACGGTGTCTCCACGGTAACTGCTGAACATTCCACCATAGAAATAAATGTAGAATGCCCCCTCTTCTGTACACTGCAGATTTTTCTGATCTGGTCAAGATTTTCAAACTTATATCAGGTTCTTCATCTTGTCTTCACATTTATCGTCCAGAGGTTGTTTGGTTGAAGAGAACTTGTCAGTAAAATGATCTTCTGCACAGACACATCATGTCAGATGATGACAGATTTAAGTGTTTAGATCTTCAGCTTTTTTGCAGTATATTTACTTCAGCGTTTCATCTCGTCACAGGTTTACGCTCAGGACCAGAGTCCGGCCAGAGGAACAGAACCGGATCCAGAAGTGGACCACGGAGCAGAACCAGACCATGACCACAGCACGGAGGTCACACTGTTCCACGTCGAGTCCATGGAGGTGGACCAGGACCAGGACCAGGACCAGGACCAGGGCGAGTTGGAGCAGAAGGGTCCAGAGGAGGAGGTCCAGACGCAGCCTGACGACGCTCCCATGGTGGTGGAGCTGACCCCGGAGACGCTGGGGCTGCCTCCGGACATGACCGCTCTGGACTTTGACTATGATTTTAGCTTTGAATAAAACCCAGAAGCAGCGCGTGGACTTTGGACACGGCCGTGGCTCTGATCATGTGAAGGAGGCGTGTCCCACGTCAGACCTTTAACCGTGAAGAACTCTCCTCCTGAAATGTTCTCCTGGTCTCCCTGGACACTGGACCTTTGCCTTTGTAAATAGAGCTTCAGCACAATTCTGTTTTTGTCCAATCAAAACTGAACTATTGTGTTTGTTTTTCCACCATTTTGAACCTCGAGCTCAGTCAGTAACCCTAACCCTAACCAGAGCTGCTCCCGGGAAAAAAAACTAATCATTTCTTGTCCGTGAATTTGGAGATTGCGGCTTCAGCTTAAAACGTGTCTATGAAGCTGCTGTTGTACTGGAGCTGAAATGTGAATTATTTGTACCACAAATGTACAACGGTTTCCAAAGTTTTTAAATCACAACACTAAAGACCCTGTCCTGGTTTAGTCCTGGTTTAGTTCTGGTTTGGACCCTGTGTGGACCTGGTATACTCCTGGTTTAGTCCTGGTTAAGTCCTGGTTTAGTCCTGGTTTAGTCCTGGTTTAGGACTCTACTCGAGCGGTTTTCTGTTTGTAGATTAGAATCATTTTTATGTTTTTCCACAAAGAAAAAGTTGTTTTTGCCGAAGTTTCTTGTTTTGAGCCGAAGCAAAGAAATAAAACATTTAAACAAAGAGTGTTGTGTTTATTTTGGTCTAGATCAGTGTTAGTCCTGGTTTAGACCCGGTTTAGACCAGTTTAGTCCCGGTTTAGTCCTAGTTTAGACCCGGTTTAGACCCGGTTTAGTCCCGGTTTAGACCCGGTTTAGTCCCGGTTTAGTCCCGGTTTAGTCCCGGTTTAGTCCCGGTTTAGTCCTGGTTTAGTCCTGGTTTAGTCCCGGTTTAGTCCTGGTTTAGTCCTCTAGTGATGGTTTGTTGCTGGGAAGAACCTCGCCCTCTGTTACTTAACTCTATCAGCCAATGAGAAAAAAGCGTGAGTGCGTTGCCAGGCAAAGTTGCGGCGCCGCAGCCAATGGGAGCGCTGGATTTGGCTGCGGCGCTGGGAGCAGAGTCTGACCGAGCGACAGCGTCCCAAACCCGGGCACAGAGGCACGACGCGCCGCGGAGGCTGCACCATGCCCAACAAAACCAAGAAGGACAAGGTACGGCCGCAGCGGGAGGTCCGCCCGGCCCCGCTCCGGCCCGGCCCCGCTCCGGCCCGCCCGGCGGTGTTCGCGCTCTGACCGGAGGCCCGTTAGCCGCTAGGCTAAAGCTAAAGTCAGATGACCTCCTGTAGCTTCATTTCCCCGCGTCCCGCAGCCCCGGAGCCGCGTCTCCCCCCGGGCCCGGGCCGGGCGGACGGGCCCGGAGGAGCCGCGTCTGTCCGGGCAAACTGACACACTGACATGTCCCGGTTTTACCCGGTTTTACCCGGTTCAACCGCCGCGTTAGCCGCGGAGCTAGCAGATGTTTCATTATTGATTTGGTGTAAACAGCGGCTCCAGATTCACGACATCAGCCGGGACCAGGCGGGTTTACCCCGGGACCAGCGGGTTTACCCCGGGACCAGCGGGTTTACCCCGGGACCAGGCGGGTTTACCCCGGGACCAGGCGGGTTTACCCCGGGACCAGGCGGGTTTACCCGGGACCAGCGGGTTTACCCGGGAGGCGGGTTTACCCGGGACGGCGGGTTTACCAGGCGGGTTTACCCCGGGACCAGGCGGGTTTACCCCCCAGGCGGGTTTACCCCGGGACCAGCGGGTTTACCAGGCGGGTTTACCCCGAGTCCAGGCGGGTTTGCCCCGGGACCAGCGGGTTTGCCCCGGGACCAGCGGGTTTAACTGGGACCAGCGGGTTTAGGGCACAAGTGGGTTTACACCCGCAGTCTGTGGTTCTGTGGAGGGTTTGATCTGGAGGTTGTTGGTTCGATTCCCGCTCTACACATAAACAGTGTCAGATCCACAGATAAAGACTGCCGCTGTGTCTTTGGGCAAGACACTTAACCTTGTGTGTGTGTGTGTGTGTGTCTGCGTGTGTGTATGTCTTTGCGTGTGTGTGTCTGCGTGTGTGTATGTCTGCGTGTGTGTATGTCTGCGTGTGTGTGTGTGTATGTCTTTGTGTGTGTGTGTGTGTGTCTGCGTGTGTGTGTGTCTGCGTGTGTGTCTGTGTGTGCGTGTGTTTTGGCTCGGTTCGACCCGGTTCAGGGTGAGGACTGTGGAGAAGGGGGAGAACGTTGTCGTCCTGAAATCTGCAGTGCGTCGATAATCTGATTCTATCCTGAGGAACTGAGGAGACTGTACTGCCTCTGCCCAGGGTTTAGACCTGATGCCCTCCCGGTCAGAGGGTTTAGACCTGACGCCCTCCCGGTCAGAGGGTTTAGACCTGACGCCCTCCCGGTCACAGAGGGTTTAGACCTGATGCCCTCCCGATCAGAGGGTTTAGACCTGATGCCCTCCCAGTCACAGAGGGTTTAGACCTGATGCCCTCCCGGTCCCAAAGGGTTTAGACCTGATGCCCTCCCGGTCAGAGGGTTTAGACCTGATGCCCTCCCGGTCAGAGGGTTTAGACCTGATGCCCTCCCGGTCAGAGGGTTTAGACCTGATGCCCTCCCAGTCACAGAGGGTTTAGACCTGATGCCCTCCCGGTCCCAAAGGGTTTAGACCTGATGCCCTCCCAGTCACAGAGGGTTTAGACCTGTTGCCCTCCCGGTCACAGAGGGTTTAGACTTGATGCCCTCCCAGTCACAGAGGGTTTAGACCTGATACCCTCCCGGTCCCAAAGGGTTTAGACCTGATGCCCTCCCAGTCACAGAGGGTTTAGACCTGATGCCCTCCCGGTCAGAGGGTTTAGACCTGATGCCCTCCCAGTCACAGAGGGTTTAGACCTGATGCCCTCCCGGGCAAAGGGTTTAGACCTGATGCTCTCCCGGTCACAGAGGGTTTAGACTTGATGCCCTCCCAGTCACAGAGGGTTTAGACCTGTTGCCCTCCCAGTCACAGAGGGTTTAGACCTGATGCCCTCCCCGTCACAGAGGGTTTAGACCTGATGCCCTCCCAGTCACAGAGGGTTTAGACCTGATGCCCTCCCGGTCCCAAAGGGTTTAGACCTGATGCCCTCCCGGTCCCAAAGGGTTTAGACCTGATGCCCTCCCGGTCAGAGGGTTTAGACCTGATGCCCTCCCGGTCAGAGGGTTTAGACCTGATGCCCTCCCAGTCACAGAGGGTTTAGACCTGATGCCCTCCCAGGGGCTCAGTGAGGAGGTTGTGGGTTTGATTCTTTTTTATATTTTCAGGATTCGAGTAAATCCACAAAAAGCTCCAAAAACACCAACAGCAACAACAAAGATGAAAACTCCGACGAGGTACTACAAATACTACTGCAAATACTACTGCACATACTACAGCACATACTACAAATACTGCCGCAAATACTACTACAAATACTACAACAAATATTACTACAAATACTACAACAAATACTTAACAAATACTTCACTAATACTACCATACTACTACAAATACTACTGCAAACATTTCATATTGTGTCTGTTTCTGTGACACTTACAGATTCATATTTGTATATATCACATGTATATATGTATTATATATATATATATAATATATATATATATATACACACACACACAGATGTATGTATTAGTATTATATAATGTGGTGTACTTTGTGTTTTTCAGAGTAAGCGCGCCCCCCCTCCGCCCCCCCTCCCACACAACTCAATAAAATCAAATATTCTCCAGCGACGACGGTCGTCAAGAAAGAACGACGCCACAGCTCGTCCCGCTTCAGCCTCAGCAAGAACCGAGAACTGCACAAGCTGCCCGCGCTCAAAGGTACAAGTACTACATACAAATACTACATACAAGTACTACAGAAGTATAACACGAACTGCACAAGCTGCCCGCGCTCAAAGGTACAAGTACTACATACAAATACTACATACAAGTACTACAGAAGTATAACACGAACTGCACAAGCTGCCCGCGCTCAAATGTACAAGTACTACATACAAATACTACATACAAGTGCTACACAAGTATAACACGAACTGCACAAGCTGCTCGCGCTCAAAGGTACAAGTACTACATACAAATACTACATACAAGTGCTACACAAGTATAACACGAACTGCACAAGCTGCTCGTGCTCAAGTACAAGTACTACTGTGTACTTCTGTGTATTTCTGTATAATTCTGTGTATTTGTAAGTAGTGTATTTGTGCAGGGTTAAACTCCTGCTGTAGCCACAGCTGCCCTGGGGCAGACAGACACAAATGACGCTCCAATCACACACACACACACACACATATATATGTATATATACATATATATATATATATATATGTATATATTTATGTATATGGAAAATATATATATATACATATATACATTTATATAATCTGTGTGTGTGTATATACAGACATGACAGGTGGTGCTCTCATGTGTGTGTTGTGTGTCAGATGCGGCGGCAGCGGCGGAGCGGGAGGAGCTGTTCGTGCAGAAGTTGCATCAGTGTTGTTGTGTGTTGTTGTGCGTTAGACGTGGCGGCGGTGCTCACGTGTGTGTTGTGTGTGTTGTGTGTCAGATGCGGCGGCAGCGGCGGAGCGGGAGAGCTGTTCGTGCAGAGTTGTCAGTGTTGTGTGTGTGTTGTGTGTTAGACGTGCGGCGGCTCAGTGTGTGTTGTGTGTGTTGTGTGTCAGATGCGGCGGCGGCGGCGGAGCGGGAGGAGCTGTTCGTGCAGAAGTTGCGTCAGTGTTGCGTTCTGTTCGACTTCGTGGCTGATCCGCTCTCTGACCTCAAATACAAAGAAGTGAAACGAGCCGCGCTCAACGAGATGGTCGAGTTCATCACACACACGAGCGGCGTGCTCACTGACGCCATCTACCCCGAGGCTGTGTACATGGTGAGACGCACAACACACAACACACACACAACACACACACACACATACACACAACACATACACACAACACATACACATACACAACACACACACAACACACACGAGCGGCGTGCTCACTGACGCCATCTACCCCGAGGCCGTGTACATGGTGAGACGCACAACACACACACACACACAACACACACACACACACACACACACACATACACACAACACATACACACAACACACACACACACACGAGCGGCGTGCTCACTGACGCCATCTACCCCGAGGCCGTGTACATGGTGAGACGCACAACACACACACACACACAACACAGAACACACAACACACACACATACACACAACACATACACAACACACACACAACACACACGAGCGGCGTGCTCACTGACGCCATCTACCCCGAGGCCGTGTACATGGTGAGACGCACAACACACAACACACACATACACATACACACAACACAAACACACACACATACACACAACACAAACACACACACACAGAATCCGAGAGATAAATGATAAAAATGGACAAAATCATAAACTTTTGTCTGTGGCGTCGTTTTAAAGATTTAACATGAAACATAAAAAAAAACAAAAAACTTTTAAAGTCTTCAATAAAGTCATCCCCAAAAGTTTATTTCATCAGTGTCAATCTGTAAAACCGAGTCAACGACACAATTACAACAATAATCTGTGACATCACTGTGTGACAACACTGTGTGACATCACTGTGTGACAACACTGTGTGACATCACTGTGTGACAACACTGTGTGACATCACTGTGTGACAACACTGTGTGACATCACTCTGGTAACACACAGTGTGCGTCGTTGGTAACACACAGTGTGTGTGTGTGTTGTGTTGTTTCAGTTTTATTTTTGTGATTTTACTCTTTATAATTTTCTTTTCTGTTCATGTCATGATTTTCATTTTAATTGTAAAATATTCACATAAATAAAATGAGGTTTGTTGGATTCATGATGATTCAAAATGCACCTGGACAGGAAAGAGAATAAACATTGTTGTTTTGTTTTTTTCGAGGAGCAAACACAAAATAATCAAATCTAAACTTAACAAAACAGAAAATCCACAATTTTTAACTGCGAAACATCACTGACCCCTGTGTGTGTGTGTTGTGTGTCTGTTGTGCGTCTGTTGTGTGTCTGTTGTGCGTCTGTTGTGTGTCTGTTGTGTGTGTGTTGTGTGTGTCGTGTCTGTTGTGCGTCTGTTGTGTGTCTCGTGTGTGTGTGTGTCTGTTGTGTGTGTGTCTGTTTGTGTGTCTGTTGTGTGTGTGTGTCTGTTGTGTGTTGTGTGTGTCTGTTGTGTGTGTGTTGTGTGTGTGTCTGTTGTGCTTGTGTTGTGTGTGTGTCTGTTGTGTGTGTGTGTGTGTGTGTGTCTGTTGTGTGTGTGTCTGTTGTGTCTGTTGTGTGTGTGTCTGTTGTGTGTGTGTTGTGTGTGTGTCTGTTGTGCGTCTGTTGTGTGTGTTGTGTGTCTGTTGTGTGTGTGTCTGTTGTGTGTGTGTTGTGTGTGTCTGTTGTGCGTCTGTTGTGTCTGTTGTGTGTCTGTTGTGTGTGTGTTGTGTGTGTGTGTCTGTTGTGTGTGTGTTGTGTGTGTGTCTGTTGTGCATCTGTTGTGTGTCTGTTGTGTGTGTTGTGTCTGTTGTGTGTGTTGTGTGTGTGTCTGTTGTGTGTGTGTGTGTCTGTTGTGTGTGTTGTGTGTCTGTTGTGTGTGTTGTGTGTGTGTCTGTTGTGTGTGTTGTGTGTGTGTCTGTTGTGTGTGTGTGTGTGTGTGTGTCTGTTGTGTGTGTTGTGTGTGTGTCTGTTGTGTGTGTGTGTGTCTGTTGTGTGTGTTGTGTCTGTTGTGTGTGTGTGTGTGTCTGTTGTGTGTGTGTGTGTGTGTGTCTGTTGTGTGTGTTGTGTGTCTGTTGTGTGTGTGTGTTGTGTGTGTCTGTTATGTGTTGTTGTGTGTGTTGTGTGTCTGTTGTGTGTCTGTTATGTGTCTGTTGTGTGTGTTGTGTCTGTTGTGTGTATGTGTGTCTGTTGTTGTGTGTGTGTGTCTGTTGTGTGTGTGTTGTGTGTCTGTTATGTGTGTGTGTGTCTGTTGTGTGTGTGTTGTGTGTCTGTTATGTGTCTGTTGTGTGTCTGTTGTGTGTCTGTTATGTGTCTGTTGTGTGTGTTGTGTCTGTTGTGTGTATGTGTGTCTGTTGTGTGTGTGTGTGTCTGTTGTGTGTGTGTGTGTGTCTGTTGTGTGTGTGTTGTGTGTCTGTTATGTGTCTGTTGTGTGTGTTGTGTGTCTGTTGTGTGTCTGTTATGTGTCTGTTGTGTGTGTTGTGTGTGTTGTGCGTCTGTTGTGCGTCAGTTTTCGGTGAACGTGTTCCGGACTCTTCCTCCGTCGTTGAATCCGACCGGAGCCGAATTTGACCCAGAAGAAGATGAACCCACACTGGAGGCGGCCTGGCCCCACCTGCAGGTCAGACCCGGAACTACACCGGGACCGGGACCGGGACTACACCAGGACTGGGACCGAGACTACACCAGGACTACACCAGGACCGGGACCGAGACTACACCAGAACTACACCAGGACTGGGACTACACCAGGACTACACCAGAACTACACCAGGACCAGGACTGGGACTACACCAGAACTACACCAGGACCAGGACTGGGACAACACCAGGACTACACCAGAACTACACCAGGACCAGGACTGGGACTACACCAGGACTACACCAGGACCAGGACTGGGACTACACCAGAACTACACCAGGACCAGGACTGGGACTACACCAGGACTACACCAGGACTACACCAGAACTACACCAGGACCAGGACTGGGACTACACCAGGACTACACCAGGACTACACCAGGACTACACCAGAACTACACCAGAACTACACCAGGACCGGGACTACACCAGGACTGGGACCGAGACTACACCAGGACCGGGACTACACCAGAACTACACCAGGACTACACCAGGACTGGGACCGAGACTACACCAGAACTACATCAGGACTGAAGCAGAACTACACCAGAACTACATCAAGACTACACCAGGACTACACCAGAACTACACCAGGACCGGGACCGAGACTACACCAGAACTACACCAGGACTAGACCAGAACTACACCAGGACCGGGACCGAGACTACACCAGAACTAGACCAGAACTAGACCAGGACTACACCAGAACTACATCAGGACTACACCAGGACTACACCAGGGCTACACCAGGACCACACCAGAACTACACCAGGACTACACCAGGACCAGACCAGAACTACACCAGGACCGAAGCAGAACTACACCAGGACCGGGACCGAGACTACACCAGAACTACACCAGGACTACACCAGAACTACACCAGGACCGGGTCCGAGACTACACCAGAACTACACCAGGACTAGACCAGAACTACATCAGGACTACACCCAGACCAAGACCGGTCCAGGACTGTACCCAGGACCCAACTAGGACCGAACCAGGACTGAAGCAGGACTAAAGTCACCCTCTGCCCTTTGACCTTTGACCTTCTCTCTACAGTTGGTCTACGAGTTTTTCTTGCGTTTTCTGGAGTCTCCAGATTTTCAGCCAAATATCGCCAAGAAATACATCGACCAGAAGTTTGTGCTGTCGGTGAGTCTGACCCCTGACCCCTGACCCCTGTGACCTGTGACCCTGTGACCCTGTGACCCTGTGACCCTTGACCTGTGACCCTTGACCTGTGACCTGTGACTCTGTGCAGCTGCTGGAGCTGTTCGACAGTGAGGACCCCAGAGAGCGAGACTTCCTGAAGACCATCCTCCACCGAATCTACGGAAAGTTCCTCGGGCTCAGAGCCTACATCCGCCGCCAGATCAACAACATCTTCTACAGGTCTGGACCAGGACCGGACCAGGACTGGACCACGACCGGAGCAGGACCGGAGCAGGACCGGACCAGGTCTTATTCTGGTTTGTGATTTTGTTTTTCAGGTTTATTTATGAAACTGAACATCACAACGGCATCGCAGAACTACTGGAGATACTTGGCAGGTAAATCCTCTGACCTCTGACCTCTGACCCTCAGTATCATAAACGGCTCTGACCTCTGACCCTCAGTATCATAAACGGGTCTGACCTCTGACCTCTGACCCTCAGTATCATAA